CTGGGTTTCTAAAGAGTCTATACTCCTGTTCGTTACTGGATTAATAGAATCGGAATATGAAATGCAGAAATATAATTTATTAAGTGTTATCAAAATACATTATCGAACAAGGTGTTCTGCAGGTGCCTGGTATATGATAGAAAGTACTAAAAATAATAAGCTTATATTTTATAACAGGTTTTTCGCTTACAAAAACTGATAAAATACTTGTCCTATAAGCTATTACTTGCTTCTAGTGGCAAATAATTGCATGACTATAAATGTGTTAAAGACTGCGGATAAATTACTTAAAAAAGAGCGTGGACTTCAGAATGATAAGTTTTTCATGATATAGGGACCAACACCTGAGTGCTGAGTGCAAGTTTATTTCACATCGACACGCTCTCGACGGCAAGCGCGTTTAGCGCTGCGATTGGTGGAGACTTCAGTGCGGGCCAATCGTAGCGCCGAACGCTGTCACCGTGACGATCGAGTAGAAGTGAAATAAACTGGCACTTGGCATTCTGATGGAAAGTAACTATAGCGTCACGAATGTCTGCAACTCTGGATTCATAAGCGTGTATTTACACAAGTGTTTTACTGCTAGAATATTTCAATTATATTGGTCTAAATTGATTGCTTATATTTGTCTTTACCGGTTACCGGAACCTCAAACGGGTACGAAGGAATTGTCTAACTCTAGCTTACTAATTAGTTTACTAAAATTTATTTATACTATCACACAAATGTGTACATACACATATCCGTACATAATGAAGTAATTTGTCATCGCTTTTAAACGTATACTCACTCTGGAACAGAACTGTATAATATTTCACGCTGACGGTGATCAGTTCACTCATCATCCACTCGCTAATATCATCATCTTGTAAATGCTCCAATTATCTCTCCGTATTATACCAAAAGTTATGTTTTCCCAAGCCTATTGTTACACGTGTCACAGTCGATAAATCATGAGATTAACATCTTCATGCATTTACATTGTACTAGAAATAGCGCTAAATTACACATGTATTATTATAACTGTTTGTATCGTTTTTAATGGTACAATGAGCGCGAAACACATTTTGCACAAAAAAATATTTTATTTGTCATCCATTACGAATGAAAGGTTTTTTGTATAGACTTCTGTTATAACTTGTTGAAACCCGTACGGGTTCATCATCATCAACAGCGTTTATTAGTCCAATGTTGGATATAGGCCTCTCCTTAGAAAGGAAGTTTTGGCCTACTATACCACGCTGGCCAGACGGGTTGGTATACGGTTTGTGTCAGATTTTCCTTGTCTTGCTTAGTCTGCTCCATTAGTCGGCTCTTACGACACCCAAGACGGGTGGTGACACTCCGTGTTCTATATCCGTCACTACACGGTAAAGTAATATGTCGCAATTAAACTGACTAAAGCCATACGGTGTTCGACACATGTGAGTCCTATTGCAAGGGTCTAGGGTCTACCCTAGAAAGTAAGCCTCGGAGAACCCCAGGAGACCTTGGGTGCAGAGGGATTTCCCCTCCGGTTTAAAGAAGAACAATTCGCGTCGCGCGAACAAATACCGTCTGCGTCTGATGCCTGTAGTACAGACCCCTGATTTTTTGTGCTATTTACAAATTAAGCTGTTTACCCTCATTTTAGAGTAGCTCTGAGCAGGGTTTTGAAGAAGTAACCTTCGACGGGCCAGTCGCTCAAGTGGTTAGTGATCCTAAATGTTAAACTAAACATTGCGGATCGATTCCTACCCAAAACAATTAAGTGTGTGTGTGTGTGTGTTATCATCTGGTAACCATAGTACAGGCTACACCTAGTTTGTTAAAAAAGACTGTGTGCTACTCGTATGTCTGAAGTTATTATCTATACAAATAAATAAAATTGAAGTGTTTGTTTGTAATGTCAAAATAATAGGCTGTTTTTATGCTCACACGGTTATTTGCACGATACATATGCCTAAAAACCAGTTTAAATATTTTGTTTGTCTATGTAATCTTCAAAACAGCTGGACCGAATTTGATAATATTTTACTAACCGGTAGCTGTCTATACAAGGAGTAAGTTAGGCTATTAGCAATCAGAAAACTTTAAAAAAATTTGCCCGGTCCGGGAATCGAACCGACTATAGCAGCGCTTTTCAAATTCCACGTGAACGAAGTTGCGGGCACCAGCCAGTAAAAAATAAACTCGAATCAAACGTCACTAGTATTATTTCTCATGATATAGGGGGTAGATGGGTCACCTGATGGAAAGTGACTACCGCCGCCCATGAACGCCTTGTACAAGTAATTATTGTATTTATGTATTGCTTTTTGTAATGCACTGGGTGGGTTCCGAACCCGCAACAACTTAGCCATTACGCTAAAGCCGTTTAAATTATTACGATAATTACAGATATCGTCAAATAATTACATATTTATTTCTTTAGAGCAAAACATGCGATGTGCCGCCATGTCGTTAAGGCAAAAAAACATTTGTCTGTATTTTAGAAGTAATTGATATTGACTTGATCATTAAACGTTTTTAACCGACGTAAAAAAAGAAGTATACACTGTGGCGGTATAGATATCACAAAAAATGAAATAACAGATAACACGGTTCAATATACGTCGGTTAAAATAAAAAAATAAAAAATTAGTACGAAAATACAGAAATGCAAATTTAGAACAAACTAAATACAATAAAATAATTTCCGAATTAGAACACCATTGATAACATGCGTCGGTGAACTGTACCTACACGGCAGCGTCGCAATGTCGGCGACATCAAAACGACGCCGCCGCCGGCGAACTTTACATTCTTATTACCTACCTACCAATCACTTCACTTGCTTTTAAAAATCTATTTATAAAGAATGCGATTGTATTCACGTGTTTATTTCGTGAATGCTCGACTAGCTTCCGACCCAGCAGTACGCGTCACTCCTTGAAAAAGTAGTTACCTTGGTTGTCTCGTAATCTTTGTACCGCCCTTACAAAAATTCGGCAGTCTGTAGGACATACACGATTGACTCCATACGTGTCCGTAAAGCAAAAGATGCGTTTTGATAGAGTTTTCCATAAATTAACATCATAGCAGGATATTCCGCGGCTGTGAAGGTCACTCACGGCATTATGGATGTTGATATCGATAACCCAATAAAATTAAAAGACTGATAATGCACTCAGTTTCACACTACACTACACACAGAACCTAATAGTGACTTTTCAAAATAAAATTAGCAGGACTCCTTACATTACGAAGTCTTGCGCACACGATAACATTAATTGTTCACACCATTGCCGTGTATTATGACGAAAGCAATAAGACTAAACAATTATTACCACAAGAAAACTTCTCTAAACAAATATGTATCTCATAAACAACAACAATATTATTATTACGGTTATTTGTCGTGAGCGCATCTACAAGGATACGGAATAGCATAAGCTCGCCGGTGGCCAAGGGCCGACTGACTGTCCTTACTGGATGAACTAATTAAAAACGCGTGTTGCATCGTGATGACGTAATAATCAACATATTTCGTTCGATTCGGGTGTAGTAAAAGCGGCAACGTGTGATTACCGCGCCGCTGATCTATACCTACAGCTGATCGCCGCCTGAGGTCAATGTATTATGACTGCATGTACACATGATGTTGCAATTTACGAAACACAAAAATGAGTCCTGTGGCTAAACTACTGGATATATTTTGTTCATATTTTGCAAATCGCCTAGAAATTAAGGGTAGAATATGTGGCTTAAGTATATGTGAAAGGAAATGAAACTCTCTGTATATCAAAATCATATACATAAAATACATACTCGGAATTGCACTAGACCACCTTAGAGGCAGTCTCGTACACAACATTTCTAAAAAGTAAACTAAATAGGTGATTTTATAGTCTTTTCTGAAAGTCGTTAAGGGCGAAACCAGTATAAGTCATCACGGATTGGACTGTGATTTAGATTCTCATTTTAAACTCCATCTGAAAGTTAAATGAATCGTAACTGATTAAGTTCAATCTATTTTGAGGCAATCGAAGGTGCCACTTTTCTTGATCTTTCTTTTCATTTCTTAAAAAAATACAATTTACGCTCAAGGAATGACTCGTGTGTAACACCCGAATCGACCCACAGGATTATTATCTACGAACCCTCTTACAATTTTTATTACAGAATACAAACCGATTGTTTTATCCAACCTTATTGTTTTTAACCTAACTCCCGCATTAAGCATTTAACTATAGAAAGGCCATGTTATATACAATACACATGGCCTTACAGAAAACCAGTGTTTCGGTTGAATTTTTTTCGTTGCTTTTAACAAGAGGGTTCTGGAGAAAACCTCCGCTGGAGAAAAACTCTGGAGGTGAGGTACTCAAAGGCCGGCCGGCCCAAAATTGTTCGTGGTTCACACAAAGTATTTTACCGTATGGTAATCAAACTAAAACTCGGTGCAATTTTGTTGTAAGGCGAGCACTTTAATCTTTTCGCCATAAGAGCATTCCTCAGACATTAAAAAGTAATATTGCAATACGTTCTAAGTGTTTCAACATCAGCGTTTAAAAGTAGAAGAACACAATTAGCGTTGAAGATAATGATTGTGTTCAAGTTGAATACTTTATAAAGAATAAAATCGATAGAGTTTCTAAATTATACATGAACTGTAAATGGTATTTTAGCTCTAATTTTTTATGAGTACATCAGGTGTTCATGTTTAGAATTGCATGGATAGCTTAAAGCCCATAATCGCGTGAATACTTGAATCCAATTGAATAAAAATATACTAGATGGCGTTAGGAGCTTTTCTAACTCGCGCTGACACTGATCTTTCTCGCTATTTCCGATCAGTTTTTGCCTTGATAATGCAGTCTAATAGCCGTTTTGGTCCTTACACTCATTTAAGTAAATTAATTTAACTACACATAACAAACAAAATCTTCCAATAATGGAAACAGGAATAAAGATGGCGAACGAATAAACTAGGAAATCATTAAGAACCCAACTATCCACTATTTATTAAACATGTAAAAATGTTAGATTTCGCGTTGCGTGGGAAAAGTAAATCGTTTCCTAAAAAACTCAGCTCCATTCAGTACGTGTGCGGGCCCTCACCCCTCAATATACCACCCTCACTTGAAGGGTGGCAGCGTAGAATACGCCTTGATTATTGTAATTTGAGGGATAATTTGGTAATTGTTAAATGAGTATTCTGTGAAATAGGAAGTTGGTTTTACTTATTTTTTTCCTTTTCAGACGTGTCATTCAATTTTCTTATGGAATCTTATTTATACCCGGGGTGTAATCATGCTTTTCAAGATTGCCATCTTTCTGGTCTCTCTGGACGGTGTCATGCTGCTTAGGGTGCAGATTTGTGTTCGTTCATCTACCTCTGACTACTACTAAAAATACGCTTTAAAGTCCGAGAACTAGTGTTCCCAATACTGCCCCGATAGTTAAAAATGCGTATCTAACATATTTCCGAATTTGAGTTATATACATATATTGCCGGAATCAGCAAAAAGGGGGTGCATCTGCCTATATTTTTAATATTTTTCAACCTTGCTTCATTACAATTACAGCACAACAAAATAAGGCGCATATGCATATTTTTTTTTAAACCAAATTAAAGTTGAAAAGACGAATTCATATAAAACTTAAATGAATAGTCGCATTTACATAAATACGCCTTTATTCCTTAAGTACTTTTTTTAAGTTCGGTAATCTAAAAGGCATTTAAAACTGTTTTTGTAAGACGAATTTAATAAGGCGCATGTAACCATTTACGTCTAATGCACTTATTGAAAAATGCTAACTAACTAAGAAAAAACGTCTATATCTGCCACTTGCTACGTCGTAAAATTAGTCTTGACAAAGGCGCCTTTGGCGTATATAGCATAGAAGGTACTTTAAATCATTTTATTACTTAGTATATAATCATTAGAGGCTTTAAACGGAAAATATACAGTAGGTAAATCTATTTTCAGGTTAATGAGTCAGAGGAAACAATTAATAGATAATTATATGTATTTTTATTCTTAGACTAGGATTATCTGCATAGTTTTGAATACTTAAGTAAAGAGGCGCATATGGCCAAATGCGCTTTTTTTCTTAAAACATGAAGTACAGATCTACATACAAATACTTAGCCTAAAAGCAAACACATCACAACAAATCGGTACTCTTTTAAGACGAAAGTGAAAGACCTTTTGCTGAGTGAAATGGCAGATTCAACGAGCTCCTAGTTCATCGCCTAAAATTATTATATTTTTTATAATAAATATGTATGTATATGTGTATGTGTGTGTATGCACGTATTACATATATATGTGTGTGTATGTAAATATGTGTATGTGTGTGGTATTCAGATGTATACACCAAATTCTAAGATAATAGGTCTTTACCTATGAAATTGCCGTTTTGTATGCAATAAGTGAAAGTACTTATTTTTTCAAACTTTTTTATTTCTGTTATTCGAAGTAATCACCCATGCAATCGACGCATCTTTGCCAACGCATTGGCAGTTTATTGATGCCCTTCTTGTAAAAATCAGCTGGACGGGAGGCAAGAAACTCTTCAAAGGCATTTTGTACTGCCTCTCGGGAATTGAATTTTTTACCCACTAAAAAGTTGTCTAAATTTTGGAAAAAGTAATAGTCGGTAGGTGCAAAGTCTAGTGATGGAAATTATTGCTACTTTTAAATTATAATCATATGAAGAAATGATTAGTTTTAATTACTGCTATTTCACCGGTGATACGTCACCAACATGATTTGGGTTTAGACAAAGATAAATACTATAAAAACTTAAGCAAAGAAAAAAACAAATATGTATTTTCTTTTTATCAAAGACTACGACCCTTCTTTCGATGATTTCGTAAATTAGTCACAAGCATGATGATTTTTCAGTCATATGATTTAACACATATGATTGTGATGTGTTTCATCACAAATACACACAGAACAAATGATCGTGCTCATCACATATTTGTCCTGGTGGGAATCAAAACACCGACCTCTTGGTTAGCAGTCAGGATCACTTACCACGAGACCAATAGGACGATGATGATGTATAATGTTAGTAGAGCCTTAAAACACAATTAAATTAAATAAAAAACTTTGTTGATGCTAGCCTTGACCCCGTTATGTATATAATATATTCAAAACGTAATATTAAGTAACTAGTTTCTCATGCATATAATCTTGTATGTATATTAGTTGTGTCACGCGGTTTCGTCCGTGTTGTCTTTCCTTCCTGTCTTTCACTGTTTCAGTATTCTTTTATTTGCTATTCTACAATGTAATTTTTACGTGGTTGAACTGACTAGGTGTGGTAGTGGCACGGTTTTGGCGTAGTAAAATTTTACCATAAGTCTTGTACTTACAGAACGATGTTGGAACTTATACGTGCGGCAATTCTATGATTCGTAGCAGAATATAAAAATCTATACATAAAAAACTACTTGCCCTGACTGACTGACACAAAAACAGACTAAACAACGTCCAAATTACAAATGCATGCATCAAACCCCTATGTCATGTCTATAAAAATATATTATAAACTACCTAATAATATTAAAAATGAAGAAAAATTTAAAACGTTTATTAACAAATTAAAAGATCTTTTAACACAAAAATGCTACTATCATATAAATATATGTATATCAAAGCGACAAATTTGAATAATTAACATAGAATATAATTAAAATAAATAAGTTTAATAATTTATATAAATAATATACTAGAAAAACCAATTAATATATAATAATAACGTTTTATAATATAATATTTTACTAAGTCTAATTAATACGTGGGCAATAAAATAAATACCTACTTAACTCTATTTACTAAAATACATTTTAATATGCTTAATGATGATAGAATGTTTGCTTTTCTATCCTAATGTTGCCGTGCCCGACAGGGTCCATAATTGTGCAGAGGGAACATGGGGTTCCCACACGGGGGGGTCGTCTACCTGTTGTTGTAGATGGCCCGAGGTATGTCGGGGCACCAGGGACTTCCTTTCTAGGGTATACCTGGTTCCCCGGCTATTAGTAAACGAGACGGCGTGCGGTTTTAGTCGGTTCGAGTCCGACATGCCACCGGTGGTATCCGAGGGGATTTCCGCACGGAAAAAAAGGTCCATAATTGTTTCTTTCTACATTTATAGGACCTGTGTATACATTATGGAGTGCAAGAAACTAATTGAATTGAAATGACACCGCTGGGGCTACAAACTTGAAATTTTGACTGCTGATGTATTTTATGTTTTAAGCACCCACTAAGAAAGGATATTTTTAATTTCACCCCTAAGAGGATAAAGTAAGGGATAAACGTATGTATGGAGGTTTGTTATTTATAAAGTAAGAAATATGTAATAAAAATATTCACGTGAGCGAAGCCGTAGGCAATAAACCAGTATTATGCAATAAGGTAAATCTTAAAACCCTGACGCTAAATAAGGCATGTTTAGTTTAACGTGTCTATCTGTTTGTCATAACGCTTAAAAGAATGGATCGATTTTGATTGATTTTTTTTCGTTTAGAAAGGTGTAAAACTCAAACTCGGCGGCTTTAGAGATAGATAGGGATAGGAACAAACAAAACAAACTTTAAAACTATTAATTAAATAAAAATATTTTTTTCATTGAGATAATATTTTATAAAAGCTTATGAGATAATATTTTAAAAATATAACATTAATTAATTAATAAAAGATTTTATTAAAAAGCTTTTATAAATAAATTATTATTAATTAACAAAAGTAAGTAATATAAAATAATTAAAATATGTATTTACAATATTCTCCTGGTAGCGTTGCAGCGTTCCCAGACGTCTGGCAGCACTGCCACGTTGAATGGCAATGCTAATTGTCTATGCTACAAAAGGAAAGCCTTCTGATCACGAGAAGTGTCGTCTTAGCTAGTTCCCATGACGTGTTGACCCCAAACGGTTCAAAAATGGAATTACCTAAAAAAATATATATCCAAAAGCCTTCATGGCATATATGTTAGTCCGAGATTACAGTTTACTCAGTTTTTAGAGGTGGTCAATTTTACTTAAACCGTGTATTTTTTTCCAGGCCTGTTATGGACAAGGACGGCGAGGGCGGCGAGGCGGGGAAGGCGCCGCCCGACGGCCTGCTCGATGCCGCTGGTCTCTTTGGTGGTGAGTAACTGTATACTGACTGAGGAATGAGTAGGACGAGCCTTCTGCTTTGTGCTCGATTTTTCAATATTTATAAAGTCCTCGCGATACAGGTTTTTTTATTATGTTAACCGTCATGCCATTGACACGATATTAAGATGCCATTGAGAGCCATTGACATTGGTCAAAATATCAGTATTCTACTAACATAAATTCACAGTGACAATAGATTGTCGATATAGTAATATAGGTCATCAATGGTGATATCAACAACATTGTAATACCTGGAAAATTAAATATATAATTTTCTTACAAATTTTAAATGTACCGTTTACCAAACTATTACAAAGACATTTGTATCAGTGAAAATTCATTAACAAGGCCATTGGTCATAGTCATACATAGTTATTAGAATAGGAAAAGTGCAAAACTATTCCGACTACATTCCATCGACAGTCTATTGATACAATATTGAAATAGCAGAAGAGAGGCCCTGATCTCTTGATAGTGATAGACACCTGAGTCCCTACCCCCAAATCAGGGAGGGGGGGGGGGGAGGGGGTTTGAGCAGCGGTAACTTCACTTGATGAAAGAATTGCTTAACACCAGTTTTCCGTGAGGCCGTGGCATCATGCCGAAGCATGGCTATTCCACGGTAAAATTATAGAACTTAAACAAAAAAATTGTAATATTATATTTTGTTATTAAGTACCTGTTACTTAATTTTATACAAGTATTCAATTCAAGTAAAACACATCACAAGAGCTAAAACATTACTTCAAAGTATAAATACTTAAACTCCCACATTAACCAGTCCGCTATTGGCAGACACCTCTAATTTTATCCGCGACAGCTGCTCTTCGTATTGTGAGTTCACAACACGTTCAGAATTTATGATCAACCTGGATTTTCCGTACGTATTACCAATTTTATCGATCGGGAATTCCTGTTCCAGTGTTGTATTATATTTACCTGGGTAGGTTTCTACTTGCTCTAACTGTTCTTTGGTCTTGCACAGAAACTGAAAATAAATTATCATGTTACAATAACTTTCTTATACCTAGGTTTCTTAAAATCTTCTTTAAAAAAGTTGAAGCAAAATAAGAACCATAAAGAAACCATAAACTGTTAAAAACTATTTGCAACGATCGGTGTGGTTCGGTCTAAAAATTTTAGTAATTATAAAGCTATCAAACCTTTTATAATAATTAACTTTTAAAAAAAGAGTCGACTTCAATTTAAATTATTGTGCTAGAATGCATCCATGTCAACAAAATTAACAAATTTCGCTCACAAAGCAATTCTTTAGTTGATTTTTACCGTGTGTAGAATTGTGTTCTGACATTATTTTAGAACACGTTAGAAGCTTAAATAAGAATAATAAAATGCGCAAATAACGTACGCTACAATATTTTTGAAAACATCTCTTTTAAAGTAAGTTTATTTTATAAAGTAAAATGCGAGCACCCTCGATGTAAGAATGTCCTCAAATGGTAAAAAAACGAGTATGACAAAAGACCCCGAATAAAAATTATCTGTTAAATGAATCTTTGTTGTCTCTGGTTTGTAATGTCAAAAACGAGTTTCAAACTTGTTGATCAACAAATTTGCAATACAATATCAAATTAATAAACAACAAATACTAATGAAGTCAGAACCACACTACGTAGAGCCAGAGAAATGTATTCAAAAGTTGAGTGAAAACATTTTTGTGAAATGGGATCATTAAAGTTTGTTAATAAACGTCATTACTTCACAACTGAATATCATATTAACTGAATTCTAAAAAAACATCGATAATTCAGGTTCCTCTCGTCTAAAACTAAATAAAATTACGGAAGGAAGAATCCTGAGCACGCAAACCACTCTAAAAGCATTTAAGTAAGCCATCAAGATGAAAATCATAACGTTATTTGTGAATAATAATTAAAATAATGGATTGTTCTTTTTACTTGAGGTAGACTATTACCCCATATTACACATTTCACGATGATCCTCTTTAGGCAAGAAGGATAACCGACTCATTTTAAGTCCAAGTTCAAGGTTTTTCACGTCACAGAAGGAACAAGATCTTGTAGATGTAATGTGGTGGAATAAAATTCTCTTAATGATTTTCCACTTTACTATTAACATATTAGAATTGACAATCGCTTGCAGACGCAAAAGATCATGCAAGGATCCTAACTGCAGGCCTTGTTATGGATACTCTTTGAGTCCAGTGAAACCAATTCTTCGGTAAAATAGCTTAGTCGTTGAATATGCTGAAAGGAAGCTAACTGCAAACAATGTTGGTGTTCAAATATCAGTGCTCGGTTATCAACCAAAGGTCGTAATGAGATCTAAACTCTTAAATATTTCAACAGATCTTCATAAGCCGACGGAATATTTAAGCAGCAGTCGTGTATTGTTAACAGTGTATAAAATGTACACCAAATACGAAAATACAGATAAGCTATTTGATACGACAACGAAGATTCATGACTGGAGGGATGGTCAGAAAAAGAAATGTCTTTGCGGCTAGTTATCGATGGGCAGGAGTGAAAATATGAAAATTTCTGGTATCAAAAGATCAAAGCAAAAATTCAAATAAATCATGTGTTATTGAAAACAGTTTACAAATACCAAAGATTTCTTGTAAAAACAACACAAAAACCAAGCTATATTAAGAACCTGTACTTATTAAAAGGTGAAAAACATATGGCAGTTTATTAAAAGTTAGCGATTTGGTTCAACGTGCTCAAAATGACTAAATTTATACCGTTGTAAAGTTTTGTTATCAAGTTTGGTATATCGGTATTTGATTACCGTGGAAGACAACTATGATTAGCTTTGAGCAACCGATGTTAAGCAAGTCTTACGTTACTTTTAACCGAATGAGTGAGGTTACCGAAACAGGAAACATTTTTTGAAGTGAAAACTCTTTTAGGCGCTATTTTTGAACAATGAACAAAGGCATATAGTTTTTGAGATGGGACAAAAACCGATGAACACTATTACCGTTACCGACACCTCTGTTTATAAGTATGTTTGGCTTGAAATACATTGAAAAACTGTTTTTTTCTCTTTTAAAGATTTCAGTTCTTGCGGCACTCCCGAAGTACCACTGTTTTTTTTATTTTCTTAAAATCATACAAGCAAATTTTCGGAAAATGTTATAATATAAAAAAATATTAATAATATGATATTATGTTAAGGATGAATGGGACAGCTATAGTCGTTGCGTAAGATTGACGTGTCAACCCACTTCAGGTTTTGCGTCCGGAAGTAATAAATTTGTTACTATCGCTTTTGATTTGAATAAACGGCTATTTTCAATACTTGTAACAAGGTCGATACGAATCCTAAAGCTCTATCTACACGGATGTCATTTATCAAGAAAATGCCTATATTTTGTACTTCCCCAGTGATTACACCGCTTTTTGTGGAAAAACATAACACCCTCTGATGTGTTTCTGCGGTCATTTTGCATGTTAGCATTTTACAGGCCTTTTGATCTAGTGGTTAGTGACCCTGACTGCTAAGCCAGAGGTCGTGGGTTCGATTCATTGTGTCTGGGTGTAATTTAACTATGACGTGAATGTATTTAGATATATTTCAGTATGTTTATGAGCAGTCTTGGTTCAGTTGTCTCTGTCTAGTTTGTGATCAGACGGCTGTGTGTGAGATGTAATTCCTAAACAATGTTTTAGGTCGACTTTTTATTTATGTTTTAAATAAAATATTATATTCTATATCGAGGAGACTATACGTCATAGAAGATACGCTATCATAACACACAAATATCCTGACGAACAAATACAAAAAAGGGTGATACCCGTGACTCTTGAGTTTGATGTAGGCACTAATTCCTAGGGGAGGTCCTTATTCAGGCAAGCATAGATATTCTGCTGATAAGCATATATGCTAAAATAGAATATTCATGCAAGTAAACTAAATCGAAAGAGTTTTTCTTTGACTGTTTAAACGCGAAACTATCGATAAGAATATTTTTTTTAATATGTAGGAACTATGTAGGAATATATCCTGAGTCGCGGGGGACTAAAAACATACATGAAAAGAACACCCAGACTCGAACAAAATTTGTAGCTCACACAAAGTGTTGTCCCATGTGGGCATTAAACCCACAACACTCAGCGTTGTAGGAAGCGGCGAGGTGACCGCTTAAACCACTACGCCATCCGTGCAGTCAGTCAATGATTAATTATTCTTGTATCAATAGAGTATTTATCAACAAAGGCCCTTTGCGTGTCTATGGCTGTCTAAATTATATCACGCGGCAAAATCTGTTGAGGTACTAGGAAATTACCTTTCTAGGGTATACTCTATACTCTTTCGCAGAAGTTGTCTTAAAAGAAAGCTTAAAGATGTTTTAGTGCACTAACCGCCCAACATGTACCCCAAATCATCGCTCCGTGGGTCGTGTTCATGACGTATCCTTACTTAAAAGGACAGTAATGTCTTCAATGATTGGTCACCGCTCGCCGAACGACTTATAAGTACTAATAATTTTGTCTTCGTTACTCAACTGGGTGTATTATCGTTAAAATGTTCCGAGACATTTACACGACACGCCTAGGGCTGGCACTTCTCAACATGCTAATCTTGATTAAAATCTAAAATAAGAAACTGTATTAGAATACTAGCTATTGCCGTATTTCATATTTCTAAATTACCAAATGAACTTCCATACAACAGTTTTTTTAATAACTTGTTCTCACATGTGTATGTTCTCACACACGGCAGTCTGATTCTAAACTAGGCAGAGCCTGTACTATGGTAACCAGACTGCTAATAAACATACTTATATAGTTCTAAATAGATACATATTATAGATTAATTATACCCAGCCACAGAACAAATTATCACACTCATCACACAATATTTGTCCTGGGTGGGAATCGAACCCACGACCTCCGGCTTAAGCAGTCAGGTTCACTAACCATTTGACACAGGCCCGTCAATCCCTCATCCCTTATTTTACCCTCTTAGGGGTGAAATTTCTAAGAATCCTGTTTTAATGGCTGTTTACCATATAAAAAACATCAGCTGCCAAAATTCCAAGTTTGGAACCCCAGCGGTTTAGGCTCTGCGTTGATGAATCAGTCAGTCGGGGCAAGTAATGTTAAATGTAAATACTAGCCATTAGCCCCGGCTTCGGATGCTACTAATGTGGTGTCAGTGTAAGGTAATTAATTATGGTATTATTATGATAGCACTCTACTGTAGGACATCTTTAAATGCAATATTCATAGGCCCGCTCCGATCCTGCTGGCCGCTGCCACCAGGGACGGAAGTTTGACAGTCGTTGGGCCCCCACATTTCAAACCTCGAATATCTTCTAAAATATTCTTATATATCTTATTCTATAGTCTTTATTTGGATAGGGAAAATAAACCCATTATTTTTTTGCAATATTTAAAAGATAGAAATGGTTACTGTGGGTTTTCTATAGAAATATACCATTGCGGACCTTTTTTGGATCTTTTTAAAATATACAATTCCGTAGTACATTATTTTGGTCTAAGGTTTAGCCAGCGATTGCAATGTAGGCTCACAAAATGTGTTTTAAGACAAATCTTTGAAATTCTAGGCTTTTCTCTACTATAATATGCATGTATTATAGATATAAACCTTCCTCGTGAATCACTCTCTCTATTTGTAAAAACCGCATAAAATCCGTTGCTTAGATTAAAAGATCTAAGCGTACAACACAAAAAAGCGACTTTATTTTATACTATGTAATGCATGTAAAGATATATGAAAGAAAGAAAGGAAGATTCTTTTAGATGTATAGATATATCGCACATGTCGTATGAAAGCCTTGCCCCGTGAGTCGCATCCTGGGCGTATATCAACTTAAAAGGACTGATATGTACTCCTAAGATTGTTTAGTCGTGTTGACTGGTACATTCTATGTATTTATAATGTCTTGCTAGCGTCTTTCAATTACGACTACTGCAATATAGTAGATTAAAATCAAAAGCCTTCAAATAATAATTACTATTGATAATTCAAAAATATTGTTAGTTATATAGATCTAATGACTAGTGACAACCCTATCGTCGCGTGATATTAAACCATATAAGCAAACCGGAGTTCAGTGCCCTCACACCCAACGCTCAACAACCAATATATCTTCAATGATCGCAATCTTCCATATTCCTAAGCACATAAAATTCAAAATCGTGTGAACACAATAAATTTTATATGTTGTCCATTTGGTTTACAGCCAATATAACGTGTATGCAATTTTTACTCTTGTTTTACGAGTGGTAAAGAGTAATTTAGCTTGAGTGTTTACATATGTTTAGTTTGTAAGCGGTTTCCTTCTTAAGGATTGGAATAAGATTTTACTTTTGGGTGTTCAGGTGATCAAAAGATTCTAATATTTATGTTTTTAACGGTTTTTCTTGACTTGTAAAATAACCATCTTAAGGAATGCAATGTTTTTCAGACGAGCCAAATCTATACATATAAAATTACTTGCCCTCACTGACTGACTGATTCATCAACACAGAGCCTAAACTGCTGCAGCTAAAAACTTGACATTTTGGCAGCTGCTTTTTGTGTTATAAGTCAGTAAGAAAGGATTTTTGGAAATTTCACGGTAAAATAAGGGATGAACCGTTATATGGAAGTTCGTAATTTTCAAAGTTATAAACAAGAAATAATTTCGCGAGCGTAGCCCCTTGTAATAGCTACTTAAAGGTAAATTTAATTCAGGAAAACTTATAAGTTAAAACTCATAATAATATGAGATGATGAAGAGTTGCAGAACGGGACCGGAACTGCATTAGCTCGAAGTCCGAGGTCGCGTAGAGGAGAGGGCCATCACCTGGCCACTTACAAATATATATATACTAGCTTTTGCCTGCGGCGCCGCCCGTGTGTATGTCTGTTATCGCGGTAAAAAATAGCCTATGTTACAACTTTCCATTGGTAAAATAATTTATAATCTGTTTAGTGGTTTAGGCGTGAAAGCGTAACAAACAAACAAAATCACTTTCACATTTATAAGTATCACATTTGTAGTATACCACAAAAAACTGTGCATACGTTTGAAGACAGACAGAACTCGTTCTCACGTAGTAATAAATCAAATATTCACAATTATAAATCGAAATATTCCAGCGTGACTCACTAGTCGCCTCTGAGAACATGCTTAAATGTGATTCAACTATATTTAGACTGGATTATTGCTTGATTAATGAATGTTGAGACTTCCGTTCGTTATTAAAAAAAAACCGTCGACATTTTCATAGTATTTTGTATTACGTTTAGAAATCGAAAGGGTATATCTATAAATTACGTTAAACGTTTGGGGGGTGTCCGTGTGGTGACGGATCAAGAATACGGAGGGTCACCACACCCTATTCATCCCGAGGGTTTCGTAAGAGCCGACTAAGGAAGCAAACTACGCAAGACAACAGCACTGCTAAGAGAAGAAAAATTTGAAACGAACTATATCAACCCGTCTGGCCAGCGTGGCATAGTAGGCCAAAACTTACTTTCTAATTAGAGGCCTATGTCCAGCAGTGGACTATTAAAGGCTGTTGATAATTCTGCTGAATGGTGGAATTGGGGAGTTGTGTAAGCCTTAGCTCAAACACGTTACCATCGCATTTGCTTGTTTGTTACCCTTTAAACATAGGCTACTTTTTACCTCAATAACCGACATACACGCGGGCAGAGCCGCGGTCAAAAGTTAGTAACCAATAAGCATTAGTGCTTATACAGTATTAAGTCAGTCACTGTAGTAACGAGCGTGGAGTCATGATTAATCGCACTGTGAGACCGTCTGTCTGGATTCAACTATGCATATTAGAGAGAGTAGGTTAACTGCAGTTAGCTTTATTATCTTTGTTTTGTTTAGTTTTAAGCTGCTTTGTCTTGGATTGCTCTAGTGACTTGTTGCATCACATATTACGTCTTACAAGACGTTATCACTTCGTGACTTGTGTCCCAATCACAGTTCAGTTCGGTACTACTTCAGACACCACTATTCTTTAAGAGACGGACATTAGAGCTCGCCTTATACAAGAGAGGTAACATAGATTTATGAGATTCTTAAAGATAACATGAAATGTTATTAGAAATTCACTTACTTAATTTTAGATTTTAATAGTTGAAAATATTTTATCTAAAAAAAATTGTGCATGAAAATAGAAACATCTTAAACCTCGAATATCTTCTAAAATATTTTTATATATCTTATATTATCTTATTCTATAGTCTTTATTTGGATAAGGAATAATAACCCATTATTTTTTGAAATATTTAAAAGATAGATTTTAATAGTTGAAAATATTTTATCTGAAAAAAATTGTGCATGAAAATAGAAATTGCACGAGGCGACGGAGACATTGAGTTTGATGTCGTAGGCATTTCCTAGTAATCTAAATGAAATACAGCTGATAATCTTCGATAGCTAATATTAGTGTTTGTAAAGGTTCATTTCCGTACAACCGCACCCAATCATACGCTCTCGTGTCAAAAGGGATAATAGACAGACTTAGATTTAGACTCAGACTTGTGGCAGACTTAGTCAAGCGATAAATTCTGTAGACATGTACGACAGGCAATTACAGACGAATAACACTGTCTGGAGCACCTCGAGAATATGAGTCCCAACAAAGTTCAATCTTTAGTTTCATGTGAATCATAATAATAATAAATAAAATCTTTTTCCAGCTTATTGGGGGCGCGATGGAGGTGCCGGTGGTGGAGGGGGCAGTGCAGCGGCGGCGGCGCAAGCGCAGGCGGCGCTCTTCGGTTTTGGGGGTCGGTACCCACCGCCAACAACACTTGGTGTTGCCGCTAACCAAGCAGCGTCGCTCGGATTACACCCTGCTGCCAGTGAGTATAGAATTTTCTTGCTAGAGACATCTAGAAATTTCCTTTTACAGACTGATCTTTAGCAGACATTACTCAAGGGATGTTAATAGTATTACTAAGGTAATTTCGTATTCTGAATTAGCTTTAAGTATGGTGAATTCTGATCGTAGTCTGCAGTTTTAGTTATCTCTTATTTAAGAAGTTACCGTCAATTAATACGACAAAAGGCAATGAAACTCTCTTATTCAAAAATCTTATCTCAATTTTTTTACCCAGAGAGAATTCAAACCGAGCTCTCGTCGAAATTGAAGGAAGTAATCTTTTATCATCATAATCGTCAACAGGCCATAGCAGTCCACTCGTTGACAAAGGTGTCTCCTTAGAAAGGAGGTTTTGCCCTATATGCCACGCTGGCCAGACTACTACTATACCTCCTATAAAATTGAACTTCGAAATGTATTTCGCTTCTACCTGGGGTCTTTGGCTTCTTTAATGCGATTCGGAATCAAATGAAACACTACCCATTAGACAGTAAATTATTTTGCTAGTGCTAGTAAATTATGCTGTGTTACTAATAATGAAATTTACTAAATACTTATTACAATATTGTAATTTTACAGGTGCAGCCTGGTGGTCAATGGCATCCCACCTGGCGGCTCAGGACTACTTAGCCCGTCTTCAAGCGTCGGGTCTAAACTTCCCACCTTTAGCAGACCCTTACGCTGCGTTGTCAGCGCTGTCGGGCGCTGGATTGAAGCAGCCACCTAAACCTGGAAAACTGTCCTCATCGAGAAATGAGAGGTACGCTCTTTTTAACAGACTTCAAAAAAAGGAGGAGGTTCTCAATTCGACTGTATTTTTTTTTTTTTTTTTTTGTATATTTGTTACGCGATTACTCCGGCAATTATAAACCGATTTGAATAATTCTTTTTCTATTTGGTAGGTCATACGTCAGAGGTGGTCCCATTGTCACCAGGTCAGGATCTGATGATGGGATCCTGGGGAAATCGAGGGAAACCCTCAAATTTTGTAGGCATATACACTGTTTATCAGAAATTATCTTAATCTATGTAGATTTTTGCATCTAATGGTCACCATCTGATGTTGCTGAGCTGATGATGAAGCTGTTGATAAATGGTTTAGGAGTATGGGATCTCTGTAACAAAATTATGTAATACCATCGAATTTGAATGTGTTTGAGTCTAATTAATAAGAACTCCGATCCTATGTGATATTCAGGGTCTGATGATGGAGACGGTAAATAGCCATGGGAACTCTGTAATAAAATAAAGCAATTCCGCCGTGTTTGTGCTCATTTGATTCGTCTCGACTAGGAGCTTCATGCTAGTCGATTTTTAACCAACATCAAAAAAGGAGGGTTTTTGATTCGACAGTATGTTTTCTTTTTAACCGACTTCCAAAACACAAAAGAGGAGGTTCTCAATTCGTCTGTTTTTTTTTTATGTATGTTTGTTACGCGATTTCTTCGTCAATTGTGGACCGATTTTCAAAATTCTTTTTGTAATCGAAAGGGTATGCTCCCGAATTGGTCCCATTACCACCAATTCAGGATCTGATAATGGGATCCTAGAGAAATCGAGTGAAACCCTCACAATTATTCGGAATTTGACAGCCCCGACAACGTGTTTTAGCTACGAGTATTTCTTTAGCCAAACAAACCATGGCAACTGTCAGAGACTGCGCGATGTGATGCGCAGAGAACTTGCAGTATTTATGTCACCACAGTAATTTTCGTTGTATTAAGAAGAAAAGGTTGAAATTTTGTATTCTATCTTGTTAAAATAATTCGGATAGACGTTTTGTTGCTATGGATGGCATCGCATTTCGTTTGTAAGTAATTTTATACTTAATTTATTAAAATAGTTCTGGAAAAAACTCTTAAATTTTGGGTGGGTCAACTAGGTTAATTTCTAACATACTAGTATTAACCCTTCTAGTTGGAACTCCTTCTATAAAATATTAAGCATATTTGTTGAGTAGTCTCACTAAAGCTTCCCTATCTTCACCTTCGAGATCAGTGTCAATTGAATCGGAAGTTATTTTGTTCGGTTGCAACTCACAAGAATTTGACTGTTTCTTAGAAAAGAATTTAAGCTGATCTTGATCAGTTTGGACGCCAATGTCATTTTCATATCCTACACTAAAAATGGTAAAATAAACCCTTTTTAAAAAAAAAGTTGAACCGACTTCAAAAAACACCGACAAAGAGCACTAAAAATTAAAAAATAATTACAAATCTAAGTAAAAAACTATAATAAGTACCCTCAATGTAACAGGTAACATTATAATACCAATAGTCCCTTCTAGTCTGTTTGAAGTCGGTGCCAAGCTCGATGTACAATAAGTAATACTGGTCTATGTCAGCTTTATATTAGCACAATGAAAAATTAAGAATTCAAAATAATTCTAATGAAACATCGAAGATTTTGTTAATTAATAAAGACCAACCAGATCAATTACGTGCGCAAACTTATCAACTACTTATTAAAGAATTCAAAATAATAATATAATTGGAGATGTGCGTCCACTTTAGCTCGTTCATCATGTTTTGCGCAGCATGAAGACTGTTGCAGCTGCCGCGCTACATTCTACCATGCCTATCAAGCACCTATTTGGCTTGGCACCGACTTCAAACTGACTAGAAGGGACTATTGGTATTATAATGTTACCTGTTACATTGAGGGTACTTATTATAGTTTTTTACTTAGATTTGTAATTATTTTTTAATTTTTAGTGCTCTTTGTCGGTGTTTTTTGAAGTCGGTTCAACTTTTTTTTTAAAAAGGGTTTTTTAAACTAGTAGTTAGAAAAGAAGGATTGATGAAGTTGATGGGTTAAGTAATGACTCACGATAATATAAAAAAAAGATTGAAAGGGAAATTAAAGGTAAAAATAAGAACAAGGAGGTCTAGAAGACCAGATTGCTGATAAACATACTTATATTTCTAAATACATACATATTATACCCAGACGAAACAAATGATGCTCATCACAAAATTATTTGTCCTGGGTAGGAATAGAACCCACGACCTCCGGCTTAGCAGTCAAGGTGACTCACCACTAGACCAACATACCCGTCAATAACCAACAGGCACGTCCACAAGGAGTTGCTGTTGCTCCGAAGACAGAAGCTTGGATGTTGACTTTGTTCTATCCAACTAAACCTGTGGCGAGTGTAGCCTACACTAAAGTGTTTTGTGTCTCAATTTTCGAAAAGACCACATACCTCTCAAATTAATAGCGCTATTTGGACGGAAAATAAAGAAAAATAACTCTTAACATTTTATTAATTCTTTGCAGGTCAGGTAGAAGCAGTACATCATCCAGCACATCAGCCAAGGACAAGAGCCCGTCGACAAGCTCCAGTTCTCAAAATATGAGTGAGTGGGGCACGTATCTCTACTTTCATACTTATCAGTGTTGTGTTGTTGTTAAAAACTTTAAAAGGACAATGTAGATTGTCGATATGTTGCTAACTTCTAATGTCTGACATGTTATGAGTTTATTCTCCTCTTCTTTTCATTTTTTTTTCCGTGCGGAATTCCCCTCGGATACCACCCATCGGTGGCTTGTCGGACTCGAACCGACTAAAACCGCACGCCGTCTCAGGTACTAATAGCCGGGGAACCAGGTATACCCTAGAAAGGAAGTCCCTGATGCCCCGACATACCTCGGGCCATCTACAGCAACAGGTAGACGACCCCTCCCCGTTATTCTCCTCCCCTAAACAGAGATTATTCGCAGAGTTTATGTCTGTCTGTCTAATACACGCAAATGTTAATCTTCACATACTCGTTAATTTTATTTGGGGTCGGCGCATTATGTATGATTTTTCCATTCTACTCTGTCATGCGTCATCTCACTGTTTACTCCCTTCCTAGCCATATCCTCCCTCACGCAGTCCATCCACCTTTTCTTCGGTCTGCCTCTTCTCTTGTACCCTTCAACTCCCATACCTAAAACTTTCTTCGCCACATTTTCCTCATTCCGCATGACATGTCCATATCAAGATAACCTATTACTTCTTAACTTTTCATCCAGTGGCGCTACGGAAGCGGGTTGTATACGATTTAGAATTTATGCTCAATCAGTGCAGAACTTTTTGAGCTTTTGAAGCGTACACAAACCAACCTAACATTCTTACATATACATTTGACTCACAAACACACTGATAACCGGTGTTAAACAATATTTACGTTGCATTTTAAAGAGCGAGTGATGTCATCGGAAGCCAAACCGGCCCCTTTAACTCAACATCCTCAAAAGCCGGCACTTTCCATCAGGATTATAACATGGGAAAATTTTAAGTAAATTTATAGAGAAATAAAGTGAAGAAGTTTAGACAAGAGAAGGTAAAGGATTAGATTAGAGGGGGTCTGAGCCGTAGACGTGTGAGTCCTCGCCTGCGAGGTACAGGGGTATGGAGCTAGGACGAGAATAAGGACCGGGAGAGATGCGGCGGCGTGCGCTCGTAGTGTGATAAGAATGCGCCCTCTGCGCCCCTCTACCCGCAGGAATCAATTAAGCGGTTTGTCTATGACTCGAAAAGGCTGCTTCATTAAGTCCGAGCTTTCTAACACTAATGATGACATAATAATATTGTCAACATATTACTCATCACTATTTGCACTAGTAACACTGATCAGCCTTTTGCTCTAGTGCATTTTCATCCGGTACATATCCTTACAATCGACTTACATCCATTAGTAATATAACTCTTGTTTTTTCTTGTAACAGGAGCACAATACGGTCTTCCGAAAACGTCATCACCATCGGCAATGCATTCTCATTCGCAGTCTCTCTCAAGTCTCGCCTCTCTCAATAGTCTGGTGTCTGCTTCTCATCAGAGCAAGCCTAACAAACCGTCTGCACCCCCACCCTCGAGTAAGTTGAAAATAAGATATTAGTAAATTAATAAATGGAGTAATAAGATTTTGCCGTGGAAATTTGTAAGTTATGAGCATATTGCGTAATGTATATTTTGGTTTGCAGAAAAGCCATCCTCGTCCTCCGGTGTCTCGAGCTCAAAGGGTAAGGAGCGCGAGCTGGCGCTGCTGCGCGGAGACCTGATGCTGGCGCAGGCGGCCGCTCACGGCGCCTACCACGCCGCTGTCGCCGCCGCCGCTAAGGGGAAGGTACGGAAAATGAGTACAATATACTACAGGGTCGAAAGACCACCCTTCGTGATCTCAAATTGCTCGAAAGACCACAAAGGCTTGACTTTCGAGCCTAGCAAAGAGTAGATACACTCTACACAGTAGCTATACTCTACACCATTTTTCTTCCACCATTAAGAGAAAAGACAAGTTTGCTACGAGAAGATGACTCAGGGCGCGATTGTGCGATTATTCGAATTTAAAAGAATGTATTTTCATCTATTTAACACATTATGAAAGCATTACGCATTGTCGTAATTAACACTATTATAATTTCTTCTGAAATGGGATAAGAAACGATCTCTATAATCCTCATTTTTTGTATTACAGAATATGTCACCACTGTACCCGTTCGGCATGCCCGGTTCAGACAAGGACCGACATGCTGGTATCGATTCACTCACAGGTCTCCCGCACACCATACTGAGGTAAGCAAACATACTTTGTGACCCTTTAAAAAAATCCTGACCTTCATATATAGGATTTTTTTTTATCTTTTAATTTGGTAACAAAATTGCAACCACACCTAAAAACCGGTGTTAAATATTTCTTTCGTTGCTGCTGCTGCTTTTAATAGGGTGAGTTAGTACCGAAGATAACGATGGACACAAAATTAAGTTTGAACTTCTTGTTGGTGTATGATAATAATAATAAGTTACATATTGTCCGACTAGCTTTTGCCCGCGGCTCCGCCCGCGGTAATTACAGTTATCGCGGTAAAAAGTAGCCTATGTCTTCCCTTAAGAATAAAAGTACCAAATTTCATCTAAATCGGTTTAGCTGTTATTGATCCCCCATAAAAAACTTCCACCCCCCTTTTTACCCTCTTAAACGATGATTTCTGGAATAAAAACTGGCTTATGTCCTTACCCGGGACTCTGACTATCTCTATAACAAATTTCTTCTAAATCGATTCAGCGGTTAATGCGTGAAGAGGCAACAGACAGACAGAAAGACAGATACACTTTTACATTTATAATATTAGTATGGATGGATAGCTGTGTATCCGTGTGGTGACGGATTAAGAACACGGAGTGTCACCACCCCTATTCATCCTTTGGGTTTCGTAAGAGCCGACTAAGGAAGCAAACTACTCAGGACATCAGTACTGCAAAGAGAAGGAAAGCTTGAAACAAACCCTATACCAACCCATCTGGCTTGCTTGGTATAGGGTAAAACCTCCTTTCTAAAAAGTCCACTGCTGGATATAAGATATCCAGCAGTGGACTGTTATAGGCTGTGGATGATTGGTAACAGATAGCTGATAAACATACCTAAATCTTATATCACACACATATTAAAGATAAATTACACCCAGACACAACAAATAATCGTGCTCATGACACAATTATTTGTTCTGAGAGAGTTTCGAACCCACGAACTGTGCCTCAACAATCTGACCAAGAATAGTAAAACGTAAATCCTGCCACTATTTTATGTTTTAAAAATTAATATTAACCATTATTATTTCTGTTTATCAGTGCTGCTTTAGAAGGAGGGTAAGATACATTTATATTTTAGAGAAATTAAATGTAAAAAAGTACATTTAAAAATAATGTTTATTTTTTTTACTTTTGTGCAGTGATCCATCGTCAGTGCTCGGTGGAGTTCGATTACCTCCGGACACGGAAATAATCAAGTATACGTCATCATTAGCGGGACCCAAGGTAAAATCTCATGTATGTTCATTTTTATATACACTTTATAGCTATAACATACATATATTTTTTTGTTACTAGATATACTCTCCTTTTGACCATAAATTATATTATTTATGGTATATTTAATTGGCCAGTCTAAGTTGAACTTGTCTTTGAATAGACTTGTGTATGAAGAATGATTACCGTACTTTTATATTTCTAAATGCATATAAATTATTATAGATAAATAACTAACAAACATATTATTAAATCTTCTTGTTTTCGAAGTGTGTACAGTTCATCCATCTCACCTGGCTCAGAACTAGAGCCTTCCTTTTGTTATCTACCGAAATTTCCTTCCTTCTCAGTCTAAACGCGAATCCGAAATATATCTACTCATGATAGAACACCGTGTGGTTTTAGTCAGTTTTATTCTTACATACCACTTCATACATAACCAGGTCACGTGACAACCAAGGAGAGTTACCACACACAAAAAAAAACATAAAAAAATATCTTTGATAGTGTTGTCATTATTCCCAATTTATATGATAAAATAATAATTGTAAGTATTTCTTTTTGTTGAAGGGTGGAGCAGGCGGAACGACGCGAGGTCGCAAGAAGACCATCTCGCTGGACCCGCCGCATGTCAGCCTACACCCCGCCGCCGAGCGACCCGACCGGACCGCGCCGCTGCCCAGCAAACGACCCAAACTGGTCTGTACTTGACTTAATCTATGGATATTATTCGCGCAGTGCTAGAAAAACTATAGGATGTTATAGAAATGTATTCTTAAATTTTCGAAATGTGTAGACAGGACCTGGTTTAACTATCCAGGTGTCCTGTGCAAGTCAATCTTTAAGCGCCCGTCATACAGGTTGTTACTAAGAGTGGTTAGTCGACAAATAAGTAATTTAAATTGAACAACACTTAAATTATGTCGGTGTCTATCTTTAAGCGCCCGTCATACAGGTTGTTACAAAGAGTGGTTAAAATAAATAATTGAAATTAATTGAACAGCACTTAAATTATTATTTTTAGTTCTTGTAACTCTAAGGCTACAGTGTTATATATTTATATACTTACTGTAGAAAATAATAATATTTGATTGCGTAGCTTTACAGTTAAACGTATCTTTTTTTTCCTAGGACGAGTACGGCAATTCCCGGTCGTCGGTTGAAGTGATCCGCCTTCCAAACAAACCAGACCGGCCCGGGGCCAACTCCATGTCCGGCACACCACCGCCTAACCTTTCTGACTATGCAGGTATAGTTATATTTTGGTTTATTATTATTTGTATTTATTTTTAACTAACTTTTTTCGCGGCTCCGTCCGCGTATATTTCGGTTATCGCTGTAAAAGGTTGCCTATGTTTTTCCTCAAGAATCAAAGTATCTCCATACCCAATTTGCCTCTAAATCGGTTCAGCGGTTATTGATCCTCTATAGAAAGTTCCGCCTCCCTTTTCAATCCTTTAAGTGATGATTTATTGGATGACTCAGACTATATACCAAATTTCATCTAAATCGCTTCAGCGGTTTATGCGTGAAGAGGTAACAGACAGATAGACACACTTTCGCATTTATAATCTTAGTATGGATGGTCAGTCGATAATTATATATGAATATGATATGGCTATTGATTTATCAGCCGTGGGAGTAGTTATATCACTCAAACCAGTGTTAAGCAGTGAAGTTCCCTTAATCCGCTCTCCCCTCCAATTCTTAGTTAAATGAATCCATGGACTGCGCCAGTCACTTACCGTCAGATGACCTCTGTTCGTATAAAGCCTTTATAGGTCGATTACACTTCGTGTGGTATTTTTAATCGGACTGATCCCTCCCGTAACAGCATTGACCCACGACCACACCAAGATATCGTCAGAGTCGTAGAATAGTGTCCGATCCGACATTTATTGAACTTTACAGGGCAGCCATTTCAAATATTTATGTTATTTTTTTGACATGACTTTTTTTATTCTTAATCTGTAATTATGAAAATAGGCATACAAGTGACTAATAGGGCTTGTTTTAAAATGCAATAAAAGTAAAAACTAAGATTGTTTAGAACTTTCCAGAAAAATCACATGCTTCATTTTACTTTGAGCGCTTATCAAACAAACACTGAATAGTTAAAATCTAAAATACATATATTTTTTTCAATGTAGTAGTAATATTTAGACAATGTGGTATCCAAATATGGTAAAAAATGGATTTCGTATTTTTTTCAAAACGGACATTATTCTACGATAATGACGATATGTTACTCGGGAAGTCCCTATAACAGTTAAACTGTCTTGGAACCGCTACGAAATTAGAGTGATATATGAGGCGTACAGATTAACACTGACTATTAGATTAACGTATTTATTTACTAATTGTAAGAATTTATTGTTTAAGATAGTATATTATAGTAGGCCAAAACCTCCTTTCTAAGTCCAGCAGTGGACTATTAAAGGCTGTTGATGATGACACTTTAAGACCTTTTAGAGATCAGAAGTGTGCCCCCACGGCTGTAACACAGGCATATAAATAAAAAAAATTGCACTATGTATGTTTGTGGTGAGAAGCAAATGTTATTATTATTATCACACTAATATCACAATAATGTAATGATTTTTTCATTTATAGGTATATCCCGAGAGCTATTGCAGACAATAGCTAGCCAGAGCGGCGTGAGCCTGGCCGCGCTGGAGCGACAGCTGGCTGGGTCTAGCGGAGCTGTCGGAGATTACAGGACTGCAGGTACTACTAAAGATTACTGATGATTTGAGACCAGGATTCGAACCCTACCCCGGTACCCCACCGAGTTAACTCCAGATCTGTTTTAAGCATTAAGCTTAGCATTGATTAAAAGAATCGAAGCCTAGTATGTATAATTGCGGGTATAACACGGAAATATTCGATGATAGTTTCATAGTAATTAATTTAATAGATTTATAATCATCATAGTGTTTTATAATAAATTAATTTATTTCGTAAAGATTCAGGTTTAAACCTAAGCACAAAAATGGGCTCTGAGTCCCCTCTTGACCTTGGCGTGAAGGTCGGAGCTGATGATGATGCGCCTCTCAACCTCTCGCTGAAGCCTACTCCTGGTAAGTATGACCCAAAAACGCCTTGATATATTCTTCACCAATTATTGCTTGATAAACTAAAGAGTTAAAAAACAAAAATTGTGGTGGCACTATCACTTTAATTGTCACTAAGGTTTGTTTGATAGAATATTTTTTAATTCGTCTTCTACACAAGGATATACAAAACAGACATGTTCATATAATTATTTATGCGTAAAGCTTATTAAAAAATGAGTCTTGCCCTCTCTTTACGTGTTTCAAATAAAACATAGAACTAAACACGTTTTATATTAAAGTAAATTTAAAAAAAAGTTTGAATTAAAAGGGAGTACTTTTTAGGTGTGTGTGGAAAGCTCATCGGACCGTCACCCTACCGGTGATTTTTAATGAGACGGCGTAGAGGAACCAAACCGACTACAACTACATGGTGTGCCATACTGCACCTCAAATAAGAGGGATCCAAGAAAACCTTTATTAGGATATCTAGTTTGCGTCTGTTGTAAAGCGCGGTAACCACCTTCGGGTAAAAATTCCGTGTCTTCCGAGTTCCTGGTTCAAAACTACTTAGCATAGGTGCATGCGGAAGTCACCCCTTCTGGAACGGCCACTATGTAGAGAATATTGTGTGTTCATGATGTGTTGTATTTTGAGAAAGGGTGTTGCCTTGGTGGGAAACTTTCTACGAGTATTATGTCACAATACAGATATTTTCCTTGGCTAGACAAAAAAATTCAAGTACTGTCCTATTAGTGTAAATGCTCAAGAAATTATTTTATAAGCTGTTTTCTAGCTATTGAAGATAGACAAAAGCATCCCATTATATGTACTTGTTAAAAAGTCCTTGTGCTAAATGTATGTTTGTATTTCAGCAAGTTCACAAGCATCAGACGCTCTGTCCCGTTTGACATCGTTGAGCAGTTCTCTCAACGCCTCCTCAAGTCACGACAGAATATGTAAGTACATTACTACCAATTATCTACTGAAATACTCTGCATCAATTCATCAGCTCATCAAAACTTTCTATATAGTCACCAGCTTTAGAAATAAACGAACATTTCCGTATCTAATAATAGAGAAAATTAAGAGTTATGTAGAAGGAATAAAGAAATGTAAGAAGATGGGAAATATTCTTATTTCTGTTTATGGGAAATATTCTTGAATTCCGTTTCCCTTTAAAAAAGAAGAGATATGGCTTTTGTAGCCTGAATTTAGCCACTTTACTTTATATTTCTTAATATTTCTATTTAAATCTTAATTATCCATTGGGATAAGTTCTAAAATCTAGTGTCCTAACCGCCAAGAATCTTCTTTTTTTTAAGCCAGTTAAAATAAAACTTTTTTGTATGTGGAGCTTAACTAAACTATATGCATCTCGTCTTTCTGAATTACCAACATCAATTCCATTGAATGATTGTGTTGATGTTGATGTTTTACGAAATACATATTTTTTGTTTGATTTGTTAGCCCGTCGCAAGCCGGGCGTGCGGCCGCGAAGGGCGGGCCCCGAGGCGGGCGAGTCGCCGCGCCCCAAGTCCAGCGGGAGTGAGGACAGTGAATGTATGTTGTTTGCTTTACATTACTCGCTATACCTTATACATGTTTGCAAGTTACCGTATAAACTCAGCAGATGAGAGCACGACTCACAGTAAAATCGTCACCGCTACTACTATGTAGTAGCGGTGACGAGTTGTTGCGTGTAATTTATTATTCCCCGACTGCGATGAAACTCAAAACAAAGAGTTATATTTTAATATGTTCGCCTTAATGTATAACTAAAAGGCTGAATCGAGTTTGATAAATTACATAAAGCTTATTACATTTTAATGACGCGACTTCGCGTTGTAAAATTGTTATAACATCATCAACATTCTGAAACATGTTTTATAGACACACAGATTATATAGATACATAGAAATTGATTATAACAAGTAATGGCAAAGATCCGTTATCTGTAAATATCAATAAACTTTCTAGTATAAACCACAATTAGTATTCAGATAGTATGAGGCGAGCAGTTTGTCTATCCCATTATTAATTATATTTTAAGTAATAAATATCATTAAAAATCGTTGATCTTATCCTTTTCTTTAACAAATCATTGTAACTAATGACAGTGAATTATTTCCCGCCCCAAATAATATATTTTAAAAGCATAGAATTATCTTTTTGCATTTATTCACTTGCATTAATTCAATGCTGGCAAAAAGGGAGGGGCCCTTTTTCTCGCGTTGAATTCATATGGCGACTGCTACACTCCCATGGATCACAGTGTGATGTTATATCACCTAAAAACACAAAAGGTGAATAGGTCTCTAAAATTATGATAATTTTTACCTACCCCAGCTGTGGCGGGGTGGGCAGGTCGCGAAGGCCGGCCCCGCAACCTCGGGCGAGGCGTGAGCAAGCCCAAGAAGAACACGGTCGCGTCGCTGCTGGCGCAGAGCCGCGCGCTCGGCCTCAGGCCTGCGCTCGCGCACCAGCTGTTAGCTGAAACTGATTTGGTAACTCGTGTTATTTAATTAATCTCAGATCTAATAATAACAATCTGTTAGTAAAGTTTTTCGAAAAGACATCAAATGGAACTACTTAACCGATCACCATGAACTATCATACACGGTTTTAGGAAAACCGAAAAGGTCACAGGTGTACTTTTTGTTCAGAAAAGCTTTTTTAGTGCGAGAGCCATGCAAATATGGATCGGCTCGTTCAAAGTTTCGTTGCTTTTTACAGAGTGAGTAAGGTTATTTAAACTAAAACCTCTCTCCCTAATTCTCAACGGGGGTCAACGCACTTATGACTCTTTGAGTTGTAGGTGTCCATGGGCGGCTGCATCTCTCCGGTACCCCGTCCGCTCGTTTCCCCCCATACCATCATTAAAAAAAACTAAGGGGTGAGAGAGATATAATTATTAGATACGAGAAACCTTCAAACCTTCAAGAAAAGAGCGGACTACTTCCTCAATGGCTCGCAACGCGCTTGTGGCTCCTGAGTTGCAAGCGTTTATGGGCGGCTGTAGTCGCTTTCCATGAGCTGACCCGTCTGCTTGTTTGCCACCTGTTCCACAAAAAAAGATAGGACTAGTCGTATAAATATTCTACTGTCAGGTTGACATTGGTGACATTGTTAACAGGAAAAGCTCAAAGCTCTATTAGGTGAGACAGCGAGCACCGACTCGGAATGTCCGTCCGACAGTTGCCCGTCCGATTCTGACGCGAGCGACACCAGCCGACGGACCAACGACGCCCAGTTAAGACTGCCACTGGCCTTGGGTAAGTTCATTTAAAGGAATGCCGTATATTAATGAATGAGTAAATCAATTACTGAATGAATCAAAAAATCAGATCTACCCGAAATAGGATAGGAGTTCGAATAAACCTTCGTGGGTATTTGGCATGTACAGGCAGAGGCAGAGATATAAATCAGATCAAGCCGGACCTGATTTATATCTCTGCCTCAGAGAAAACCTAAGTGATGCTTAAGTAATATTTGCACCATATGTCCTCCAGTGTGTGAGGCTACCTAAGGCCAACAACCTGGGTAGGGGGAGTATAGCCTTCAAAGGCCAGCAACGCACTTGTCTATACCATAAAAAGGCATTTATGTTAGAGGGGAGGGAGGGGGATCTTATGAAGGGGTGAAGCGAATGAAATCCATCGCCTTCGCTAGTAAAGTCGTGCATCTATTATAAATATGGAACCAGGAGTGTATGAAATGCATTTGATCGGCAGGCTGGAAGCGTGTGACAGTCATCAAAGGTCTATCCCGGAACTGTAGCATCAAGGGTGACGTCACATACACGCCGCCTGAACCTCATGCCGCCGCCAGTATTCGTTCGATGCAAGAGTTGCAAAATGTAAGTACATTTTTCCTCTAAGACAAATCTCATAAACTACGTCCAGGTATTTTAGGTACTTGATTTTGGACGGGTGTCGTGTCTCTCCAACACAAAGGGGATCCTCTGACCAGCGGGCCGCGGTCCAACGGTTGATGTTGGGAAGTTGTATATATTCTAATCGGCGAGAGAATTATTCATAAAGCGATACAGGATAAACAGTTACGCCGTAGTTCGGTGTGTCTTCGTTAGATGGCGCTGTAGTATGTTTTTGCATAGTTGTAGCACTAGTCTCTTCTGAACGAGCGAGCCTCAAAGCAATCATGTATGATGTGTAAGAACTGAACAACATACCATCTGACGAAGCATCACGCGTGCTAATTGGTCAAATCAAATAGTACACGCTTTCTCAGCTTCCTGTTACACAATTTCGTCCCTTTTTACAAAACTACTCCTGCAAGAAAAGATGTCATACATAAAAACCAAAAAAATAGATAGTCTTTATTATAAGCTTTTTGTTGACAGTTCCTGGACTCAAACCCATCGCCTCCGTTATCAACGGATAACTTCAGCTTCAGTGCTCGCACGGTGCTCGGAGAATACGTCCAGCCCGCAGCTGATGTTGGCGAACCACTTATATACAACGAAAATGAAATTAATAAAAGGTACGTCAGTAAGTAATGGTACGTACTGTAAGTGGTTGTGTTTCGCTTAGATAGTTTATCGTATCCTGTTGATGAAGTTGATGAGTCGTCATTAAATTAACGTATGATACGGTAATTCGTAGGATTTGGTGTTAGGAGAGCTATGCTTCGGCGCATATGGATCGACTCGCCTCACAGTTATTTTAACAACTCCTGTAATTGGAATATAATATCCTGTGTCGCGAGGGACTTTACAAATATATATGAAACGGACACAAATAACATCCAGACTCAGAACAACAATTTGTGGATCACACAAAGTGTTGTCGCATGTGGGGAACGAACCTATAACACTCAGCGTAGTAGTAAGCGGCGTGGTCACCGTTTAAGAATACGCCATCCGTGCAATTGTTTGGTTGGTTTTTATCGAGTGAGTAAAATTACTAAAGGTACAACTTCTGGGTGTAATGTGTCTTTTTAGAAATATATAAATATGTCGATCAGAAAGACAATTTTCATAATAAAAGTTCGGTCTCAATTCAGTTCTAATCAATTTCGATCTTACAATTGTTATTCAAGGTATTTTCGTAGTAAAGTATTAAACGTCCTACATCGACTGTAATTTGATTATATCGTATTGTAACCGAAAATGTAATCGGTAATCTGCTGCTAATCTTAGTACTATTTTAGTAATAATGACAGTTGTGAAATCGAAGGTTGCGCGGAACTGAACTGTGACCGAACTTTTATTGAGAAAATTAGCCTTCTGTAGTGTGGTTACCGGTTAGTGAGAGGTGTGAGTGGTGCGGAGTGACGGTGTGGTGTGCCCTTAGGCTGGAGGAGGCGCGCGCGCTGTCGGGCGGGCGCCCCACGCCGCCGCCGCTGGACCGGCGCATGGAGCTGGCGCGGCTGCAGCAGGCCGCTCGCGACGCGCGCCGCGACCACAGCGCGCGCTCGCGCGACCAGGTAACGCACTATGTCAGTCGCCTCACATACTTCTTTTCTACTTATATAACCTTCACTTTACTTTTTGATAGTCGATTAAAAAACTCCTTCTTTATGAGTGTGAAAACCCCTCCCGGGTTTTCGGTGATTCAGTGTTTGGCTGTTTCGAGCGCCCGCCTTTAAAAGCTTGTGAACCACCTATAAACTAAAAACCGTCCAGCCTCAATCTAATTTAACAAAAGACCAAAAATTATTCGTTCCAATAAAATGAAAAAATCTAGAACTTCAAAAACTGAAAATAATGAATTTTTAATTTAATACATTTCTATCGTTTTTAAAAGATTTGTTATATAAATACTTACTTACGTTTCACATGTTATTAGTATTTTTATAACCCCTTATTACATATTGTATTAGAAATTGATTCACTTCGGGTAAAGTTCAAACCTACAGTCAATCACAAACACCCTCATTAATTTAAAAAATATTTAAGAAAAAAATCTTAGTAATTTTTTAATAGAAATATCAGAAAAAAAACCTATAGTCCATTCGCGCTTAGAAAATAGTGACGTACCGCTCAAGCCCCACCCCCTAACTAATCAGGTTCCAAAAAATTATCGTTTCGTAAGAAAGCTTGAAACCTGAATGGTCAAGATGCAGGTCTTGTTCGATACGTCACTATTTTCTTAATGCAAATGAACTATAGTGAAATCTTAAAGTACAATAACAAACACTTTTGTTTGCTCAACAGGCACGCCTAGAACGCTCAGAAAAAGCAGAACTCGCCAAGCGCGAGAAAGAAGTCCGAAGTCAACAACTGCTAGAGGTAACTTTGTCAAACCGGCTACTTTGAACTATTACAACACTATGTGGGTTATTTGTACCTCTTGTGTTTTTTTTTAAATTCTCATATTATGGTTATAGAAAGTCGAATCAATACGTAGTTATAGTAAATAATATGAAATTTGTAAGCTTTCTCTTGCTTTTAAAAATAGTGCCGTCTAGTGATTAATATTAAATTTTATATGTAACTCTAAAAATAGAGAAACCTTTTTTGGAGTCGGTAATAAAAAAAAACTAGACTACTCCTAAAATGAAGTCGAAACTTGCCCTACGTACTCTATGGTACAACTAAACTGTGTATTTTTAAATTAAATGATAAAAAAAATAAATGATTCAGACTTCGTCTTTAAACCAGTGTCAACCAGTTCTTTTATTTATTATTATTATTTTATAGCTTTACATCGAGTGAATGAGGTTACAGAGCACTTGTGACTCTTGAGTTCCAGATGTCCATGGGCCACGAAAGTTGCTTTCCAGCAGGTGACCCATCTGGGCCTCAATTCTGCTATTTTATGTCAAGCAAGTGTCAGTGGCATCTCAATGGCGTGTCATTGGAATGACAGTCCAATGACACGCTATTGAGATGTCAAAATATCGGTATTCTACTAACATAAATGCACAGTGTCAATAGACTGTCGATATAGGTAATTAATGGTCATTTTAACAACATTGCCATATCACTAAAATTAAATATACATTTCCTTACAAACTTGAAATGTACCGTTTATCAAAATATTACAAAGACTTCGGTGACATTTATATCACTAACAAGTCATTGGGAGGCCATTGGTGGTTAGTAGAATAAGATAAGTGCAAAACTATGCCAACGACATTCCATCGACAGTCTATTGATACAATACTAATATAGCAGAATTGAGGCCCTGCTCGTTTACCCCTTTATATCAGGAAAAAAAAAAAAAAATTGATGGTCTTAACGATTAAGATGTATTGTATCGGCGTATGTTAGCTATAAAACATATAGTGGACCATAACATGAGAATTATATCTGCTCCTAGTTTGTTTGTATGTTTTAAATCCATGTGCTTGTGTTTGTTTTTATTTTTTTTATTATCAATTTGATGCTTGGCAACATTGTGCTCACCATTCGTATTGTAGACTTCTTTATTCAAAAGCAAAAAGGGCCTTTTGGGGTTGTAAACGTAAAAAATTGGTTACTTTTTGCTTTTTTTTTCTATATTGGTAGAAAGCATTGGAATTCTTAGCTTTTAGTTGGTAGCTGAGCTGTGTGTATAGTAATAGATTTGGTATATCATATACTTCTATATAAATATATATTTATGTAAATTTCTTCTATTGGGTATAAGAATAACACCAAGAACCGCCAAAGGTACCTTGACAATGTTGTCAAATCCAAATTGATAATAAAGACGAGAAAAAGCGAAAAATAAAAAAAAATATAATGGCAAAAAATTCGAAACAGCATATCAACAAGAACCGTACGCAGTTGACCATCGAGCCGCTGCCTACGATTCCCAAAAGTGTGATCGACGAGTGGAAAACACCCGACATAGTGATGGGACCAGCCACTAAGAGTTACAGGGACCGCATTATGCCTCCTATAAGTCTATCTCTCATACCAGTTTCGGGTCCAAAAGACAGCCAGCATTCTCCTATAAAGACGTTAAAATTCGATCAGTCTGGATGGAAAGAAGATATAGAAGAATATAATGCATTAGACAAAATGAAAGATTTCGCTGAAAAAGCAGCATTTGATATGCCTAAACGAAAAGACAAACAATACGATTTCTCAATAAAAACTATCAATGTAGATAAAAGATTAAAACCACCAGAAAAAGAGAACAATCTAGAAAAATTAATCGAATCATATTCTAGAATAACAGAATTTATAAACGGCTGTGATTGGTCGAAGTTACAAACTGACAGAAGGACTGAGGATCCAAAGTCTTTAGAACAAAAATATTTAGACGCTAAAAACGAATTTATGTCCGAAAACCTTATGCTCATGCCGAAAGACACTTCTAAATCGGTATTGAAAGAGGTAATCGACCTCAGTGAGGACGATGACAATATATTAACAGATATTATATCTAAGAAAATTAGCAAAGGGACGTTTAATATTGGGAAAGATGGCGCCCTGTCAATATCGGTGCACCCACTTGGCACTAAGGAAATGTCACTGGTATGTGAATATCAAGAACTAAAAGAAACTAACTTTCGGGATACTGTTTCACTAACCGCACATACGCTTGGCCTACAAACCTAACATTTCATATTCTTTGTCTCATTTGGGAGGGTATTTTTATAAAAATAAATACTTGTATAAGTGGTCAGTCTGATCCCAAACTAGGCAAAGCCTGTACTATAGTAACCAGACTGTTGATAAACACTTCTATATTTTTAAATATCTATATTCGAATACATATTATAGATAAAAAACACCCAAACACAGAACAAATTATCGTAATATGATATTCATTCATATTCTTTAATAATAAACGGTTTAATTCAACGTGTGTATTATGGGGACGCTCGCGGTCTTTTTTCAAGGGAAGGGAAGGGGCGACCTGAAACTGGTTGGGGAATCCCCGGAATACACATGGGAATAAAATAACTTATCTTAAATAAATGTGGGTAGTTTTAAAATTGAACTATTTCAGAATTTCCTTAGATTTGGTGTACTTCTTAATTTTCAAACAGTTTGTATGGATAATTATTTGTTGTAATGATTTAGAGGTCTTTGGACTATCACATAATAGGTTTGAGAGGGTAATAATTTAAAATCTCATGTGAGATTTATTGGAGGCAGTGAACTGTATTTTTGGGGTCTCTCGTAAATGAAGTCCTTGGTTATGGGATGTAGGCGTTTTTATTGGTTTTGACAGAGAGAGCACACACATTAACACACACGACCACGAATTATTGTCAATTCCAGTGTTGCCGCGTTAACAAACAAAATATTTGTTTACGACTGCTATAAACATAATAGAAAAAATCATATCTTAGGCCGTTATATATTCAATTTCCTAGAGAACATGATCAAATTGAAGAGTTTTTACTTACTTCTTAGATTCTTTAAAATAAATTAAATTAATTAATTTTTAAGCTGTACATCATCGCATTCTATTGGGGAATTTCTTAAAAGAAACATAATTTAATTCAGGCCTAAGTGCAAAATCTTAACCTTAATAATACCATCCTGAAACCACTCTTGAAGTCAGCAAAGTTAGCCTTCTCCTTTTAACTATACTAAGAGAAAACTCTCGTTCAGTATTGGAACAGTTCAATATAACAGTGGGAAATATTAGTATATAAAAATTGAAATATATTAAATAACACCTTACACATGGTCATCTGATCTAGGTATCAATTTATATAGCGTTTAGAAAATAGTGGCGGTACAGGCATCGGTCAAGATCCGGCCCCTGACCTGAGGTTCCAAGAAATTATCGTTTCGTACGAAAGCTTGGAACCTGTTTAGTCACCATTGGTTGGCTTGATCGATGCGTCACTATTTTCTTATTACGAATGGACTATAGGCATAAACTGTACTATAATCAGACTGCTGATAAACATACTTATATATTTCTAAATACATGTTATACGATCACCAGACACAGAACAAGGGATCTTGCTCATCACCCAATTATTTTGCCTGGGTGTTGCACCCAGGACCTTGGTAGTCAGGTTTACTAACTACTATCAATACCAGCCTGTCTTATATAAATATTTTTTATGTCACGTCACGTCATTTGTATGTCATTCTCATGCACGCTTTTATGCTTTTATATTTTATGTTTGTTTGTCTTTGGCTGTGATTGTATTAAGTTAAATACCTCTTCCTATTCGGACGTTTGAAGAATTTAATTTGGCATTTTACTGATTTGTCAGAAAATGTCAGGTCAATGACCTCCCACAAGGTTATTCGTACAATATACATTAAAATTGCATTTTAGCAAGATAAATACACAATAGTATTATTAGTTTTACAGAAGAGTCATTTTAATTACTTTTTTACATTAAATTGTAGAATTATGAAAATTATGCTTATATTAGCCTTGCACCATTGCCTTCTGTTATATTAAGTTAAATTGTTGGTTTCGCTAAATAAATTGTTTTTTTTTTAATTCTCTTTGATTTTTAATAACTGACTTTTTAATTTATGCCTTTGTCTTTCCCAAGATCAGATAAATACACAATTGAGAACAGACGAAATCGCCCTCTATCTGGTGTCTTTCAACTGATTCTTTGTTTGAAGATTCGAGAATTTCTTTAATTCATTCTAATCTTAATAGGTCTTAGAAGGTTAATTTATTTTGTTTTCACAAGTAAGTCTAACAATCAATATTTCTAAGTTGCACATATTATTTTTTGTTTCATGTTACGCTGTTATTAATATAATTTGCTGTACCGCTTTTCGATGTTATTCGCACGTTCGTATATGAAGGCTAAAAGGAGAAAGCAGGAGGAGATAGAGAAACAGAAAGTAGAAGATCAAGCTAAGAGGCAACAGGTTTGTTTAGTAATTGGATTTGCTGTTAGAATCGTTTAGAAATTATTGTCATATATGCTTTGCTAGAGCGACTTTCTTATATTATTAGGTAGCAAACAAGCTTGTTGACTGCCTCAATGTACAGTTATACATTTCATCGCTTGCACAAACAGAATTATTATAATTATTAGGGCATTGTCAGCTCTCTCTTTTTAACCGACTTCAAAAAGGAGGAGGTTATCAATTCGTATGTTTATTTTTTTAAATCTATGTTCGGGCATAACTTCGTCATAGATTTGCAAAATTCTTGTTTTATTCGAAAGGCGTTTATTCCGAAATGGTCCCATTTAATTTTATATAGATCTGATGACGAGTTTCGAAGGCAGACAACGGAACTCTTCCAAAAATACCAGTAACCGCGATTGCTGCTAGGTTTTAGTGTTCTTTGTTAGTGTTGTTTGAAGTCGGTTCAACTTTTTTTTTCAAAAGGATTTATTTATACAGATTCATCAAAGAGCTCTGGACGATATCATTATCGGTAGCATTATTAAGCACTGACTCGGTGCTATAGAATTTAGATTTTAATAACATAACATATTTAACCATGGGAGAGACATGTTTCAACACATAAACCAGTGTTAAGCAATAGAACAGAAATTTGCTCAATCTCCTGATAAATATCATGTTAAGAGCTGATTATCTGAACCAGACACTGTTACCTGATCATCAACAGCCTTAAGTTTTATTTGTTTAAAAATACAACACCCGCATTAGGAATATATCCTGTGTCGCGGGGGACTATACAAACAAACATCAAATGGACACAAAGAACACCCAGACTTAGAACAACAATTTGTGTATCACACAAAGTGTCGTCTCATGTGGGGTTTGAACCCACATCACTCAGCGTAGTAGTAAGCGGCAGTCAAAGTTAGTAGGCATCCGTGCATTCAAAGTTAGTAGTCCACTGCTGGACATAGGTCTCTCCTTAGATAGGAGCTTTTGGCCTACTATACCACGCTGGCTAGGCGCTGTTACCTGATACCTGACTTTACTGTCGTAGCTTTATTATACGAAAGTATCAACAGTTTTCCATAACTGAAAATTCTCCTTTGGCTCTCTTTCTATCTCTTCTCGCATCTAGCAAAGCATACATAAGTAAAGAGAATGAACTTTGTTACAGGAAAGAGAAATAAAACGCCAACAAGCTATTCTACTTAAAGAACAGGTCAGTAGATATATGTCTGTCTCACTCTCATGTGTTTAACATTAGCATTTATTAAGTTGGAAATGAACTATATTTATGGACATAATTATATAAAAACCAGTATTTATTTATTTATAACATATAATATGGTTATCGCGGTAAAAAGTAGCCTATGTTACTTGCTTAATATGTACCTCTCCATTGGTGAAAGTATTTTTGTGTGAGCTACTATGCCGTTACGTCATACGTTACGTCATATTGTCAAATATTTAATGTTGATTTGAGGATACGAAAACAATAGACTGAAGTGTGTAAAGTGACACAGGATATATACCTAGTTATTATTTATGTAAAAATAAATAAAAAATAAAATCCTTAAATTGAAAATGGAGGACTATTCGGGCTGTACTTTAAGACAGTTAATTACTGATTTTTAATCTTTAATTTCTGATGTTGCTATAGCTTTCTTTCTGTCTCTATATTTCGTTCGACTTTTGTCTGAGAACATCCGCCGTAACAAGCTTAATGTGAACTGCAAAATAAAATCGGTTGCGTTGGAGAAAACCTAGGTCTGATCGAACTTTACGGGTCCTTTTTTACTATAGTTATTCAGACATTTAATTTATTAATAATATGATTTTTGGACATTTAAGTTGGCATTAGTATTTGAATCGAAATTATTTTTTATAGTTTTGAAATAAAAATAAAATAGTTCATCTCCGATGTTTTCTTTCTGTGTTTAATATCTATGTGTTTGTGTGTAACCGTGTGTTTCTTTTTTTACAATCGTCGTGGACATTGCGGGTGCGCAGCAAAAGTATATCACTGAGGTAATAATCATAAACTATAGGAAGACTAGCTGTCGCTTGTAGACTGTAGAGAAACTGGAAGTTTTGTAGGGTGAAGTGTAGTGTGTATAGATAAACCACTTAATGGGTCCTCGCTCGCGGGGCGAGGGCGCGGAGGTAGGACGAGAACGGGGACCGGGAGAGGTGCGGGTGACGGGCGCTCGTAGCGTGATAAGAATGCGAGAAGAGGATTCAATTAAGTGGTTAATCTATAGTGTAGCTTATGGAGGCATTAAGTTCTGCGCTTGTGATATTAGATGAAGTAGAATTCTGTAGTTTTTTTAACCGACTTCAAAAAAAAATATAGGTTCTCAAAATTGTCGGTTGAATTTTATGTTTATTATCTTAGAACTTCGTGATTTATGAATCGATTTGATATTTTTGTAATTTAGAAGGGTAAACTTTCCATTTGGTGGGTAATGGATTCTATTCCCACCCATGACAAATATTTGTGTGATGAGCACGATCATTTGTTGTGGCTGGGTGTAATTTATCTATTATATGTATTTGGAAATACTTAAACATGATTATTAGCAGTCTGGTTCCCATAGCACAGGTTCATCCTAGTTTGGGATCAGATGGGCGTGTGTAAGATGTGTGCTGTTACTATTATTATTATTTGGTACTATTTAAAAAAAATCATCATTTTCATTAACCATGATTTTACTCATCTGTTCCTTTATCAAGGGGTGAAGGGTGCATTTACATATATTGCGTTATTTTTTTTACTTACTACGTAGTTCATAGATTTCAGAGGTCTGTCCTAGTGTGAGTTTATTGCAAAATCAATTCAATCGCTACGGTGACCGTGTTCGGGGCTGCGATTGGTCAAGAGTTCAAGGCCGATCACAACTCCGAACAAATACATTATTACAAAATATTTTTGTTTTTGTCAACCCAGGAGCGTGAACGAAGGCGACAGCATACAACTTTTATCCGTCAATTGGACTCCCGAAGAAGATGGGAAGAACGAGAAAGAAGAAAACACCAGAACTTACTGGACAGGCTGCTTGCTAAAGAGAAGAAACTGCAGCAAAGGCGAAAGGAAATGGAACTGCTCTCTGAATTGAGGTAATTTTTGTGGTCAGTTAATATCTCCAGTCGTTAACTCTACCTCAATTCATCTTGTGTCTATATCCCGTCTGAAAAGGGTCACATTTTCAAGAACGGTAGGCGTGCATCAGGCAAAATTGTTTAGCAATTTAAATATTGTGAGTATAAGAAAACTTATAATGATTCTCGAAATAAAGTGTCAAATAATAAGACATTGGTCTGTTTTTTATGGTGCTTAAATAAGTATTCTTGTTATAAGGTGAACATTATTTAAGAGTTATTTTTGTTTTCTTGGACTAAAGTGTTTTTGTGGTAACATTACTCATTTCTAGTAATCTTGTTAACCACTCTGCTTCTGTTAAGAATAGTTCATGGTAGCGTTGATATCGTAACCATTTGATTTCAAACACGACCTCGATCGCTTAAAAGTTTTATACTTTTCTGGTAGTAAGTTATAGTTCTAATAACTATTCTTTTTTTCTAGACGGCCACAAGAAGACTCATCTCTATCAGACCAGAAACCATTGCCGACCCTTAACAGGATCCCTGGGCTAAAGCTACCCGGACAGGCGATGGCGGATTTACTACAAGCGTATGAGTTCATACACAACTTCGGACAGACACTTGGATTTGGTGAGTTTTGAAGAATATGACAAAATTAATTACAATCGATGGAATCTAAAACGTATGAGTTTGATTAAGATGAGGTTATTATTAACCAACAAACGAACTATGTTATGCTGGCTAAGTGTTAGAGAAACTATAGTGAGAGTTAGATTTTGTCATGTGGAAAGGATGAGTGAATAGAGATTGGCTAAACAATTATAATATGAGATTCTTGTAAGTAGGCTAGTTGCTGAAATAGGTCCCGAAAGAAAACATCGACTGACCAAATCACCAGGGCCTCAATTCTGCTATTTTATGTTAACGCCAAGCCACCATGGAATGACTCCATTGACACGCTATTGGTATGCCATTGAGATGCCACTGACATCGATTAAAATCATTTCATTTTTCATTTCATTTATTTGACAAACAATTACATACAAATTATACAAATTACAAATTTAATCAAACAAATACATTCAATGATTTAAGAGTTCGTCGTTGACGACCGTACTAATGTAAATTGTGTTACAGTCGTCAGCTTCTTCCACCCTGGGTAACTCAATTTATAATTGTATAGCTGACTACAATTTTTGAAATCAGATTATAAAGTTAAAAAATAGTAGGAAAAAAAAAAGTATATAATTCAATTAATTAATATATTCTACTGGATTAAATTCATTTACATTATTAAATAACAACAATCTCTTTGTTGACCATAAGCGGGGGTTTACATACGTGTGTGCGTGCCTGCGTGTATGTGTGTTGTGTGTGCGTGAGAGGGTGTGTGTATGTGTGTGTGTGTGTGTGTGTGTGTATGTATGTGACCGTTGTAGATGAGCGTGAGTATGTTATATGTTAGAGCTATTTACATCTTTGGTGGTTCACGATTTTTTCTACAGTCTCGTAATTTAAGCCTTTCAGCCAGCCTGTAATTATTGCTTTGGTTATTAAAATATTGGTATTCTACTAAAACTACTTACTAGAATAAGAAAAATGCAAAACTATTCTGACGACATTCCTTCGACAGTCTATTGATACAATATTAAAATAGCAGAATTGAGGCCCAGATCAAGTTAAAAGCACCCATAACTGGCAAGCGTGTATAAAATGAAGAATGTGGAATGAAGAATGTCACAAATGGCGTCCAATTATCTCTGTCTACCTCCAACCAGGAATAAGGTGTCAGGATATGACATGTATGTTTGTATGTCAGTATGTATGACTGAAGTTATTTGCTGTTTTATAAGAGACTACTATGGATGTATCTGCATATATAAAAGCTATAAATGTATTTTGTTTATTTATTTAAACTTTATGCACTAACATAGTCATCCTCTACGAGTTTACCCTATTGTAGTTTACAAATGAGAGATAAGGTGCACACATACATTATAGAATACATTATAATAGTTAGGAATTTGAAATTGATCAAAAAAAGGAACTGAATATAATGAAATATCGTCTCACACAAAAAGGGAAGAGAAGAAACCGAATTTGAATGTTATTGAAATATTCAAAATCCATTATAGTGGTATCGACTGCTGTACCTACTGAGGTACAGCAGTCGATACCACTATAATGGAGATTGACCCGAGACTGCTCGGGTTCGATTCCCGGGTCGGAACAAATGTTTGTATGATCTGCAAATATTTGTTTCGGAGTTTGGGTGTTTTCTATGTTTAATATGCATTTATAAGAAAATCATGTAAGTATTCTAACAGTCAATCTAGCTTTCATATTACATATACTGCTTGATGCTTGCAGATGTCCGAAAATATTATTATTGTGAAAGATAATCTATTCTCGTGTCCTGAAACCTGGTCCTAATTCAATTCATTTGTCTGCAACGTTATATGTTAAATTATTAAATAAAATTAATACGACATTAAAACATTCAAGAAAAGAGGCCGGCAACGCGCTTTTGACTCCTGAGTTGCAGGCGTTCATGGGCGGCGGTAGTCGCTTTCCATCAGGTGACCCGTCTGCTCGTTTGCCCCCAATTCCATAAAAATTAAAATCATTGTGTATATTGCCTAGACATGGAGACAATCCCGACATTGAACACGTTCCAAATGGCGCTGCTGCCCGACTGCAGCGTGGAAGCTGAAGAGGAACTCATTCAAGTTTTGACACAACTGCTTGTTACTGCTATAGGTATGCTCCTTTATTTTTTTTATTGTCTATAAATTGTTGTGTTTTAAATTTGTTGCTGTTTTGACAAAAAAAAAGAATATCAACAGTAAAGCTATCTAAATGTGTGTGTGTATATAGTTGTATGGTTTTACAAATACAATTATCAGAAAATCGATAGGACCATCAAAACAGTTACGTTATAGTTTTCTGTGAATCTGTTAGTTTGAGTATAATATATGTACATATTATGTTATCATGCAATCACACAAAATATGATTCTAATAAATATTAATAAATTAATTCTGGCAATCGCTAAGGTTGGTACTCGTTATTTTAAAAATTAGTGAGAGTTAGCTGAGTTAAAAGTGGGCCTTTAAAAGCAGAAAACCCGTACTAAGCTGTAATAAGCAGCTAAATTTCTATGTTATACTTGCTCCAGCAGAAAGCTGCTAAATTGCCGTCTTTTACTGGCTCCAGCAGATTCCAGATTCAATTCCAGCAGAAATGTTCTGTGTTCTATCTCCTCAATCTTTTGGTTAACAAGTGTTCTTATTATTTGTCCGCAGAGGATCCAGGCATCCCCCACCCAGGTCGACATACAACCCTATTAGGTCACGCCATACGTATGGGAGATATTACACCCCACAACTTGAGCGAAGTGCTGCGGATATATCTGTACGCGAATGCTACGGGTGAAATCAAGGCTTTAACTGGTATGTACTAATGTGAACTATACTATAATGTATTTAACTGCTTTTCATGAGTGAATGAGATTACCGGTAGCTCAAATGGAACACTGTGATCTTTTTAATTATTTTAATTTTTTACTCGCGACGCAAAAACGACGGGGTGTTATAAGTTTGACTTGTCTCTCTCTGTGTGTGTGTGTGTGTGTCTGTCTGTGGCATCGTAGCCCCCGATCGGACGAACCGATTTTGTATTTATTTTGTGTGAAAGGTGAATAAGTCGGAAGTGTAAAAAAAGCTATTTCTATTAAGCTATGTTTGATTAAAAAAAAACGGTCTAAGATGGCCACAAAATGTCGGATTATATATTTTACACAACTCCTTCAATAAGTGTATTAAATGAAGGGGCTTCATTAGTAGAATACTATACACAAATCACAAATTTCAAAGCTAAGATGTGTATTTTAGGGGGGTTTTTTAGATTTTTTATTTAATTTTCCCAAACTATTATTATTATTGTATCTAACCTCTACTAAAACTTGCTGTATTATTACCAGGTCTAACAGCAGAACGGGAGCGCGAACGTCGTATAGCAGACCACCACCAGAACGAGTCCGAAATGCAGCTGACCTGCGCTAACACCAAGAACGCAGCTTATTACGAACAGTTACACAACAACGCCACATACAAGCTGTCAGGTAAATATATCTCGGACAACGGACACAAAAATGTGTTTATTTGCTTGTCTGTGTTTTTAAATAGAAATTGAGTAGTTTACCAAAACACAAACAGTTTATAACACTACTTTTTTTTTGTTATTCTAACAGAGGCCCTTCGCGACAAGCCATACTTGGCCTTGAATGCGACAACCAAGGCTCGTATCCTGGCCTACGTGTGCGACGAACTGTTACAGAACAAGGCCGTGTTGAGACAACTAGACACTTCTTTAGAACACCTCAACCAACTGAAGAAGGAACGATATCTCATGGATATGAAGATTAGGAAGTAAGTGGCCGCCCGCGTGTATGTCTGTTATCGCTGTAAAAATAATGTAGCTTTCCATTGGTGAAGCTTTTAATTTTTTTAATTCGTATAGTGGTTTACGCGTGAAAGCGTAACAAACAAACTTATTTTCACCTTTATAATAAAAGTATTGTTGTATATGAATACAAGGCAGGTAAGCAAGGTAGGTTGATTTATATAGGATAATATAGGATAATTGTATATACTTGTATTCTCCTTTTATTAATGTTTAATTACTTAAAAGTGTGGTGTGGTTTTATGGAACCACTATGCAATCGGATTTAGGGTATTAAAATCGCGTTTTAATCTTAATTTAATAATTGGAAAATGGAAATGATAATGGGAAATCAATAATAGACAAGATATCCAACTATACATTTTAATTTCAATCAGCGTATTATTTGTCCGTGTGGTGACAGATTAAGAATACGGAATGTCACCATTATGAATAGGGGTATTCATCCCGTGGGTGACGTAAGAGCCGACTAAGAGAGCAAACTACGCAGGACAACAGCACTGCAAAGAGAAGGTAAACTTGAAACAAACCCTATACCAACCCGTCTGGCCAGCGTGGTATAGTAGGCCAAAACCTCCTTTCTAAGGAGAGACCTATGTCCAGCAGTGGACTGTTATAGGCTGCTGAAGAATTGAAGAAGAAGAAGCGTATTAGAGTACGGCAATCATAATAAATACATTAGATGATAGACGCATGTTAAAAACTGAGCACATGCTACAAGGTCAGATGATGCGAGCGCCGCCATATTGGCCTTGCCCATAATGCAACATGCGATACATGGACGAAAAAATTTAAGACAGTGTACTAAAAGTTTCACTTTAATAACGGTTTAGAAATAGTTAATAATTAAAAAAACAATTTAAGCATGGAATGGAGTCTTTTTGTAGGGAAATGATGTCAGCGCCGCCTTTTGAGAATATATTTAACTATCTTTTTCTAGGGTACGAGTACTCCACCAGCGCAAGGTCCGAGCTGAACAAACAGAGAAGCAACAGCTTCTCGCATTGGAAAGGATGCAGAGGCTGGTGGAAGAAAGTGCAGCTAACCTTCTAACTTCACCACCTTTACATGATGACGGTAAGTTGTTTTTTTTAAATTTTTATTTGAAAAAAAAGCACAACGTTAAACTCCCGTGTAACATATATGATATAATACTAAACCAGACTAGGTTCAGACTCGACAGGGGTCCTTTATCAAGAGAACTGTCTTCTCAGTATCGAGTGTCTATAGCAGAACGATAAATAGTCGACGAATTTTAGTTATAATCATTGGTCACTATGACGTCCATTATAATTATTTACTAAAAAAAATACACGAGAATTTACACTCTCGTCTAATCCCAAACTAGGCAGAGCGTGTACTACGGTAACCAGACTACTGATAGACAGACATACTCATATATTTCTAAATACATACATATTATATATAAATTACACTCAGACACACAACAAATAATTCGTGCTTATTACACAATCATTTATTCTGGGTGGGAATCAAACCCACGATTTTAGGCTTAGGACTCAGCATCACTAACCAATACACCAATAGGCCAGTCTAAGTATTAATTTTCAATATTTTTATTTTTCCAACAGAAAATCAACAGATTCAGGATAAAGCAGAAACTCCTAAGAAAGCGGATAAGGAATCCTCTCCGCATCCAGAAAGTGAGACAGAGAAGCAAACAGACCACTCTCCTTACAAGGAGAACCAACCCGAAGAGAGTGACAAGGAATTATCACCGTTAAAGGATTTATCAAATAGTATGAAGAACAAAGAGATGTTGAATAACAACAAGGATGAATGTTCCCCGCCTGATGTTAAGATTGATAAGGATAGTATGATTGGTGACTGTGACGCCATTTTAAGTGATTTGGAGAGCGAGGGCACACAACCAGAAGAGGTAAGTCTATGTAAATGTAGGTATAACCTCTGGTAGGTAATATTTTTGTTTGAGAGATCTATTCTAGATAGGTATAGTCAAAAGCATTTTATTATTAAGTAAATATATTACGATTCTAGTTACGTATTAGTTTTGGTTAAGCATGGCTAGGTTCAGGCCCCATGCCTTTTCTCATAATAATAAAGCGATCTCTCTCATAAATTATAATGCATTATTATTTTCTACCAAAACCTCCTAAGGAGAGACTTGTCCAGCAGTGGATGTCCAGCAGTGGACTGTTAAAGGCTGTTGATGATTTTCTACATAGATGTCCAATTTTAGTGTGAACGTTGTGATAATTTATTAAATATGGGTAATCTCAAATGAAAACAATTCTAACCGCCTTATATATAGTACTTGGTTCTACATTCGCTTTTTGTAAGGGTTTTCAATGTTCTTTAATGATATTTTTTGTAAGCTTGTGTAGTGTTGGTGCTTCAATAATTTATTTTCAAAATTCAAACTTAAAGATGGTATTTTTACATAATAGATATTACATATCTTTGAATTGCCTGAAGTTTCGACCAGACAGGAAGTTTTCACAGACAACATGTGACCACGGCCAGTGCAACATAGTATACATAATTATATATTAAAAAATGAATAGTTTAAAAATATTATCGTGTGTCGTTAGGATGAAGACAAAAATCTGTCGTCGGAAGAGCTGGCTCGTAAGCTGGAGAAGCTGTTGAAGCAATCAGAACAGCAATTGTTACAGCTCACCGCGGGATCTCACGCCTTGAGGGCCACTTGCTACGGACAAGATAGGTAAGGGACACATGTACATTCAGATATCTCGACCATAGTCCATTGCATCCTGACTATTCAGGTTTCAAGCTTTCATACAACACGATAATTTCTTGGAACCTGATTGGTTAAAGGGCGGAGCTAGATCGATGCGTCACTATTTTCTTAACGCGAATGGAATATAGGTATATATTTTACATAAATGCACGTCTTTTCTCCCCGAAGGGGTAGACACAGGCGTATTACGACTACCCTGTTGGTCTAGTTAGTGATTTTGACTGCTAAGCCAGAGGACGCGGGTTGGTTTCCCACTCATTCTCTTCCCCTTCGGGACTAAAGGCGTGACTTTATGTACTATAGACAAGTTTCAATGAAAATAATAAGAATATATTTTATGGTCAAAACGAAACATCAGACAAACAGTGGTTTTAATAGAGCTGAAGTACCGCTCGGTCATGTTAAAACATATTTTGGTACGTACATAGCGCCTACAACAAAAGTATCGTTTCAACAGGTATTGGCGTAGATACTGGTCCCTGGGTAAATGCGGTGGTATCTACGTAGAGGCGATGGAGTCAGCACAGCCGGAAATAATGCAGTATCACCACCAGTTAGAGAATAATTCACTCAGGGGCACATCTCTACAGGATATCAAGAAGAAGAAGAAAGGTGAGATAAGATTAAGGAGCTGGTCTTGGTGGTAGCATTTGTTGACTTATACGAATCCGATTTTTTTTATTTACTACACGACTTTTATAAAACGAAGTGTAATGTTTTTTAGGTTTGTATGTATATAAGTTTCTTCATCCTATTACTAGATGTTGCTATGTCACCGGCGCGGTTGATGATATGAAAATAATTTATGGCCTATAGCACTTAGGGATAATGCAAGTACTTATTAGTGGAAGAATTTTCATTGTCGGTTCAGTAGTTTTAAAGATTACCCCCCTTAACAAATTTTACCTCTTTATAATATTAATATTAGTAGTAGACCACAACCTTCTTTCTATAGGCCTATGTCCAGCAGTGGACTGTTAAAGGCTGTTGATGATAATGATACTCTTAGTATATATATATATATATATATATTTAATATATAGCATAATCTAAGATAACTTCTAAATGTCCAAATAAATGTTGATGTGTAGAATATCGTCAGAATCCTCCCCTCATCTCAAGTGATACTGTTATAAACGATTAAAAAAACTTTTACAAGCTTATTTGCAACAACATTGCATGCGCATAATAGCACGGATGGTGTAGTGGTTTAAGCGGTCATCTCGCTGCTTCCTACTGCGCTGAGTGTTGTGGGTTCGATTCCCACGTGGGACAACACTTTGTGTGATTCACAAATTGTTATTCTGAGTTGTGTATGTGTGTAAAGTCCCCTGCGATACAGATTCTTTTCCTGGTGTGGAAGTTGCCTTTTTAAAGAAAAAAAAACCTCAAATTACACTAAATTTTCATATCTGCAGCACCAAGAGAAAAGAAAGACTCCCTTCCATCCGAAGCGGAGAAGCCGTCGGAGACGGAGGCGCAGAAGAAAGAAGAAGCTCTCAAGAGTGAACTGGAACTAAAGAGTATCAAGTCAGAGTTGAACCTCAGCGACCACACACAGATTATTAAATACGAACCGAATGTTAAACATGGCGCTTGTAAAGTTGAAGGTGAGTTGAAATTAAAAAATAAATATTTAACCAACTTTGTCTGGATAATAAAAATAAAATGTTGTCCGTTAGTCTCACTAAAACTCGAGAAAAGCTGGACCGATTTGTCTCAAGTTGGTCTTAAAATATGTGTGAGAGTCCAGGAAAAGTTTAAACAGCAAGAAAATGTAAAAATAAACAACAGTTTTTTTTTATTATCTGAAACAAAATTATCCTTCCTGACTATTAAAAATTTGATGTTCGTCTTCGAAAGGTTTAAATCGAAACTATACAAATATCCACAATATTAGGATTTCGTATTTAAATTGACAAAATCGACATTGGTTGTCAAATAGTGACTAATTTCAGTTTCGTAGTTAGTTTGTAGCTTCACTTGAGTTTTGGTAATTTTACCCCATCAATTCTTTGTATAAAAAGAGACACTATTATATACATAGATAAAAAAAATGAAGGTGATACAAAGTTCACCGGTCACACAGTTTTAATATAATAAGAAAACCACTCACGTAAGTTATTATTCTAATAATAACATAAAATGTTTATTTTTCTTTACAGGTTCCTCAATAAAAATGGAAGAAAAATATATCCAACAAAAACAACACAACGAGGAAGACATGCTGGACATCGAAGACTCCATTCCAACTGCATTTTTAGTCCAAAAGCCAACCCATAAACCAATGTTTGCCACACAAGCTGAACCAATGGACAAACCACAAGAAATCGTCAAAGTTGAAAATGTCGTTAAAAACGAATCAGAAATAGAAGACCACGAAGAGACGAAAGACCAACTAGTCAATAACTTAGAAGAGCTACGCAAAATGGCTGAAGCAGTATCTTCTCAATTAGATGCCGCTAAAAAAGCAGAAGCAGAAATAAAAGAAGAGAGAAGAGAAGAGAAACATAAATCTGACCTATCAGACGCGGTTCCCGCTCACCAGCAGTTGTATACAAAAATTTTAGAAGGGAAATGGTTCTCTATCTTAAGACACGAAAGTTCATTTTTGAATCACGTCAATGACGCTGAGAAGTTGGAAGTGACGGAGTTCTGCGATAACGAACACACTTGTTCTGAGGTCATTTTGTGTCAGGGTCATAAGTGGGATGTGTCAAACAACTTGCATTTATTAAATGACCCAAGCTTGTTCACCCTGAACAGCATGGTGACGAGCGTTCAAGTGCCATCCAATAACGTTTACGCTGATTCGAGCTTGACCATGTCTGGGTTAGACCAAGATATGATCGACTCTAGTGTTAATAATAAAGATGGTGATGTTCAGGAAACGGAAGCTGAGGAAGAAGGCAAAGAACAGGTATGATCTGTGTGTCAGATTCTGTAAAATAATTTCGAACAGTTTATTTCTTTGATTAAACGCGGTCATCTCTCGAACTTATCAGTCAGGTTTAAATAAGATTTTTTGAGTATTCATTATATAGGAAAGGTTATAGATAACATCAACGGGCCTGTTGGTCTAGTGGTTAGTGACCCTGACTACTAAGCCGGAGGTCGTGGGTTCGATTCCCACCCAGGACAAATATTGTGTGATGAGCACGGTCATTTGTTCTGTGTCTGGGTGTAATTTATCTATAATATGTATGTATTTAAAAATATATAAGTATGTTTATCAGCAGTCTGGTAACCATAATACAGTCTCTGCCTAGTTTGGGATCAGACTGCGGTGTGTGAGATGTGTGAAGTTGTTATTGTTATTATTATTATCTCGCCACGGCCTTTAGGATCGAAGCAGTGGTCATAAACGCTGGTGACACTGGGAAGAAGTTTAGGATAAATGTTAAGAATTTTATAATAGAAGTGACTGTCTTTATTGTGGAGAGAGTATGCCTTCAGTCTTTAGTGCGAGCAGAAATCTTATCGTTTATCACTTCCTGATGACTTCGTTTTTTTTTTTAATTTCTACATCGACTACTAAAAGTGATTTTGTCTTATCTCGAAATATCCAATTTTACACTAGCGGATAAACCTATGGTAGAAATTCATGACAACTTAAATTTTTCGTTTAAACATGAGGAACCGTCAATGCTGTATAAGATTTGGGGCTGCCATAGAAAGACATGACATCGACCATTCGAGGTCTTTTTTTCGATTAATTAGGTTCTAGTAAGTTTAACATTTAGACCTGTTTACGATATACGCTTTTTGGCGTCGAAATACTCTCCTCTGCCACTCAGGCTTTCTTATCTTAAACTTCTTTTACTCTTTCAGGACAACGACTTAGAAAAAGAACTTCAAGCTGATGCTCTAAAACACGACTTATCGATCCAGAAAGCTAAAGCCAACAGTCTCACCAGTCTAGGGCTGCTGAACTTCAACGCGCTGTCCACGTACGTGACCTGCGACAGTCCACCGCCCATACAGATGTCGCTCGAAGAGTTGGAGCAGCTGGAGTACTGCAAGGTGCATGGGTTACCAAAGAAAGTTGAGGGGAACTTTGTACCTAGGGAGATGAGGTGAGTCGTTTTTTAACTGATCAAGTCAACAGAAGCAAGATAAACTTGTTTTTACATATAAAACCACGTTACTACAGATCTATTCGATGATACTAGTAAATAAATAATTAAACTCAATGAAACCAATATCAATACTTATGTTATACAATTTTTCATTCTTACAGACATGGATGGTGGCGTATAACAGAAGCTGATCAAGTAAGAGAGTTGATGGAAGCTCTGCACCCGCGAGGAGTGAGGGAGAGGGAACTACATCATGCGTTAAGCAATCAGTTGCCCACTGTCAATAATAAGGTTATTTATTTTTTATAATTCTGTGAAGAAATTATTATGTAAAACCGAGTTCTCGTAAACGTGCAACGCGTGTAAAAATGTTCTGTGAGTCAGTAAAAAGGTATTTTTAAAATGCAAGGTTGTTTAATCCTTATGTAATAAATACGGTTGCTTTGTATTTCTTGTACTTGCTATTGTTGTTAACCAGTATTAAGCGATTCTATTAATTGCCTTTCACCGAGTGAGTGATGATATCAGAAGTCCAACTCTTCCCCCTTCACCCTCTAATTCTGGGGGAAGCTCAATGGGGGGAAACGCTTTTGTGATTCCTGAGTTGCCCGTGTTTCTCGTCTGCTCGTTTGTCACTAAAGTAACTAGCTTTTGGCCTGACCCTACATAGAATTGGCATAGGATATAAGATGATGATGGTCAGTATACTAAAACTTTTTTTTTTACTTCAGCTATACATAGAAGCCGGTGATATCCTGGCTACGGAGCTATGTGTCTCTCATCTGGACCGAGTGATCGCACAGAATGGTGGTTTCCCTTCTCCTGATTCTCCATCTTCCTTCTCAGCGCACACTGCTAGAAGATGTGATATGCAGTTATTGAATATGGTAAGACTAATATAAATAATACAAACAAAGCGGCGGTAGCCTAGTGGTTAAAGCATTGGACTTGCAATCAAGAGGTCGTGGGTTCGAATCCTGACAGGTACACTACCGACGTGAACCCACTCCTAACACAAGCAATTTAGCTTAGCAGGAGGAGTTAACGGGAACACTAGTAATTTCCCTGTAGAAAATGACCTTTTAAAACAAAAAAAAACAGCTATATTAATTTCTTATTTCGGGCTGTCGACTACGAACATCTTAGATTGTATAATCGTTCTTTCTTTTATATACCATTTGAGGAGTGAAATTTTCAAATATACTTTCTCAGTTAGTGCTTATAATTTAAAAAACAGCAGTTGTCAAAATTTCAAGTTTGTAGTCTGTCAGCGTTTATGAATCAGTCAGACAAGGCAATTCATTTTATTTCCATAGATCTCTTAGACGAATTTCTTTGTTTCGTGTTTTGGGCCAGTGGTAGGTATTTGAACTGAAATTGCATCGAATTTCTGTAAAATTGGACTCGTTATATATATTTATAGATATGGTATAGAATAATGATCGTCTTCCAAAATAGGTTTTTATATAACTGTGACAATGGTCGAGAGTGTCTGATTCAGTACAACATTTCTAATATAATAGGATTTTATGGTAATATTAGATTCAACAAATGGTTAATTTTTGTACCTAAATTTTTATTTGAAACAAAAATATTTTTTAGTTTATTTGATTCTGATTTTTAATCTGTATTAAACGGTGACTACCTCTTCTTAATTAATTGTTAAAAATTCGTTACTCCAACAATAAATTTACACGTCTTACCCACGATAATTTAAGTTTATTTCGTTGTGATTTGTTCTCGCTGAATTCTATACCAATCACAGCGCCGGACGCGGTTATAGTGACGATGGAGTGGAGGTGAAATAAACTCGCATTTGGGCCTTAGATCCCAAACTAGGCAGAGTTTGTACTATGGTAATCAGACTGTAGATAAACATACTTAAACATTTCTAAATGTCATATATTATCGATAGATTAGACGCAGTTCATCGTTGGACATAGGAGAGGCTTATGTCCAGTAGTGGACTGTGATAGGTTGATGATTGATCAGACACAGCAAAATAATGATCGTGCTTATTACTTAATGATTTGTTTTGGGTGGGTATAGAACTCATGATCTCTGCTTTAGTGATTTGAGTCACAAGTCATTATACCGACGGGCCAGCCGAAAGTCAAAGGATAAGGATTTGAATAATGTTTGTTGAGGTTAAACGCTATCCGTGTGGTGACGGATTAAGAATACTGAATGTCACCATCTCTATTCATTCCGTGGGTGTCGTAAGAGACGACTAAGGGAGCAAATTACGTAGAACAACAGAACACTGCAAAGAGAAGGAAAATTAGAAAACAAATCGTATACCAACCCGTGTGTCCCCCCCCCCCCCCACAGGTGGAGGCGCTGGAGGAGCGCGTGGCGGCGGCGTCGATGCAGGTGAAGGGCTGGCGGCCGGCGCGCGCCGAGTCGCCGCCCCCCCCCGCGGCCCCGCCCCCCGCGGCCCGCGCGCGCCGCAAGCTGCAGGCGCTCGAGGCGCACATCGAGCGCCGCTACCTCAAGCCGCCGCTCGCGCTCAGGTACGCTAGGTAACGTATCGCCTCCGTGCCGTCCTACACCATTGGCTTATTTCTACTCTAAATTATTTCACTCTTTTTCACACCGTTCGGCATACTATACCTTTCTCGCTGGAACCGATCGTCCGATAAATTCATTATTTTGTTATTTAGATAAATCTTATTACACTTTTGTGGAAAAACGAATGTCTCGTTCCGACAAAACGAACAGAAATCCTTCGATGGGTCAAAGATTAAGAATTTATGTTCTAATTACCGCGAGAACTTTTACTGCGCGATGCAAGATTCGAAGTTACTGCATAATTTAATGTGTCTTCTTTAGATCGCCATTAAGTTCCAGTATATTTCTGTTTCATTGTACCGTACGTCTAATCAAAAATATATATAAAATTAAAAAAAAAAAACGAATTGTGAAAATGATTTAAAAAAATATAACAAAAAATATTTTTTTAAATACAGATATTAAACAAAATTTACACTACTTTCTTCAATACATGCTAAAAAATAATGTGACTACTAAAAAATCACATACAATATCATAACAAAAGGACGAATTACGATTTCGACACAAGTATTATCAATTCTCTTATAAATACATAAATGTGTCTAAATTACACAGTAAGAAAGGTCTCAAAATTTAAAAAATCTAAATTAATGGCGGCACTAAACGCTTAGTTTAAACTCTGAGCCCTTAATCACTGCTCTAAGTTTATATTAAGCGTTACAGTAGGTATATGTTTTAATACACATTTGAATACACAGGTAACAATTTTTATTTTTAAGACATTACATATACCTTTTTTAGTCGAAAAATGGTTATTGCAGATTAATTTGATATTTTATTTAATTGATTTTAAAGATAACTGCCGAATAATATAATAGTCTAAACGTTACAAATAGGTTTATCTATTTTAGATATACCTAATGAATATAAATAATACGCGGGCAGGAAAATGTTTGGTAGATGCAACTAGTATTCTATAGAGGGGTGAAAGGGTATTTGTTATTGTGAAAGTCTTTAGGCTTATAATGACTTCCTATGGCTTGATTATGGTGACCAGTGCCTTCATCTGCCATTCCATAAAATAGTATATAAAACATATCAACGGTAATATGGTTTGTTATTTCATATATACAGTAACTCAGAAGTGACCCTCGGCGCTGTCCTGCAAGCTGAACATGGAAATGCGTCGGCATCTTCACCCCAGAACTCGGAAAATGAACGAACTAGCGAAGGAAAAGGTAACTTATACCATCTGTTATATTAGCGGCGTCAATCGAGATTTTGTACAACGGTTTTATGAATTAAAGGATTAACTTTTTTGCTTATACTCGTAAAGGTGAAAACTTATGAAGGAGTATTACATAATATTTAATAATAATAAATTAGACACATTTCTCACATGGCTGTCTTATATATACTTAATAATAATCACGGCTAAATAAGGCAGAGCCTGTATCATGGTAACCAGACTTGTTGATAAACATATTTATTAATATTTCTAAATATACGCACAGATAAATTACACTCAAAGACGGCTGTTTGATCTTAAATAAGGCAGACAAATGATTAAATTCATCACACAGTTATATTTGTAATACATCCTCCTACATTGTTTATAAGTCAAGATCAATAACCAATGTACTAACAGACCAGTCAAATGTTGATATAGTAGGAACAGCTAAAGGATTGCAATATGTGTGTAGACAACAAGGGCATAGCGCGCGGGCTGGCCACGTGGCGCGAGGCCGTGGCGCGCTGCAGCACGTCGGCGCAGCTCGCCATGCTGCTGCAGGCGCTCGAGGCCGCCGTGGCCTGGGACAAGAGCATCATGAAGGCGGTACGTATGCAGCATGTACGTATTTACACTTCGCTAGATAACAAAGGGACAGCCCGAAGGCTGGATGTGCTGTTGCAGGTGCTTCGGACCGTGGAATGGGATCAAGCGTCGTGACATCAGTGAGTGTGTGTATTGATATTTTAGTGCCTCAAGTATATAATAGCACAGGTATAAAAGGCTCAGCAAAATAGTTTTAATAAAAAGCTACTCTCGTTCCTATAGTATAAAGTGCAAATCAGGTTGCACAGCGATAATTACTTACAGTCATATTTAAGTCAAAGTTGCTTATTTTACTGTCTCCTCACGAATCACCATTGTTTTCTTTCATATAATATTTAATCTGAATTTTTAGTTACCGACAAGTTTTACCACGTCCTTGTTACTCTGGGAATAAATAATGTTGTTTTCTAGTCTTCGTTGGGGGCTTTGGGCAGGTCCGTAGCGCACTTGTAGCTTCATAGGATTGCCAATTAAAGGCCCAAATTCCGTAAATAAGCAACTATTATTTTTTGTTAAGTGACCTTACCTTACCTTGTAAGGAAAACTTGAAACAAACCCTATACAAACCCGTCTGGCCAGCGTGGCTAGCCAAAACCGCCTTTCTAAGGAGAGACCTATGTCCAGCAGTGGACTAGTAAAGGCTGTTGATGATGATGTTGTGACCTTACATTGAAATAGTTTTATAGTATAAAAGGTGGGGTACAGTAGGTGTCAGGTCGTGTAATCTGTTAGATATAATAATCACTCGTCTGAAAAAACGCCTCTAAGCTTTATTACTCAAATAACGCTTTTATTATTCCTGTTTGCTCTGTAGGTGTTTGATCAAAATAAAAAAGAGAAAGTGTAGTGACCTCCCTGTAGTGATATACTATTTAATAATGAAATAATTGTTCCCAATTCATACTTGTATTATTGTAAATTTAAATTTATAAATAACTTTTGTTCCAGAACTGTCAGTTTTGCTTGAGCGGTGACAATGAAGACCAGTTGCTGTTGTGCGATGGCTGTGATAAGGGTTATCATACCTACTGTTTCAAACCGCGCATGGACAAAATACCAGATGGTGATTGGTGAGTGAGAATATACTTCCATAGAATATTGAACATAGAAAGTTTGATACACTGCTACGTACTTGTAGCCTCATACCAAAAGTGGGGAATGGGCCTACCCTGCTTGCATATATATGTTGTTATTTCATAGGCCTCTAACTCCCCTTTGGGGGTTACAAGCGTGACAACATATGGTAACGTGATGTATTGTCCGATGTGCAGGTACTGCTGGGAGTGCGTGAACAAGGCTCGCGGGGAGCGCGTGTGTATCGTGTGTGGCGGCGCAAACGGCTCGGGCCGCACCATCCCTTGCGCGCTGTGCTCGCGCGCCTACCACCAGGACTGCCACTATCCACCGCTACTCAAGGTATACCCTAACTAGCTGCACTGTACTGTACTGTACTACTAACGGCTCGGGCCGCACCATCCCTTGCGCGCTGTGCTCGCGCGCCTACCACCAGGACTGCCACTATCCACCGCTACTCAAGGTATACCCTAACTAGCTGCACTGTACTGTACTGTACTGTACTACCAACGGCTCGGGCCGCACCATCCCTTGCGCGCTGTGCTCGCGCGCCTACCACCAGGACTGCCACTATCCACCGCTACTCAAGGTATACCCTAACTAGCTGCACTGTACTGTACTGTACTGTACTACCAACGGCTCGGGCCGCACCATCCCTTGCGCGCTGCGCTCGCGCGCCTACCACCAGGACTGCCACTATCCACCGCTACTCAAGGTATACCCTAACTAGCTGCACTGTACTGTACTGTACTACTAACGGCTCGGGCCGCACCATCCCTTGCGCGCTGTGCTCGCGCGCCTACCACCAGGACTGCCACTATCCACCGCTACTCAAGGTATACCCTAACTAGCTGCACTGTACTGTACTGTACTGTACTACCAACGGCTCGGGCCGCACCATCCCTTGCGCGCTGTGCTCGCGCGCCTACCACCAGGACTGCCACTATCCACCGCTACTCAAGGTATACCCTAACTAGCTGCACTGTACTGTACTGTACTGTACTGTACTACCAACGGCTCGGGCCGCTTAATGCCTAAAGCGACAGGTGACCTGTCGGCCCCCAATTCCTTAAAAAAACTACTAATCAATATCAATTTACTATTTTCATTCCAGAATCCTCGTGGGAAATGGTATTGTTCTCAATGCATTTCCCGCGCGCCACCCAAGAAGCCTCGGAACACGAAGAAACGTGACACGAAGCATCGAGAACTGAACACCAGCGTCGACTTAGATCAGAACATGGTGCCTAGGTAAGAGTCACTTCTCATTATTCTTAACCGAAAGACGTCTTCTAGTGGATATGGGTCTCCCCCAAGTTTTGCCACAACAACAAAAATGCACTTTACAGTAACAAAAAAAAAAGCAGACAGCCCGCCGTAAGCTTGCTTCGTAAGCTCGCTTTTACTGTAAAGTGCGTCTACAGAGCACGATGTTAAGCATATTTAAATGCTCATACTTTAGTTAGGTGGGAGAGAAGTCGTTTAAGTCGGCTTAGCCGATTAGGGATTTTAGGGAGACAAACAAGCAGACGGGTAAGTGACTGCCTCCACCCATTTGCATCTCCAACCTAAAGAGTCACATGTACGTTGCCGACTGTACTGAAACTACTGTTGCGTGTTCAGATACTATTTTATTACTCTCCTTGTCATTTAATTTGTTTTTGTATTTAATTTTAAAGTCTGATATTAATCGTGTGTGAGCTAACATCTACACACACATTCAAACAAATAAAACAATGTGTGTAATGCGCTTGTAATGTGCTAACACTGCCCTTTAATTCCGTCCCCATGATCAGGAGGAGGGAAGTAGTTTGGGCTCCAGCAACCTTACTCACTCGGTGAAAAGCAACGAACGAACTTACCAGCAGTTTATCTAACTCTTTGTGTAATAATATTTGGGACATCTGACACAACGCCATCTAGTTTCAAACTAAGCAGAGCTTGTAATATGAAAACTAGATTGACTGATAGAATACTTTTTTTGTAAATACCTACATATTATACATAGAAAACACCCGACATCTGACACAACGCCATCTAGTTTCAAACTAAGCAGAGCTTGTAATATGAAAACTAGATTGACTGATAGAATACTTTTTTTGTAAATACCTACATATTATACATAGAAAACACCCAACTCCGAAAGAAATATTTGCAGATCATACAAACATTTGGTTCCGACCCGGGTATCGAACCATATTAGGTAACATTCCAGTGTTGAAAGGTCAGATCTCTATATTAATTGTTACATTGTGTTCTACAGCCCAGCAGCTTCCCACGCTTCTACATCCACCACAGCGGAGGAGTGTTCGGGCAGCGTGCTTCACACCCCAGAGAAGCATGAAGACAAGTTGGACGACACGTTGCCCGACAGCGAGAACGGTCTCAACCATCATGCTGGTAAATATTTGGTTTCATTCACTTTGTGCATGGGAACCTTCAGGGTCATGTATATCATTAACATCAACAGTCTTAAATAGTACGCTGCTGGACATAAGCTTCTCCTTAGGAATTGGCTTACTACACCACGCTGGCCAAACGGGTTGGTATAGGGTTTGTGTCAAGTTTTCCTTCTCTTTACAGTGCTGTTGTCCTACGTAGTTTGCTCCCTTAGTCGTCTTTTACGACACCACACGGACGACACATATATTTACAAGAAAATTTAGAATCTTCAAGAACGTGTGCAAGAATAGTTTCAGACAAAATAATAGGTACATTTGCCTGCTTCATTTGTTTGAAAAAAATATTCAAATGGTAAAAAAATCTGCTTCTCTATTTATAATCTCATCGCCCAGCGATTTGTTTCAGACAATTGATAGTTTGTTAGCTAATTTTGAGTTTATTCATATTTTAATAATTTATTGTTGAATTTTAATTTATTTCCAAATGTCCACCATTTAAAAACTGTTCCTGCAAAATTTGTTAGTAATTTTTTTTTACTAAATACTCTTTTTTTTCATAGGCGAGCTCAGCGCTGAAGAAGGGCCTCCAGAGAAGCGCCGCGCGATACACTACGGTGGGAATGGCGCCTTACAGCATGACGACACCGACCAACACATGGATGGTAACATAATATATTATTTTAATTTGTTAGCTCATGATTAGCTGGTAGTGAGACATTTATTACTTTGTGGAGCTCTATATACAAATAGATATATAAAAAACCTTAATTACACATAAAAGAAGTTTATTCTACAGTCATTCTCTCATAATATTTTGTTGATGTTTGTATGGATCAGCAGACAAAAATATTTAAAAATGTCCAAATATTTTAAGTAAGTATAAGAGCTTAATTTCTTCTTAAAACTAAGTTTTTATCTATAATTGAACAAGAAAATAGGATTTTTCTATCGACCCTATTATAAAACTAACTAAGCCCAATTTATTGTTTTCAAGAAAAGAGACCATATGAACCTAAACTTCAGGAGTTTACTAGAAGCCAGTGAACAGTTTGATTATCCTGACTCTATCATAAGATCAGATACAAGATAATAAATTATACTATTTTCATCTGTATACATATATTTCAATTTGATACGACAATTAGACTACATAGTTCTTTAGTTAGTTAGTTACTAATTACGCCAATAAAAGCCACAAGTGTTTTGCGACCCTTCGAGCCCCCTCCTCCAATTTTCCCCCTTCCCCTTTCCTAATTTCCTCCTCCCCCTCCCGTAGTAGCCCTCTACTTCTGGGGGTAGGGGTTTAGGGCTCCGGTAATCCCACTCACTCGGTTAAAAGCAACGAAAGAATTACTTTAATACCGGTTTCTGTGAGTCTTAAAAAATTGTGTGATTAAAAAATCTGTTTGTCCGTCTAGTTGAGGAACGTGACACAGAAAACCTCCCTCTCGTGCCAAGGGTAAAAAAAGAGAAGAACGCCGGCAAGAAAGTCATCAAAGATCTACAGTTCTGCAAGTGAGTATACATTAAATGCACAAGTAATAGACGTATATTTTTAAAAGGACGATGAAACATGACAAAATGTATGGGCAGGATTACAGAGGCAAGAAAATTATGTTAATAACAAACGGTGCCGTTTTAAAAAACAGATTAATAATAATACACAATAATGTACAAGAAATATAAAAAAAGACTGGTTGTGTCACTGTTCTAAACAATAATACAATTCTAAAGTTAAACAATACAAAATCAAATCTTTACATAGGATAAAGTAAAGTCACTTTTTGTGTTCTATGCTTAGATCTTTTAAACTAAGCAACAGATTTTAATTAATCACTCTCTCTATTGGTGAAAACGTCACCAATAGAGAGAGTGATTGAAGAGGAAGGTTTATATGTATAATACATGCACATTATAGTAGAGAAAATCCGAGAATTTCAAAGATTTGTCGTAAAAAACATGTTTTTGTTCGCTTACGAATGTTGGCTAAACCTTACGAGATCGACCAAAATAATATACTACGGAATGGTATGTATTAAAAAGATCTAAAAAAAGTCCGCGATGGTGTATGTCTATCTCCTAAAGATAACCCACAGTAACCATTTTTATCTTTTAAATATTACAAAAAATATATACATTATTTACGAAGCTATTTTAAACAATACATTATTATTCCTTATCCAAATAAATACGTTAGATACGTTGCGTATTTATTGTACATAGATTGAAATTGCTCTGTATAGCATATCATTAAAAAAAAATTTTTTTGAAGATATTAGAGGTTGAAAATGCGGGGGCAAAACGACCGTCGAGGCCTCCTGCGAAGCCAAGGCGGATCGCTAGTAAATAAAAAATACCAAATTCAAAGCGACAGCTCACAGACAGACATTCCAAAATACCCCAGTCTGTCATTATCAATAATCTTTTCTCATTATCTCCTCCAGAAATCTGTTAATGGAAATGGAATGCCACGAGCACGCGTGGCCGTTCCTGCTGCCCGTCAACACGAAGCAGTTCCCTCAGTACAAGAAGGTCATCAAATGTCCCATGGACCTCTCAACCATCAAGAGGAAACTGCAGGACAACATGTAAATAGTTCATTATCATTCAGTATTCATCAAAAAGACAACACCCACTAGGAACATACCCTGTTCACAGACGTTCATGAAATGGACACAAAGAAGACCCAGACTCAGAAAAATAATTTTGTGGATCAAACAAAGCTTAAAAAACGATCCATGTAGGGATCGAACTCACAACACTCAGCGCAGTAGGAACCACTACGCTATTCATGCCAGTCAATTAATGTTTTAATTCTTAACCTTTTGAAAGTTCCAAAGTGCCATTTTAAAGTTTATTTGTTTAAATTCAGTAAACTCTTGAATTATGAGACAGATTTTAATTATTCTTTCTATATTGAATAGAGTATTTATTGATGAAGGTTTTAAGCTTTCACGCTACGACCCTACGAGCGTGGTAGCTTTATTATTGTGAAGGAACCTTTAGAATCCTTCTTGATGTATTTAAAAGTATATATATATATATATATATATATATATATAATATTAATCTGTACAAGAATTTTCATTGCGCGATGCAGGAGTAGTAGTTGCTCCGTAGTTCGGCGTATCTTCGCCCGATGTTCAATGTTGTATCTGGAAGTCGCCACTTTATATTATAGTCCATTCGCATAGACGATCAAGCCCCGCACCCTGACCAATCAGGTTCCAAGCTTTTGTACTATAAAGGAACCTGATTGGATGGGGGGCGATGATTGATCGATGCGTCACTATTTTCTTAACGCGAATAGTATAGATTCCTTTGCTCAACGGCTTCATTTCCCCCACAGTTACAAATGTAAGGAGGAGTTCGCCTCCGACGTCCGCCTGATCTTCAGCAACTGCGAGGTGTTCAACGAGGACGACAGCCCCGTGGGCCGCGCCGGTCACAACATGAGGCAGTACTTCGACGAGCGCTGGACTCAAATCTGAGACGCCGCGATACCGCACGCTCAGTGCTGACCTATGTATACGAGTATCTACTAGAACAGTGTTCTATCATCAATAATTAACTTATGGATTTTACAATTGGAGGTTCTTATACAATGATATGATTATGTTCTCATTGTAAGATTACCCTTATTTAAAAAAAAAATAGATATAAAATGTGACGTCTTCACGACTTGAAATTGTTTTGCAAGAAAAGTGACATAAGTCAATATTGTTAATTTATGTATAAAATTGGGATTTTGAGTTATGACACTTGTCTTCTAAGGTTAAGAAAAGTGAGGTTATTAACCATATGTTAAATAAAGTAATGATAAACCACCCGACTTATTCAGTTTAATATTAGTAATGTACAGTCGTAAACATAAATGTGGTGCCTATTTAAGTTCCAACATCACAAAACAAAGTATTATGTATTGTTTATATTAAACAAATACTCTCAGTTATGTCAACAGATAACTACGTTTATAGATATCTACGTAATTATCTAAAAAGGAACTTATTAATGGCGTCGACTGTACATTTACTTTTACTACTAAACTACTTAATTATGTAAATAGAAAATGAATATTTGTGGCATTATGTGGACAATCAAATTATAAATGTACTATATCATCTACTTATATCGTTTATAGAGCCATAGGACATCTATCTTTCGCTCTATTACCGTCTTACACTTCTTGGTAGGAGTTTAACTTTTACCATCGCGACCAGCGCCTGCGCAGGTTACCATAACAGACTTGAAGTTAATTATGGACTTTGTAATGTATAATAAGAGTCAATAAAATGTTTTGTATGTATAACACGACAAATTCAAAACCAGAATATTCTTATTTTTAAACAAATATTTGAACGAAATTTTATTGAAAAACATAAAGGTGTGGATTTTTTTCTTTTCTTTTTCATAAGAAACAGTAGTTATGTCGTTGCCTCAATCTTCTCTCTTCTGCAGAGCTGTGCTAAAGGCTTTTTTTTTATTGACTTTACAAACAAGTTTATTTGCTGTCTTAAGCGTATTATATCCTACATTAATGTTTCACTGTCATTTTTAGTTCAAAAAAATCATGTTTAATATAGACGATGTTGACTGCTTAAACTGAAACAGGGCTAAAGCTCGTTTGCAACTTCATTTCGGTCAAACGAAGCTTGGAAAAACTAATGTCATTCCATCAAAGCGAGAAATTCCAAAGTTTTAAAATGTATCCAAAACACATTCCAGAAAGCGACGATTACCGGATATGACGACATGAATCTCATGTAAAAAAATTGTATTGCAATTTGTGATTGAAAAAGAAAACGAAATTTTTTGAAGAATAAAAAATGATAATGATAAAAACAACGCACATTGGACCGTTGTTGGTGTATTTATGTAGCTGACTGTACATAGTAGGTGTAACATAAGTTATGAAGTATTAGATCCAGATCTAAGTCTAAGTAATGTTAGAAATATTTCGAATATTATTTTTATAATTATTTGCGCTTGCAACGAAGCAGTATTTTTAAAATGTTTCCGCATTTCCTTAAGTGTTACGAGTCTCTTTGTAGTCGAGTTCATGGAATTAAAAAAATATATTAACTTTATTTTAATTTTAAAAGACTAAAAATTCTTGACAGTAAAAGCGAATTGTCAATTAAAAAAAAAGAAATTATTATAATTTCTCTTTTAGTGTTTTAACATATCCGCTTACCATCAGACGTGAGATATGCTAATTTGCCACCATAGTGAGTGATATGCAAAGAAAATAGAAATGGTAATGTTATATAATATAATGTATAATTTTCTATATTTAACAAAATAATAATAATTAATTTGTATGTTCCGTCACACGATTAGAAAGAGACAAAAAATCATTAATAATAAATTAATTGTCGATTTGGTGGCCAGTTTAGTAGACGAACGTAAAGTGTACAATTATATGTGTGTAAAAATTATAGTTGTGTCTAAATTGTGCACTAGGCGGAAATAGTGTAAGCTACGTCACTTCCCGTAGGAGCGTTTGCGTCCTTCAACATTCAACATACACAATACACATGAAACATTCAACAAAAAACTTATTCATTTTTGTAACACTCATTTTTAACATCTATTGACGTATAAAGAATATATTATTCGTTTTTTTAATTATTATTTTAGGAATACTCCTTGTCTAGTTAAATTTTTTTGGGAAATCTTCAAAATAAGTGAAGATGTGGTTTAGGTTTTAATGCACTTGAGCGTAAGTCCAACGCCTTAGTCATTATTTTACTCTTTAATTATACTCATAATCATTTGTTCATCGCTGAACATAGATAAATTTAAAAACTATAAAAGTTGATTTGTGGAAATGCAATATTTTTAAAGTTCAGTTTTGATTTCTTACCCTCTTTAAAATATTAGAAAAATTAATCAATTCGATTTTTGTTGAATGTTTTTGTAAATATATTACCCTTTAAAACCGCAGAGCGAAGTGCTGAAAAGTGTAAGGGTCGGGCGCTCTTAACGGCTAAGTTGAGTAGTGGTCGTAGTATAGGCCTAAAAGGTAGCGAGTTTCACAATAGTGATACAAATCTCGTTAACTGACTGTGTTGTGTATATTGGAGGACCTTACTTGAAAAAGTTGAATCAACATTTTTATGTTTCTTTGAAAAACATAATCAACATTCTTATGTTTTTTAAACATTTTGTTTATGGTAAAATTTATAAAATCAGTAATTAGTATTTGATAGCAGTTACGACTTATTTTGTCGAGTTTCGTAGACGAATTGATTTCAAGGTATTGCGGGTTTGATCCCTGAATTATTGCAAGTCACACAGTTGTAAGGACACGTTTTATTAGCCTCTAAATATAATTGTGTTAACATTATTAGAAAAAAAAAACAATAATAATAATAATCTAAGACATGTTGTCTATACACAGACACTTTAAAAGATCAGTATTAATTTTTGCTGGCAACACTCGATAGTCTCTGTTTAAAACGTACCCTTTAATAGATTATTTGTTCAAACAATAATATTTTGTTAAAATTTACTAAATAACCGCAAAAAATAATAATCCAGAAAGTGTTTATATTCATTAGTCTGAGTTAAAATGTTTTCTCAATAAACTTTCAAGTAAGGTCACTCCAGACTTTAATTATAACAAATAGTGATTGTTATCTGAAACTAATGATAGGCGCGGTAGGTTTGTGAAGCAGGGAGATTGTGATCTATTCGTTTATTGTAACATATGTATTGGTATAGCTGTCTTTATAATTATAATAATAATATATATATAATATAATATATAATATATAATATATACCCAAACTAGACAAAACCGGTACTATGGTAACCAGACAGACATATATTTCTAAATACATATAAATTATTACCCAGACAACAGCAATAATAGACAACTCGGATCATATTCATCACAGTATATTTGTCGAATCGAACCCACGACCTCCGGCTTAGCAGTCAGGGTCACTAACCGCTATGCCAACAGGCCTGTCACATACTCTATACAGGTAACTTACAAAAGAGTACAATATTTGGTTAGAGGGCTCAGTCTTGGCAATCATCAACAGCCCTTAACAGTCCACTGTTGGACATACGCCTCTCCTTTACATTGGAGGTTTTGGGCTACTACGAGTATACCACACTGGCCAGACGGGTGGTCTTTGCAGTGCTATTGTTTTGGACAGTTTGCTTCCTTAGTCGTCTCTTACGACACCCACGGGATGAGTAGGAGTTATGACACTCTGTATTTTTAAATTCCGTCACCACAAGGATCTAATTAAAGATAAGAATCCTAAACTGATCGAGTTAATTGCTTTCGCTCCCCAATACATTATATCATAATCATCATCATCATCAATCTTTAATAGTCCACTGCTGGACAGAGCGGTCTCCTTAAAATTGAGGTTTTGGCCTACTATACCACACTGGCCACACGGGTCTGTTCTGTCAAATATCCAACATCCCATTGAAATTTCAAGAACAAAAACTACCCCTAAGAATGTAGGATACAGTTTATTATAATTATGAGGTATCAATTAATAATTATTTGATTTAATTAAAAAGTATTATAAGACAGCTGTACCAAGAAATAACTTTCCCAAACAGTAATGAGTTAAAACGTTATGTGTTTTAATGTCGACACTGGACTTAAACTATTATATACGAAAATAATTAAGTGTCAAAAAAACGTGTAGTCAGTCTTATTATATAACTAGTACAGTCTAATTTCAGTGTTGCAAGTCTTAAAAATAATCAGAAATAATCTTCTAAATGTAAAAATTAATGTACGACAGTCATATTAGTATTTTTAGATTTCATTTTTATTTTCTATTTATTATTTATTTACAATTTATTTTTTTATGCCAAAATGACATTATTCTTCCATGATTGGCAACTGCAAATAGTACTTATACTAACTAGGACGTGTATCCGTTTCCTGTGCCTCCGCCATATTGTTGTGTAACGCTACTCCTAAAGAAAATTGATCATTAATTTAAAAAGAAATAAAATTAGAAAACTTTACGAAATATAACGAATAAAAAATTCATTTATATTCTTTAATATTGAAACAAACATTAGAAGTGTATAATAGTGGGTCTGTATTGTAACACTCCTAACTGACGTTTTGTGCACAAACACAAACAATATGGCGGAATGTTCTCTTTTTAAAACTACAGAGTATTTTAGAAAAAGTATTAATTTAGATAATACATAATTCAGCTTTTTATAATTATAATTTTTACGCGTGTGTTCCACGATCGTCGTAGACAGGACTTTTATCATAAAAATTGTGTATCTAGTTTTAACTATATGTATACTTAATCTTTGCGACACACGTTTCGGCGGAGGTCCTACTGCCATTGAGATAAGGTCGCCTTTCGCATGAAACGTGTTCGCAAGGAGCGCATCTTTCGTCCGAGGAGTGACAGGTCGGATATTATGATGTTTATGTTGTGTGCAACGGTTGATTTTAATTATAAAATGGATATATAAATTATATATACGAATAAATAAATAATTTTTGAAGCACTCCCACTTTGTTTTATTATTGTTTAGCTATACTAAGAACTCATAAATTGCCAGAGTAAAAAAACTTGTGTACCAGTAATCTTTTGCATGAATATAATTGTATGTAAAATACATAATTTTGTCTTATTTATCGAATCGATGTGCAGAGGACGTTGACGGGCCCGTTAATCTAGTGGTTAGCAGTCATAACTGCTAGACCAGAGGTCGTGGGTTCGATTCCCATACAGGACAAATATTGTGTGATGAGCAGGATCAAATGCTGTCTGGGTGTGATTTAAGAAATGAGACAGAGTTTCTACCCTTTCATCATTCGTCACATTTGATTACCAATAATGTAATAACCCAAAACAAGTCAAATCAAATCAAATATAAAAAAACTAGCTGACTCGGCAAACGTTGTTTTGCCATATACATTATTTCTAGGAAATTAAAAAAAAAAAAATTAGGGCGGGTCACCCATGTCATTTATAGGTATGAAAAATAGATGTTGGCCGATTCTCAGACCTACCCGATGTGCACACAAAATTTCACAAAAATCGGTCCAGCCGTTTAGGAGTATGGTAACTAACATTTTTGACTTTGATTTTTGACACGAGAATTTTATATATAAGATAATATTCTATTCATAAGTATAAATAAAATTGAAGTGTCTGTCCGTAAAGTATACTTATATTTTTTTCCTACGCTGATATAGTTGTTTGGATGATACCTAACTTAAAGTTGAGTTGCAGACGTTCATGGGCGGCGGTGGTCACTTTCCATCAGGTGACCCGTCTGCTCGTCTGCCCCTCTAACATAAAAAAAAGATAAAGTACACGCTTAAATATTTTCTATCTGTTTGTCCATTTCTTGTTTGTCTTGGCTAAACTCCGTAACCACTGGTCAAATTTAACTAGAACTTTAAGAAACAGATTCAGTTATAATTAATTAGTGAAACAATAATTTTTATTTTTTAACTTTTAATTCTCACTGATTAGGGATAATATAGAAATGACACTGACACTGAGTTGGAAATAAAACTAGACTGCATTTTAAAGTTATTTATTACAACGATATATATATGTACGGTATGGTAACCTTAGAGAAATAAGCATAGAGAGAACACGGTTTATGTCGACCCCCTACTGACCAATTTGGGGATCCCTCTATAGATTATATTCTTCTGCTTATTGTGTCGATGGCAACACTTAACGGTTTTGGCCTAGTGCTCGGCGACGCGAATAGCGTTTGGCCTTGCTTGATACAGGTCGTTAAGCGTACCTACACGATTCTGGCTCGCGAGGCATGTAAGCTAATGGCCCGTTGTCTTTCAATCGTTGAGTATATTTGAAACAAAATGTTGAAATAATGTAATTATTGTGCAGTAGACGAATATATTGTAAGCGTACTCACACCTAAAAGGCCGGCAACTTCTAAGTTCAAGTAAATTCTGAGCCTAGATAAATATATTTTTTCTTCCAGTTAATGCACGTAGATTAATACATCAAAATGTAACAAAATGCAACAGACACAGCATCAGCAGATAAACATCGCAAACAGATTTTTGAGACCAAATTTAAATTGTTCAAAAAATGTGGAACGCTTCACGATTTTGCGTGTCATCCTTGCGCAGGGGCCATGCTAATCTTCTCTGTATCGTTCCAATTTTAGTATATGTACTGCCGAAGCAAGTACACTAGTCTTACTTTCTTTTCTGTATATATAGTTAAGAAGTGTTGTATTTCCATTATTGTGATTCAGACTGTAGTACAATCTGTATGGAATTCATGTAATATTTAGGACAGCGCCATCTCAAAACTTTATTGCTTCCACGTGTACTTTATCTAATACAAACAAAATTCACTAGATGGCGCTTATAGCTCCAAACGTATCCCAAAAGCTAATTAAAAATAAATTATTATTCGTAGTCTTTAGGTTTATAGTAGGGTTGGAACGCGCGGGTAATAATTAATTCAAATAATCCATTGAGGATGAATAGAAGACAATTGACCTACTTATAAGCTAAAAAGAGCTAAAGGGAACTACGAACGGGTAAACTACGGGTACTTGCTTCGGTAGTACATATACTAACTACAACAAAATGAAAATCAAAAGAAACGTCTAAAATGATTTAATAAATTCATAAAATCAGAACTCAATATTACTTTGAGTAGTATTATGGCTAATAAAATAAAAATAATAAATGCATTTTCAAATTTAAAAAAAATGAAAAATATTTACAATAATTATCTAGGTTTATAATAAATTATGGACGGATTCCGTTACTAAATATAAAAATATATTTTATTTTAATAAAATATTTAAGTCCTGTTGGAACTTGTTCTCTAGTTAATAATTATTATGCCCTTGGCAATTAATATAATATTTATACAAAATTATCTTCAACTTAAAATATAAATTCGTATAGTTTATTATCTTTAATAAATTTCAATCAAATTAAAAAAGATAAATAGACCAATATTACACAATAAAACAATAATTTAAATAATTTTATATACCAAAAAAAACTTTTGAGCATCTCAAAAATTTAAATTTGTCTCTTGTGGGATTCGAACCCGATGCTTGACAAGGAGAAGACCGTTATTTATTGTGTTTTTTATCAATTTGAAGAAATCGTTACCCCGTCTGGATTTGAGCTTTTATAGGGTTGCCACAATTTAAAAATACACACAATTTAGTAGAAATTCAGGCAATTTTGAATACCTATCAATTGTCAAAAAATATTAGTTCGTAAAAGTTTAAATTAAATATTCTATGGTTATAATTCAATATTTTATGATGAGTCATAAATTATACAGCCTTTTTAAGTTAAATATAATTTAAGCACTTGCTTATGGAAAAAAATACCACTTCACAATAAGGTTTTAACATCAAAAGAATGCCGAATATCCAGTGTATCCATCCGAGAATATTCGGCCTCCTGGTGATGTTTGGTTTTTGGCCGAATACGTTGGTGGCCGAATATTCACGAGACATACACTTCTCGAATTAACATCGTGATATTAGTTTCATCACATTGAATTTAGATTTGATATATCTATACTCAATATTTTTTTTTTTGTGAAAATCGGTTCATCTGTCAAAAAACTGACAGATTTCTCACAATCTGACTACGAAACGTAAACTCCATCCTAAAACAGTAGTATCTGATTGATCCAGTCTCTGAATTCAGAGATTCGCGTGTAAACTCCAGGCTGGTTGGGTTCCGCACAACCGATTCCCCAGGAAATGATCCCACCAAGGACGAAACGGTCGTCACGTTGGCGGCGTAAAACCATTGGCCCTCCACTGTCACCTGCAAATAACCAAAAACCAAATATGAAACTCAACTGGCCGAATATTTTTTTGTATGCATTTACTGTAAATTGTGACACTAAGTGCTTATATTTGTGTCGAAACATTTTTTTTTTAAAGACCACTCTCGCATTAGGAATGTATCCTGGGTTGCGGAGGACTTCACAAACATACATAAAACGAACACAAAGAACACCCAGACGCAGAACAACAATTTGTGGATCACACAAAGTGTCGTCCCATATGGGGATCGAACCCACAACACTCAGCGTAGTAGTAAGTGGCGTGGCGACTGCTTAAACCACTACGCCATCCGTGCATTACTCAAATAGTCCTCTACAGTCCTATGACCCTGAACTGTGAGTGGGTTATACCTCCTAGATTCCCTCTGACCCATTTTCCAGCCTAGTAGACACAAGATAATGACGGGCTTACCTTCACAACTGTCAGCCCCCCCTTTGCTCCTCCCCGCACATATGAATATATTGGGTATGTGCTCGTTGTACCCTGCGGCTTGGTACATCGCCTCGCAGGCCGTGTTGTTGATAATTGGCACTTGAACTTCTTGTAGAACGCTTGGTAAAGGACCCTCTGTTTAGAAAAAAACAATAGCTAGACTGGACTCTTGGTTTAATGGTTAGTGACACTATTGGTACTGTCGCGAGGGACTTTACAGACATACATGAAATGGACACAAAGAACAACCAGACTCAGAACAACATTTTGTGAATCACACAAAGTGTTATTCCATGTGAGGATCGAACCCACAACACTCATCAATTTTTTTTTAGACAACTCCCGCACTAGGAATATATCCTGTGTCGCGGGGGACTTTACAGACATACATGAAACGGACACAAAGAACAACCAGACTCAGAACAACAATTTGTGAATCACACAAAGTGTTATTCCATGTGAGGATCGAACCCACAACACTCATCTATTTTTTTTAAACTATTTCTCATATATTTTTTTTGAAGACAACTCCCGCAGTAGGAGTATATCCTGTGTCGCGGGGGACTTTACAGACATACATGAAACGGGCACAAAGAACACCAAGACTCAGAACAACACTTTAGGGAACACACAAAGTCGTCCGATGTGGGGATCGGACCCACAACACTCAGCGTAGTGAGCGGCGTAGAGCAGCGAGTACTTTGGGATCAGACTGCCGTGTGTGAGATTTGAGAAGTTATTATTATTCTTAATTGACGAATAAAAGAAAATGCATACCATCGAAGAGTCTACCCCACCCTGTGACGTAAGCGGTTTGCCCAACGTAGTCATCATCATTGTCGGGGACACAAATTGGTAAAATGTTAGGCTGGAATGTTACCGGCTCGTAGAACCTGAAATTAATGGCAAATAACTCATTATTAACATAATTTCAACATGCTTTTGATGAAGAATGGGTGTTATGTCCCTTCAACACAAAGGGAGGATCCTCCGACCAGGCAAGGTGATCGTGCCTGGGGGCCCGACCAACCGGTGATGCTGGGAAACTGTATAATTACGCCGCGCGTGCGAATTTCTCATATCGCAATAAAGGATTAGCAGTTATTCGGTAATTTGGTGTGTCTTCGATAGATGGCGCTGTAGTGTGTTTCTTCGTTTCACCATATGTGATAGTCAACACTTTTATTAGCTTTATTTGTTTTTCTTTATTTCTTTTTCCCGCGGCTCCCCCCGTGTGAATGTCGCTTTCTATCGGTGGAAGAATTTTAAAAAATCGGTTGAGCCGTTTACTACAAATTCACTTAAACATTTTTAATATACGTAGGGATTAAGTAATAAAATCAAACAAGCAATTCCTACATATAATTACAAATTTTCATGTCTTTATTAATTACAAATGGTTTTTTGTTTATCTTAAACAGTTTAAGTAAATCTAAATATTCCTTCATTATTATGGTATTAAATATAGATTGGTTTCATTTAATGTGGCCGTTCTTAATACAACTATATCTACTCCTACGATCTTCGGGGATAATAGACATTCGTACAAAATATTATAAATTTTAATTCAGTTCTAAAACGAGATTCCTGTATTAAAAAAATACGGTTGTTTTAGTTGACCGCGCTATTGACGCGGTTTTTATTATTAAAAAGATCCTCTCTATTTATGATTTTATATGAACTTAATATAATAAAGGTTTTCCGCCACGCAACTGACCTCTCAATCCGAGTACAAAAGTATAAAATATAATACAAAAGCGTATTTATACAAAACAAAGGCGTTTCGTTCTCGTTACAATTGACACTTTAATACACAATGGAAATGTAAAAGTGTAACAGAGTTATGTGAGAACTTAATGCAAAATAACCGTTTTTATACGTGTTTTGTATAATATTTACATAAATATAAATTAATTGATCTGTGTATTTTTTTATATTACTCCTGTATTAGGAAAATTACCATCTATACTAATATTATAAAGCTGAAGAGTTTGTTTGTTTGTTTGAACGCGCTAATCTCAGGAACTACTGGTCCGATTTGAAAAATTCTTTCAGTGTTAGATAGCCCATTTATCGAGGAAGGCTATAGGCTATATATCATCACGCTAAGACCAATAGGAGCGGAGCACCAATGAAGAATGTTTCAAAAACGGAGAAAATTTATTACTATTGAGAGACGCAGACGAAGTTGCGCGGGTCAGCTAGTCTGATATAAAGTGGTGGGGTGCAGCAGGTTGATCAGAAGCAACTCCAGTGGCGTGACTAGAGGAGTGCCTAAGGAAGGGTGCAGAAATAACAAAACCAGCGTACAACGGATATACATGCTACATACCATTTCCGAAAGATTTATAATTACAGATACACCTGGTTTTAGTCGGTTCGGGGATTTCCGCGCAGAGGGTATAATTACAGAAGCATCGGGTGCATAAAATGCAAGTTATGACACTGCTGCACCCTACAGAAAGGTTAAGAACGGCGTTATTTTTGAAGTAAAACTTCTTTACGCACGCTTGACTTGGGGAGTAAGCTGGTGAATGTGTGACGAGGGCGTTACGAAAAGTGTGATAGGACGAGGCAAACGGAAGTTGAGAGGGAGATATAAGTTAGTGAAGATAGAAAGAGAGAGCGTTACGTTTCGTATATTACTGTAGGGGCAAGAGAGAGAGGTGCGAGCACACATTTTTGTTTCTCTCATAGCCAAGAAGTTTTACTTCAGTCATGTGGTCTAAAACACACTCGTTTCTATTTTAATTTAGTGTGTATACGTTTAATATTTTACGTACGTTTTATAAGATCTGTATCAAACAATTACATCGGCCAAGTATGTGTTTTTTGTTTCCTCGACAACATTTATTATTTACGGAGTTTATATAAATATATATTGGTTTAACCTTTGGATAGCTACAGTAATGGGAAACCTTTACGAAAGCAACCTAAGCCTGAATTATCCTCCTTGGTGACCTACTTATCTAATTTAATTTACAAAACACAGTAAAAACTTTTCCGCTCCCTTTTTCATAGACTAGATTTAAAGAGTTTTACGTCAGTTTAACTTCAGTCGTGTGGTCTAAAGCACACTCGTGTTTTTCGTTGTCAATATCAGCTGATGCTGACGACACCATACTATGAAAACGGCGACATCATACAAATTGCCTGCGACAGTTACACTGAGTGGGATTCGAAGTCCTATCCTTATCTATTAGCACCTCCAGTCTTGACCGATTTCGTTACCTCGCGTGCCATGGCTTTGTTAGACATATACAGGGTGTAAGGGACATCGTAACGAATACTGAAATAGTGCATTGTATGCAGACCATGATTCTGAGTTAAAAATCATTGGTATTTTCAGCCGGAAAAAATTGGTTAAAAATGATATCACAATGAGTAAACAGAACATTTCATCAAAAACAAATTAATAAATACCGCATACGATCAAAAGCTGCAATGTAATTAATCAAACAGCAGAAGCGCGCGGGGCCTCCCCTCCGGCCGCCAACTTGTGTTAGTGTGCTTAGTCTGTTTGCACGGAATACACATGTAGTTATTACTTTTACGCGTTACCTACGGGGAATGACCTTTACCTTTGACAGCTGATTGCATAAAAAGTTTCATTTTCCGGCAAAAAATTCTAATGATTTTAGACTCAGAATGATGGTCTGAATACACTGTTTCAGTATTCGTTACGACGTCCCTTACACCGTGTATAGATTACGTAAAACTATATTTAAAATATCATTTAAATTAATGATTTGTTCAGAATTCTAAAAGTTATTAAACCTTTAATACACATTGTTGGAGATTAAGTTCTATGTCTGTTATCATTTTTTGTTTCTCGTGTGACATGAGTTTATCAAGTAATAAAGAACAAATGCAGTCCAAAGGGCTGGTTCTCATAATCAACAATAATTTACTTCCTCTTGGTCAGTTACAGGGCTCGGAATTTCTGGAAGCGGCAAGTCCTAGATCACCACTGTCACGAAACCAAAGACACATTTTTAAATCGAACTAAACGCCCCTTTTTAGTTCTAGTCGCCAACGCCTGGAGTTGCTTTTGCGGCTATCTTTAGGATAGACAAATGCTTTTTATATCTACACTTCCATTTTTAAATTATAAATGTGAAAGGGATTTTGTTTGTTTGTAACGCTTTCACGCCCAAACCACTAAAGCGATTTTAAAGATTATTTCACCACTGGAAAGCTACATTATCAGCGAGAAACATAGGCTACTTTTACTTTTACTTTTACCGACATACACGAGGGCGGAGCAGTGAGTAAAAGATATTTATTTAATAAAAACACTTCGAAATTTATTGACTTATAAAAAAATCTATTACAGTACAAAGAGTTTTTTATGTAAACTGTTGTTGTACTATAGACCAGAATGACCGGCGTAAGGTCAAATTTAGTGGTGAGTGACCGACCACGCCACAGTTGACGAAGCATCACGTCTTGGTATAAAAAATTTGATTTATATCTGTTGGTACAATATAAATTGTTAAGTTTGTAAAATAAACTTTTGATGATAAGCGGGTGTGGCTATCGTGTGGTGACGGATCAAAATACAGAGTGTCACCACCCCTATTTATCCCGTTGGTGTTGTAAGAGCCGACTAAGGAAGTAAACTGCGCAGAACAAACCCTGTACCAACTCGTCTGGCCAGCGTGGTCTAGTATCCAAAACCTCCTTTCTGAGGAGAGGTCTATGTCCAGCAGTGGACTAGTAACGACTATTGATGATGAGCCGAAGATTGCAAATTATTTTATGCCATAGGGGGTAAAGGAGAACTTGGAAACCTTCAACTCTAGAGACAAAAGTGCGTCTTTGAGTGTCCTCGAGAAAAATATAAGAGGGTTGGTTCTCTGGGAACGGATTGCTAAACACCAGTTTTCTGTGAGGCCGTTGTCTGAACGCGATGGAGTCGGCCCCTGTGTGCTTGTTGAGTAATTGGAGGCAGTATCAACTCACCACAATCGCGTTCTTTAGAGTTGTTCTCTGCATATCCAGATGTAAAATTTGTCTCCGATCCGATATGTGATTAGGTCTAAAAACTTTTGACATGTTATTATACTGTTTGTTCTGCCCTTATATTGTTAATTATTTTTTATTATATGTTTTGATTGGACGGTTTGGACTTTACAGCCAATTTGAGTAACTGGTATGTGACCCTTACCTGCTTCAGGTATTATCTTGCCGAACCTATCTGTAAAAGTCCCATTTCCCAATATTTCTGTAAAAGCATCATCGCTTTTCCACTTTCCTTCTTATCCTTATCTTCTTTTCCATTTAATTGACTCTCAATTTACCCGGTTAAAGGCAAAATGTAGGCGTTTAATACGGCTCTGCCTTTTCCTTTGAGTATATAGGCGTGAATGTATTTCAATGTATTTTTTTATTGAGATTTAGGGGCACTACAATAGAGAAACCATGATATATAATCTTAAAAAAGAAAGAAATTATTAATCTCTTTCTTTTTTACAGATTATTCTTAGTGTCGTTTAATTAAAAACTGGTTTCCGCTACCACAGTTCATATTTATTATTAAATTAGAAGTTAATTTGATACTTGACAGTTATTATAACATTATACGCAAAATAAATATTTGTGGAATGCCTTTATGGAGTCTGTGGAATAAATTAAAATTTTTGTCGCAATGTTGTTGTTTTTATTTCTTAGCAAAAAATGATTCTTGCGAAATATGAATCATTGTATTTATTAAAAGCTGATATGGTGACAAAAAATGTATATAGCTTCCGTATAAGCACTGTGCAACTTAAATTACCAAGAAATGTATTATATTATCATCAGACTTTCAGGTAATTTTTGATCCGTGCCTACTGCAGACCTATTTCTTAGCGCCCCATTGATTCACAGTGCGGGTACCGTGGGCGACGAACACATGCGACGGCGCCTGGGAATTGCGACCCAGGGGTAGGTTCAGGGAGGACTCCTTGCGACGCGTCAGCGCTCACCTCTACTGTCAGTCCCCCTCTACCTATCAATAGTTGATACGAGCCTAGAAATGCCGCTTTGGGTGTTCGAGTATAATTATAATATTAACGAGAGGTTTCTATACAGCACATATAACACGGATAAACTTTGTTCTTCGTAATTTACTCTTTAAAAAAACACCGCTTGTTTATAAACATCCATTCCAATCACTTGGATAATATGCACTTCACCATCTGTGCGCTTTTCATGAAACTTTTTACATCAAACCAATCTGTGCCTGCAAATTTTTCCGACCGATAAGACCTCAAGACCTTTAAGAAAAGGACATCCACTTCAAAGGCCGGTAACTCGCTCGTGATCAGATGACCCGGCTGCTCGTTTTGTCCCTATATCAGACTAAGTTCTTTACTGATCGGTTTGAAATTTTTAAACAACATTCTATTTATACACGTGCTTGTTTCTAACACGCGTGTATTAGCTTCACCTGTATGTATGACAATGTACGAGTATATAACGAAATCTATGAAGCCTATTTTTACCTCCTGGACAAGATATAAATCCTTTAAAAAAAACGTTGAACCGACTTTAAACAATACTAACAACGAAAAACTAAAAACCTAGCAGCAACCGCTTTTGATTTGCTCAAATTTTTTGAAGAGTGCCGTTGTCTGTCTCCGAAACTCATCGTCAGATATATATGAAATTGAAATGAGACCATTTCGGAATAAAACCCTTTTGAACAAAAAAATAATTTTGAAAATCCGTCTGATTCTGACGGAGTTATACCCTAACATACATAAAAAAATATGTAAACAGCCGAATTGATAACCTCCTTCTTTTTGAAGTCGGTTAAAGAGGTCGGATTACTCTGAAATTTTGCACACTTGTCAAGAACCTATGACAGTACAACAATTGATTAAGTTAGTTAACGACTTTTTCCAGATTTAAAAATACGGTACGTATTAAGGCGTGTACTGACTTGTTACTTTTTTAAATCTTTAATGAGATATGAATCATCACTAGACTTAAAATGCAAAAAAATAATCATCACATCACATCAACAGCCTTTAATTGTCCACTGCTGGACATAGGTCTCTCCTTAGAAAGGAGGTTTTGGCCTACTATACTCGTACCTACCACACTGGCCAGACGGGTTGGTATAGGGTTTGTGTCAAGTTTTCCTTCTCTTCGCAGTGCTGTTGTCCTGCGGGGTTTTCTCCCTTAGTCGGCTCGACACGGAAATAAATAATAGTTTGAAAAAACTAAAAAGAGACTCAGCAAATTGCCACTTCTTAAGGTTAATAAGCTTATTGGATATAGGACTTACCTTAATAAAGCTAAGTCGTATTCAAATGTGGCCGGATCGAAGTGTGGATGGCTGGCGACGATCTGAACTCTTCGCTCCACGAAGCCGTATGGTTCATCGCTCTGTGCTAGGTCGTGCTCTCCCAGGCGGACTAGAATTTCTGATGGTGGTACGCTGGTCAAAAATTAAAAAAATACAAGTACAAATAACAGGTATGTGGGTATGTCGCAGGTATAAATAATAGGTATTAACAGCACATATTTACAGTACATATGTTTATTTAATTTTTTACCGGACGCAAAAAGGTAATTGTAAGTAGTTCCGACGGATTGCTCTTGCAATCCAGCCATGCGCATCTCTTTATGTTTGTGTGTGTATCTTTGTATATATTGTATATTATCTTTTCTTTGGTAACATTTCTAAACGAAGGTATAGAACAGAGATAAAATACATCAGGGTGGCTAGTTCTAAATTATGCAGAAATTAACAATTAATATTATTTATATAATATTTTGACACATCTCTCACACAGCCGTCTGATTTCAAATGAGGTAAAACCTGTGCTATGGTAACCACACTGCTGATAAACATATTTAAATAGTTCTAAATACACATATTTCAGATGAATTACACCCAGCCACAGAACATATGATCGTGCTCATCACATAACTATTTGTCATGGATTTAAATCGAGTCCACGACCTCCTTAACAGTCAGGATTTTTAACCACTAAACTAACAGGCTATTTGCTAAAGGTTTGGGAATGACTAACCCTTAAAAAAATACATAGCTTCTGTCATAATTGAGGCAATCGGCACAAAAAATATATATTTATTAGTCATTGAAGCCCTCCATTATACAATAGGTTATATTGAGGAAAATATTGCTACATAATTTATGCATTTTTTGTGATGGACGTAATGAACCAAGATGCAGTTGGTATATAATTATGATGATTCCATCATTAAAACTTGACTTGGGTACTTTAAAATTATGTTTAATTGTCATACAAATTAAGAGTATCTCAAATCGGAGTCGCCGTAAGAGTAGGTCATTGTCTCAGTTAAATAAGAAACACGCACAAGGCTCCTCATATTTACGTCCATTATAAAGCTTACGTTAAGGATTATGTGTCATTTGTCATCCAAAATGGACGACTTATAACTCTGCACTATTTTTTTTTCTTTAAACTCAATGATATGAAATAGATACTTTTTCATTAATGAATAAAAAAATAATTAAAGAGGTACTCAAAGTTCAGTGTCAAGTTCAAGTCTTATTTCCTTTGATCCTGATCTAGAATTTATTTTGAATTCGGAATTACATTGTATTTTGAATCTTGAGTCTAACCTAAGTCTAATGGTTTCATAGATGATCGATAGTTTGACATTTCAATAGCTATTCTAATTTCAAATTAAATTATGCTATAATTATTTTCCTTTTTCTTTATAAGGAATTTGTTATATGGGATAGCGAATTTAATATAAACTGACTGTCGTGCGAAGTCTATTATTGGTAGTTTTTTTATTAGTTATTTTAAAGATTTTACAGAATTAAGGGCCAGGTTAGTGAATGTAAATAATGGCAACACTTTTAGTAAATCTAGTGTGTTGCCAAACGCATTCCTTTTAATATTAATGAATGTTGAAATATCAGGCAAGCGAGTAAGCAGCTTGACTGTAACCTTCTACCTCCTAAACTTATTGTTATCTATGTCTGCTGTTGTGAGTGTTGTGCTAATCGTGAGATATAAAAATATGAACTAAAAGACTTACTGTTCAACACAATGCGCCGCTGTAATCGCCCAGTTCTCATTCAGCAATGCAGCTCCACACTTATGAAGGTACGTCGAAGTTCTGTACTGCCTCAGGGAGATTTGCCAGGGCCACTGTCCAAAGCCTGAATTTGAGCCGCCGACGATTCTGCCTTTCGGCCCTTCCCAAAGGCGACGTCCACATACTGCCAGGACCAGTAATGTAGCATTGAGGATCATTGTGGACTTAGTAGTTGTTTTGTTGTAGTAAATCGATATTTAAAATTCGAATTCAGAATATGTTTCTTTTTAATTTGAACATTACAAAATTTAAAAAATAATTGTTTTGCGATTTGTAACGGTTTGTAGCAGTCTTAAATTTTAATTTAATTATATTACTTTGATATTTTTATGTTTGTATTAATTAAAAATTACTATAACATTTAATTAATTTTCTGGCAAGATAACAAACAATTAATTGACATGAAGCTTATAACAAAACAATTCTGACCTTAAATAAAAAAAAAATATATTTGTAAAATTGTCTATTAAAACAATTATTCTTATTTTAAAATTCTTTAAGGTCGATGTACTGTATGTTTGATTACAATATACGTGTTTTATATAAAATTAAATTACGCTTAGCAAATGACGATCTTTGCGCAATCTTATATGATAATAAAATAGACACCATTTAAACTTTTTGCTTTCTTGTTTTTTGTGCTATAAAGTTCGAAGGTTCTGCATTTGGTCTTGTTAAAGTTTTTGCTCAATAAAACAAGCAAAAAACTTAATGCGACTCATAATTGCCGAGCTTTAAATGTACTTTGAAACAAGTGGTTACTGATATACATAAATTAAGCAATTATTATGAAAATTCACAGTCTTAATACATAAACGACATTTAAACGTTTAGTGATTAAAAATTGTTCTCAACCAGACACTAATCCAGTTCTAGAACGCGTTTATCTTCAAACTCCCATGACATTTTCGTTTTTTAAAAATAGATGCACTGACGCATTCATAAAGTCTGATGTAGTCTTCCAAGGATACTGAATTATTACAAAACTGGAACTAAAGTTCGAAATTGATGTTATTATTCAATTTGTTTTATTATATTTACGTTGTTAAATCACTTTCGCTAATTTATTTATGATTGGATTATTAATCTTTATTACGCGGTAAAAAATCACAAAACTATTTATGAACTGCACTTTTTTCACCACTTATTTTTTTAAAATAACTTTTGAATGTAATGTCAATGCAAAAGCCACAAGTATTCGTCCTTGCGCTTGCCTTGGCCGTGACGTGCGGTCGCTTCGCGCGTAAGCCTTTGTTTGAACATCGAACAGTTTTGTTTTTTTTTAATTTTTGTTTATGCTGAGGCAGTAAAACATTTTGTCGGGACCGACTGGGGTCTTTAACCTGATGCTATATCCGAACCGATGGGCTATTTATCAAAACAAAAAATTGGGGTATTAGTAATTGATATTTTCTTAATAATTAAACTGTTCTTATCCTAATGATGATAAAAATTTAATCTTATTTGGCGATGTTTCATGATTACGGTATGGGCAAACCAAATTTCTGCATTTCCTTTTTGTTACAGTTGAAGTTTTTATCACATCACATCAACAGCCTTTAATAGTCCACTGCTGGACATGAGCCTCTCTTTAGTAAGGAGGTTTTGGCCTACTATACCACGCTGGCCAGACGGGTTGGTATAGGGTTTGCGTCAGGTTTTCCTTCTCTCTGCAGTGCTGTTGTTTTGCGTACTAGACATGAAACGGACACAAAGAACACCGAGCCTCAGAACAACAATTTGTGGAACACACAAAGTGTCGTCCTATATGGGGATCGGACCCACAACACTCAGCGTAGTAGTAAGTGGTGTGGCGACCGCTTAAACCACTACGCCATCCGTGCAGTCATTGCATTTCATTGCAGTCAGTGCATTGTGTGATGATCATGATTGTTGGATCTGTGTCTGGATGTAGCTAATCTATATAGGTAAGGTATTTAGAAGTATATAAAGCACTTTTATCAGCCGTCTGGTTACCATAGTACTACTACCATAGTACATAGGTCGAACAATAGGGATGATCTGGTTTTGACAGCTCATAGCGGCCATGTTTGAAGATGGATCTTTGACGTCTCTTGACATTTGTGTTCAGTAAAGTTTGCTTACATTCATTTGGATATTTATCACTTTGTATGATCAGGAATACATTATCTCGTGTCGCCACAACACAAGGTAGTAATGTGTCAACTGTCTAACCGACACGTCACAATACGACGCAATAATCTATTTTTTTTCTGAATATAGATTTAAGATTTATACAAAAACTTGTTACACTATCACTTTATCGGTTTTTATGCGTTACCGGTTAGTTTGTAGAGTAAATTACAGTTTTAAAAATCACAAGTTAATTTAACAGTAATATGTATTATCATGGCGAAAATTTGTGAGTGTTTGTCGGCTGAACCAATTTTGATAAATTTTGGTATGGAGGTTGCTGACATCCTGGATTAATACATAGGCTATTTTTTATCAAGAAAAATGTAGTGTTCCTGCAGGATGAGCCAGGACTTGAAATGTCTGATTAACCGCAGGTAACACCGCAAGGCGCAGCTAGTAAATAATAAAGACTCCGATTTATACCTCAACAGTTAAAATACAACCTAACATTCAAAACAATTCCTTGTACAACAATAGCGAACGCTACAAAGCAATCATTGTGTTTAATAGTTGTACAATTAGTTACAGGTAGGTTTAGCATGCGTTGGGACGAATAACGAACATGATTTCCTTTCAATATACACACTAGGAATAGATCCTGTGTCGCAGAGGACTTTACGAATATTCATGAAACGGACACAAAGAACACCCAGTCTCAGAACAATAATTTGGGGATCACATAAAGTGTTGTCCCGTGTGTTTATAGTTTCCTAAATATGGTGTGCTATTAGGAGTCTATCAAGAACGACGGATGTCTTTCATCGGCGGATGACATCAAGTAATTTTAAGTTTACAGGTCTGTGACACTCAATCCTATTAGAATTCATCATCATCAGTACCCTTTGACAGTCCACTGCTTTACACAGGCCTCTCATTAGAAAGGACGATACCACGCCAGCCAGACAAGTTGGTATAGGGTTTGTGTCAAGTTTTCCTTCTCTTTGTAGTGCTGTCGGTTAGTCGATTCTTAAGCCCACGGGATGAATATGGGTAGTGACACTTCGTTTTCTTCATCCGTCACCACACGGAAGACAAATATTAGAATTCATTAACATAAAATTTGTTTTTAATACCTCTTCTGGCCACAGTAGGCTGTTCTCCACCATACCATAGAATATTACTTTCAGTTGTATAACGTAATATCTGCCCATTCTGGTGTTTCTAAATTGGTATTATTGGAAATATATGAGTTTTATATGAAAACATCAAAAAGTAATTCATTTTATAAGTACATAAAGTTTATATTTGGATGTATCCCTTTGAATTAATAGCATTATTATTTAGCCCCGTTAGTAAATTTGACATTCAGAGGGCTTAAGAGTACATTTTGAAGTTCGCCTTGTTTTAAAATAAAGAACACTGAATATTCGAGGATATGTGCAAAAAATAGTCCATTTTTATCTCATTGTAAACATAAAGATAAGTATATGTGAAACATTATAAGGAATTTCCTTCAAAAAAAAAAATTATGGTCCGTCTAGTGTTACGTCACATTGCCCGTACTTCCTAGTTGTACTGATCCTGTCTGGTCGTGTCACTGTTAGCTCGTATTACATATACATAACTAATAAAACATTAATTTACTTTTGATTTTATTTACTAACCACTAATTACTGTATCTACACATAGAAAATTACTTGATCTGACTGTTTCATCAACGCAGAGCCTAACCGCTGGGACAACAAACTTTGTAAATTTCCCCCCATAAGGGGGTAAAATAAGGGGTGAAGCGTTGCATGAAATTTGTCATATTCAAAATTAGAAACACGAAATAAGAAATAGTTATTCATAATTTTGTTTACACAATGGCTATTTCCTAGTATTACAGTATCCGCGCGCATCTGCCGTTTCCTGTTTACTCAATTCCGTCCATTGTTACGAAATTACTGTCTTAGTTCACTATCTGTAGTAGCCCAACTTTTAAAAATACTCTTTAGGAACGAACATTGATCGAAAACACGAGTAAAGGTGGTGGTAGCGGCACAAACCCTATACCAACCTATTTTAACGAAAGGCCGATGTCCAGCAGTGGACTATGAAAGGCTGTAGATGATAATGAATTGTAACTTTTAAATTTTATTTAGAGTACACTCGCCTGGTTTCTTTCCAAGGCCAGTATATCTTGAACTGTCATTGCATAGATTTTATGTACCACGATAGGTCAACACATATGCGTTATATTTTCACACGATTTTTTAATTTGCAACACGGCTCAGATTATGGATATGTTACAGTCTATCTGAGGATATCAAAGCTGTTAAAAGAAGAGCTTTTCAGAAAAGAAGAATATCTATTGCTTTTAAAAATTAGTTTTTTTATGAAATAGGGGAACAAACGAGCAGACGGGACACGTGCAGCTCAAGAGTCGCGAGTGTGTTGTCGCCTTTCTGTCTGTCCCCCAGAATCAGGGGGAGGTGGAGGTTTTGGGTTTCGGGAACCTCACTCAATCGGTGAAAAGCAACGAAGCAAATGCTTAATACCAGTTTCTATGTTTTATAATGAGCCTTCCGACAGAGGAATAACACTTCACCATCATCATCAGTCTACCTATCGCAGTCCACTGCTGGATATAGGCCCATTTCGGCCTTTAATATAAATAACACTTATTGTTTTTTTTTTATTGTTTTTTTTGAAATAATACTCGCTTTCAATTACTTACTCTAGTATAATACGGTTGCTATGAAAATGAATTATCTAGTAAGTAGTACAGTGCCCTTGAAGTTATTTCCTCGTTCTTCTTACAAATGCCAACTTCGTTTGCTAATTTTACAGTGAATTTATTATTTTAACCTTCATTACATAGATTCCTGGCATCTTGGCTTTTTTACCCGACTGCGGCAAAAGAAGGGTTATGTGTTTGAAGTATTTATATGTATTAGAGATATAACAAAATCACAATCACCTAAAAAATATCTAAAATATGAAAAAGGTTGTTATATTTGATACAAAGAGTTTTGATTGATTTTAACGGCATTTATCTTTGTCTATGACCAAATCACAATCGCATGTAAAATCACTGACTAAAACCAATCATAATATAATAAAAAATATGATTTAAAAGTAGCAATAATTTCCATGTCTAGTATGTATGAATACTTGTTAATTTCTTTGGCACGCTCTGTGGTCTTAACGGTTTGATGTATTTTGGCTTGGGAGGTGTCGTTAGGTTCGTCATTGTGAGTGACACTGATATATGAAAATTTTAAAACTGCAATGGCCGGTTCGTAATATTTAAGTACCTATGAATTTTCATATAGTCGGTTTTTTTTTTAACTAATTAGCTTTTAATGTATAGATTATTATGTTATGTTTCGTTTTCACTTTCGAATTTGGAACGATTTTTATTTGTTTTTAATTTGTACTAAAGTGTAGCGACATTTTGGAAAGGATTGAATGTATTTTTTTATTAGATTTTTTAAATTATAGATACAGGTCTATTTTGTCACAGTTAAAACAATGTTTTTTTTTGTTCACGGTAAATAAAACCAGTTAATATTAAATTGAACAGGTAAACAAGTACTTTTAAGTATTGAGTGTCAAATCTCATTTATCATTTGTTTCAATTTAACAAAATTCTTTTTATTTTTACTAAAAAATATAAAAGAAAAGTTGAATTCTCACCACTTTTGTAGTCTGACATGTCAGGGAGTGTAGTCGTCTCTTCTGAAAAAATAAAGGAGATAATCGCACTATAAGTATTACAGTATTCTACACAATCCCACATCAAGACCCATTGTGAAACATGTCATGTTGCGATAGTAAAAATATTAAAATAAAAATAGTTACAGCTTTGAGCCCTGAGCCTTTGACCTCCCTGCTCAAATGGGGGGTGAGGGGGGAGCTTTTAGGCGGTGGAAGTCACTTACCATCAGGTGAGGTGGAGCTAATACCCTCGAAATATGCATTTTCTTTAGCCCAAATTTAACATCTTTCTTGGTCCATTCAGAAAACAACTTTGTTCAATTATTTAAAAAAATAAAACTCACGTGTAGGTTTCAACGCTTCAGTAGAGTTGGAAACTGTAGCACTTTCAGTGACATTGTCAGAGGAAACGGAACTAAATGTTGTTAAGCCTACGCTAGACGTCGTTGTTGGGATGGTCGGAGACAATGTAACGTTCACTGTGAACTCTACAAGTGGTTTACTCGCTGTTGATAAGGTAGTCTCCTCAGTTGTTGAAGCAGTCGTCGAGTTTGGTGAGAGTGTTGTTGTTGAGCTAGGTGCTGAAGTTGTTGTTGTAAATGATACTGTTGTTGGAGGAGTCGGTTCCGTTTTTGGGGCTTCAGTTGATGTGGTAGTTGATAGAGTCGTTGTTGGTGGGTCGGTTGTTGTTGTTGTGGTTGTAGTAGTGGTGGTAGTCGTCGTTGTTGTTGATGATGTTGTTGTTGATTCTGGTTTTTGTGGTATTGTTGATAGTAATACCCATCCGTCAGTGGCGATTTCTGTAAACATAACAATTTACTTAATATAACCTTCTTTTGTGATTAACAAAAAGATAATGAATATTGTGTGATGAGTACGATCATTTGTTCTGAGTCTGGTTGTAATTTATCTATACTCGTAATATGTATGTATTTATAAATATATAAGTATGTTTTACATAGCACAGGCTCTGCCGTTTGGGATCAGACGGCCGTGTGTAAGTTATATCAATCAAGGTTTAATTATTATTAGTTCATGTGACACTTTAGCTTCGGGTTTCGGCTTTAATCAATTCAATTAAACTTATACCAGGTCATTAAGGAGTATAGCTTCCCATACACATAGCTTTCCATACATACACGCTGTCCTAAAATATTTCAGACACCTAAAATCGTCCTAAAATGACTACAGCTTATTACTGAAACTTTATAACGGATAAGGATAATATTAACCTCCTTGGTTAAAATAAAGATAACATCTTCAGACCCTTTAATAGTTTTCTATAGTGACGAAGAGGACCCTGACACCAAGGTTTGTGACAAATCGTGATGTTTTTAAAGAAATATCTTCAGTACATCTTGTTTGCAAGTATTCCGTAAAAGCTGCAACTAATACTTCTGGATTCTGCAAGACAAGTATTCGACTAGCAAATGCCACCTTGTTGTTGTAACTGATACCACAATTAATTAGTAGATTCAGAGATTAGAGCGCTCAACCAAATCAACAAACTGTACAGATTTAAAATATTAGTATAGATAATATAACATAACATTATTACGTTTTTATTATAAATATACACTTTCTCGTTTCCCGCGTCTCGTCCCGTCATGACGACCTGCGAATCCCCCGTGCCATTAACCTTGTCTCCACATGAAATACTACACCAATTGGCTCGGTTTCAAACAACGGTACCTCGATAGAATCAATTTGATCGCAGTGACCGAGTCCTACTTACACCATAAGCAAATGAAGCGTTGTGATGATTTTAGGACGACCGGCTGTCATTTTCACTTAATTATGTTAACTTCGCTTTCTTTTTCGTTTAATTATTCGTTTAGAATATTGTTGCTGATTTAACTTAGACAGGAAATAGTGCGTAGCAGATTTTTACAGTATCGAAGCGATCAAACTTAGAAAGTACGAAGTACACCAATGGTACAAAAATGATAAGGATACGGATAGCTGGGTAGTACTTACACTCCTTAACTATCCGTATCTATACTATTATTATAAATGCGAAAGTGTGTCTGTCTGTCTGACTGACTGACTGTCTGTCTTCTTTTACCGCCATGACCGACACACAGGCGGGCGGCGCCGCGAGCAAAAGCTAGTTAGCAATATATCCTCTTCCTACTACTGCGAACCCTTCTAAGCTACCCTTCTTCTTAAACATACTCCCAATTTGCTGAACATCGAACACTTGAGTGCCCAGTTGATGTCAATGACTCGTCCTCAATTACGTCATCATCATCAACAACAACTGTTAATAGTCCACTGCTGGACATAGGTCTATCATTGGAAGGGAGGTTTTGGCCTATTATATAACGCTGGCCAGACGGTTTGGTATAGGGGTTGTGTCAAGTTTTCCTTCTCTTTGCAGTGCTGTTGTCCTGCGTAGTTTGCGCAAGTTGGATTGAAATTTGTTTTTGTCTGTTTTTAAAGGATCCCACAAGTATTTATTAGGAGCCCGCATTAGGATAAATCCTGTCTCGCGGGGGCCTTTACAAACATCGTTTCGGGTCTATCGATTTGGCTAATTTTGTGGCGAATATGTGGGAAATATTTGTGGCAGTCCAGGGTAAGTTACCGTTTACCGTTTACGGTAAGATTTTTTGGAAAAATCGGAGGAAAAAAGTAAAATCATCAATTTTTATTTTCCCATACTAAATGTACCTTCATGTCAGACATTTAATGTCGTCGTCGGTACGATCAATCGGATCTCTTCAAATTAAAGAACAATATCAAAGAAGGGTTTCGAATCCAGCACATATAAACAGTATTCGAATTATCGTGTATTTAGATTTCATAAATGCCAATAAATAGTGTCACTATGACAAAGGATCGACATATTTGTTGGTTGTCAAATATATATGGATCCGTTCAGAAATGTATAGAGATCAAGCTACATAAAACAATGTCCGTAATTAATAATAACCAGACACAGACAAAAGGTTATAAAATTCATCTGACATTATTTAGTCACTTATGCGGCTGTCCGTGTAGTGGCGGATTAAGAATACGGAATGTCACTACCCCAATTCATCCCGTGGGTGTCGTAACAGCCGACTAAGGGCGCAAAAAACGCAGGACACCAGCACTGCAAAAAGAAGAAAAACTTGGCACAAACCCTTTACCAACCCGTCTGGCCAGCGTGGAATAGTAGGCCAAAACCTCCTTTCTAAGGAGAGGCCTATGTTCAGCAGTGGACTATTAAAGGCTGTTGATGTGATGTTATGCGGCAGAACTTTCTTCAGATTTATTTTGTACTTCAGTAGATTTTTTTTGTAACTTACCCATATTAATTATTATTGTAAAAATAGGCTATAAGATAATATAGATAAAAAGATGTAGGTGATACGCAGTCCACTGGGTCTTCTAGTTATTACAACTATACACAACAAAATAATAATGTTTTTGGAAATCTGACAAACAACGCTATATAGTTTCAAACTAAGCGGAGCTTGTACTATGAAAACTAGATTGACTGATATTCTATCATACATACTTTTTTTCTTACTTACATACTTTTTTTTGTAAATACATACATATTATACTTAGAAAACATCCAAATTCCGAAAGAAATATCGCGCACATCTCACAATTATTTATCTTGGGAATAGAACCAAAAACCTCCGTATACTATGTATCTGGGTACTATTTAGATAGTTTTAATGCAAAATCTATGATTTTTTAAGTACAAGTAACTACAGTATAGTCCACAAGATGCTCGTGGCTAAGTGTGATTCCACTACAGTGGGCCGGGATTTTTCATTTATTTGATTTGGCAATAATACTCCCAAATAATAGTATCGAACTAGTCACTAGTAAAACTAGTCACTAGTCTGGAAGAGCCATGCTTTATCACAAATGGGCCAGGCTCGATCGGAGGTATACCACGGTCTTACAGAAAACCGGTGTTAAGCTATTCTTTCGTTGCTTTTCACCGAATGAGGTTACAGTAACCCAACCCCCCTCCCACCCTAATCCGTGGGGGGGGGGGGGGGTTACACAAATGTAGGCATCGTGCTTGTAAAACTCTGGAGTTAGAGCTAGACATTGAAATAATTGCTACTTTTAAATCATATTCATTTGTTGAAATGATTGGTTTTAGTCACAGCGATTGTGATTTCGTCAGACATAGTTATAAAAGGCATTAAAATCAATCAAAAATCTTGTTATCAAAGATTACGACCTTTTTTGTTAAATTTAGACCTTTCGCGAGTCTTGCGCTAGCGTAATAATAATTAAGTAGCAGTGGTTTTTAAATCAGTCTCTGGTGTGGTGATATGATTTATCACATGTGATTACGATTTTAGTCAATCCCTAATTAAAAGCATTCCTAAGCGGTAGTCACTAACATCAGGAGACTCATCTACCCCCTTATTCCATAAAAAAAATCACATTTCATAAATAACACCAAGACTAATTGAAAGAAATCAAATAACACCTAATTTCCTTATCAATAAAATTTAAAATAGAAAGTGAGCTTTATATTTTCACTTGTACTATACAATGACGACCCGACTTCGCTGGCCTACCCCAGATACGTGCAGTATTTACTAAGAGACCTACGAAGGCAGTTCGATGACCGAAGTGTAAAGTTTTTACTACTGAATAGCCCCCTTTTGACGCGTTTAGTGTGTAGTGAAAATGTAAATATGTCAGCGTCATCTAGCGGAGATAAACTGAACTACTTAGTAATCGTCGGTCGTATATCGCGAAATAAGTGTTCTTACGTAGATAATTCATCTGCTTTTAACTAACTATATAATAAAACTCTTTGTTGGCGAAAATGTAAACATCTTCTATTTAAAAGAAGTTTGTCCCGCTCAATAACTTTTCACGGAGAAACTCCGGTTTAAATTTGGACAGTGTTTTTTGTAAATGAAGATACGTTTTTGGGTTGTTTATACAACAATAGCTGACCTGCTCAATTGCGTCTAATTTGCGAATAAATTGCCCCATTTTTGCATCATTCTTCATTGATGCTCGGCTCTCATTGGCCATAGACCGCTATTATAAAGCCTATAATTTCCTCATTTATAATTTAATATAGATTATATAGCCTTCCTTGATAAAAACGCTATCCAACACTAAAATATTGTTTCAACTCGAACCAGTAGTTCCTGAGATAAGCATGTTCGGACGAACAAACTCTTAAGTTTTCTAATATTTCGCTTTCTAGCTCGTATAGGTTAACGATCTGCTGTCTACATATATTGTTTAAAAAGAAACAGTCACCTAATACTGTTATTGATGACTAAATGCAAAAACTCAAGATTTATTTTAACACTTGTGTAAAATTATTATAGCGTAATCAATCCATACTTCCACACTAATATTATAAATGCGAAAGTATGTCTGTCTGTCTTTCTTTCTGTCTGTCAGTCTGTTACCTCTTCACGCCTAAACCGCTAAACGGATTTAGATGAAATTTGGTATAGAGAAGATAGTTTGAGTCCCGTGAAAGGACATAGGATAGTTTTTATCCCAGAAATAATACTTTAAAGGGGTAAAAAGAGGGGGTGTAGTTTTGTATGGGACATCGAAAACATTTGCAATACCGAGATAACCGACATACACGCGAGTGGAGCCGCGGGCAAAAGGTAGTGTTAATATAATAAGGTAGATTTTTTGTTCAACGCGTTGACCTCTAGAACTAACATACAGATATGAAGAATTATTAACTTTTTAAAAAGTATTATCCATTTCAATGCGCGCCTTGTTGAATTGTAGTAAATTGTGTTCATTATTCCTCAGGTCTTAAAGTGACCAGATTTCGGCAGTGATGGTCTATTGGTCTAGTGGTTAGCAATTCTGTCTGCTAATCCAGAGGTCGTGAGTTCGATTCCCACACAGTACTAAAAATTATGGGATGAGCACGATCATTTCTGTTCTGTCTCTGGATGTAATTTGTTTATTATATGCATGTATTTAGAAATTTATAAGTATATAAGAAAAAAAAGTGATGATGCCTCTTTCCTTTCCTATTGGGGTTCAAGGTCGAATGTACATTTGTTAAAAAACTAAAGAATTCATTTTCAAAATTTAAAATCAACTTACCATCAGATTCTGTCACTCGTTCTGGTTCTTTTGTAGCAACATCTTCAGGTGTCGTGGAAACTTCTTTAATTGATTCAGTAGAAGTTGTCAGAAGTGGCGATGTGGGTGCTTCGGTTTCGGTAACTACCTCAGTTTCTGTTGTCGTAGCAATAGCAGGTGAGCTAGTTGCTTCTGTTGCTTCGCTGACATCAACTGTTGTTTCTTTATTTGCTTCTGTTGTTTCAGTAACAAAAGATGTTGTTGGTTTATCAGTCGTTTTCTCAACTTCTGTCGTAACCTCAGTAGATGTGGTTATAGGTTCGATTACTTTCTCTGTTACAATTTCGGTAGTGGTTGGTTTTGTTGATGGAATTGGAGTTGTTGTCGTGGTAGATTGAGTTGTTGGAACAGTCGTATTGATGTAAGTGATTGAAACGTACGAAGGCCGAGCATATACTGGTTTTGAGCTAGTTGCTTGAGGTAGAATAGTTATATTTAATCGAGGAGGAATTGGCAAAGGCTTTTTAGTCGGCCTTTTGGTTCCTGGCCTATATGGAGGTTTCCTCGTTGTGTTAAAGACAGGTTTAACTGGTCTAGGTTTGAAAGTAGAGAACGTGTATTGTGGTCTTGTGGTGTTATAAGGCTTTTGTGGGGGTTTGTATGTTGGTCGGACAGGTCTTCTAGTTGGTTTTGGCTTAACGGCTGGTGTTGTAACTAAAGTTACATCATCGTTTTCTGTTTCAGGTTTATTAGTAACTTGGTTACTTGAACCACTAGAAACTGATTGGTAAGTGGATAATTTTATTGGCATTTCAGTCACTACTGCTTCAGTTATCTTGTTTTCAGGTTTTGGAGTGATTTCAACAACATTTGGTGTAGTCAGTTCTGCTTCATCGTCTATTTTATTATCTATAATGGTGTGTTCGTCAGATTTTGTTTCTAAATCAACAGCGTCAGTTCTATCTTCTACTGTTTCAGATTTTTCAGTAACTGTTGTTTCAATTTTTTCTGTGGTCGTTGTTGTTGTAGTAGTCGTGGTTTTTTTATTACCGTATGGACCTGGGACTATGATCACTCCAGGTTCTTTTTCTTCTATATGTGGATGGACGAAATTTGCACTATCAATTGAATTGTCTTCAATGTTATTACCAATAAATTGTGTTAAGACTGTTTTGTCTGGTACTCGGCAGCAGGAGCCGAAGTAGAACCTGTCTATGCAAGTACCTAAGTTTGTGCCGTTGAATTTGAGGCAGTCCATGGCGAACATGCAGAGCCCTTTTTCGTTTGATCTTCTTGTTATGCACGGCAAATGTCTTATATTTCTAGCTATTGGCACTGGACCTGGAACAAACAAAAATATTATTTTAATTATTTTACTATATTGTTCTACTACGTGGTTAGCAGTTAACGGTGCTTATAATGTAATAAAACACATCATCACACTAACTAGACGGGTTGGTATAGATTTATTTCAAGTTTTTCTTCTCTTTGAAGTGCCGTTGTCCTGCGGGACATAGGCTATATCTCCTTAGAAAGAAGGTTTTGGCGTACTATACCACGCTGGCCAGACGGGTTGGTATAGGGTTTGTTTCAAGTTTTCCTTCTCTTTGCAGTACTGTTGTCCTGCGTAGTTTGCTCCCTTAGTCGGCTTTTACGACACCCACGGGATAAATAGGGGTAGTGCCACTCCGTATTCTTAAACCGTCACCACACGGACAGTTTTTTTTTTATATTTATAAACTTTTATATAAATTTAATTTAATTTAAAAAGAATGTGTAGAATAATAATAAGCATTCCATCATAATAGTGCACAAAGTACATCATTCAAAATGTGCCCAAAAATTAAAGTGCCAGCCAGTAAAAAAAACTGTGTCATCTTACGGCAAATGATCTTTTAAACATTTTTTATTACAACAAACGTCTACGACCAACTTTTAGACCCAAAATGGATCTCCGAAAATCATAAAATGAGCATTTACATTTATGTATCAATTAACTATTTCTGAATAATTAAAAACCTAAACAACGCAATACCATCAAAATGAGACCTGCGGAATTATAACATATGAATAAAGCCACGTAGGTAACGAAATGAAGTCTTTTTCTTTACTTAAATTTTATAACACTAATACCTACACATAAATACCTACGTAGGTACCTAATGATGATTGTATATAATTAGGCTTTTTCTCACATTGTATTATTATTAAGCGAGATTAAGTTATTTTTTATCATCATTATTTGATTTTTGCTATAGTAATGAAGTAAAAATTGTTCAGACGAACTCGTATAAATGCATTTTTTTATTATTTCTAAGTCATGTAACTCATAAGTAATCGGTCTTAGCTCTTAGCCGTCTAAAGAAAAAAATCTTAAAATGTCGTTCTCTAACTCTGTCTGTCTCTCTCTCTCTCTCTCTCTCTTAATTTTCGTTGGCCGGCACTTTTTATTTTGGGTACTTTTTGTATGGAGCGTGAATGATGTCCTTTATTGCTGTATTACTGCTTATCTATTTATTAGCGTCTAAAAAGTAATAAAACAGTAATAAAACTTATTATGTATAAAAGAAATCGTAAATGAACAATCTTTGATGTTGCATTTTTAATGTTGTTATAATAATCGTAACACCTTAAATTTAAGAAATTAATGTCGTAGGATTGTTAATTGTTATTGTTATATTAATTAATAACGTGGTAAAACATTTTATTTCTTGCCCTTTTTTATGGTATAACGAAAAAAACGAGCAGAGGTTTCCCATCATCATTCGTTCAAAGACATAGATCTCTCCTTAGAAAGGAGGTTTTGGCTTACTATAATACGCTGGCAAGACGGGTTGCTATAGGGGTTGTGTCAAGTTTTCCTTTTCTTTACAGTACTGTTCTCCTGCGTAGTTTGCGCTCTTAGTCGGCTCTTACGATACCCAATGGTGACACTCTGTATTCTTACGTCCGTTTTTTATAATCTATATATCCTTAATTCTCATTACTACAGTTAAACATTGTTCTTAGAAGATTCCTCCTCTTTAAAGATATTTTTTCAAGATTGCTTAAATGTTAATCATTTTTGAGTTATTAACAAAAAACGAAATGCTATCTTTTTTTCATCTTAATTTGTTAATAACAATTGTAATTTTTTATGTGCTAATACATACTTTTAAAACATTTTTCTAGACGTCATTCCGAATCGAATGCACCATCACTCATACTTTCAAGAGCTTTATCAAGAACTAACACTGTTTTTGGACTTGTTGACTCGCCTATTAAGCAAAGAATACCTAAAAACACATGTTTTGAATTTTCTTTTTATCAAAGACTACGATCTTTTTTTTAGATATAGACCTTACGCTAGTTTGGCGTTAGCGTAATAGTTCGCAGCAATCACTTGATTTTTAAATCAAATGATTAATCATCAAAGTTGATTGTGATATTATTAAATCCCTACTTTTGTCCTATGCGACTCAAGAAACACAGGTGCGCATTAGAGTGTGTGTCTGTGTGTGTGTGTGTGTGTGTGTGTGTGTGTGTGTGTGACCCACCCTGAAATGGAAGAGGGGTTGGGCTTCCTGTAACCTCACACACTTAGTAAGAAGCAAAGAAAGAATTCCTTAACAGTGTTATTCAATGAGGCCATGTTTTTTTTTGAGACTTTCCATCAGGTGACCCGTCTGCTCGTTTCGCCCCTCTTTAAGTGGTATCACTGAAGTTGAGGCTGTCCGTACTTGCCGAAGAATGGCTCTCCCTCAGTCATATTGCATCCTCTTTCTTACTGAAGGAAGAGAACATTTTTGTGAGAGAAATTTACCCCTATGTAAGTTTCTATATCTGTGGCAACATCTATGTAAAATTTTATAATGATCTGACTGAATGATGATTCAAGAAAGAACATGGGTAAAATACGAACCAAGTTAGACTTTTATATTAACAAATTTAAAAAATATGTAACTGTGGCGACTCCCACATACAAAGAAACAGAAACATACTACAGCGCCATCTAATGAAGACACACCGAACTACGGAGTAACTACTAAAAATAAGAATTGCTAATCCTGTATCGCGATATAAAGAATTCCCTCGCCGATTAGCATATATACAACTTCCCAACATCAACCGTGGGGCCGCGGCCCGCCAGGCATGATCACCTCGCCTGGTCGGAGGATCCTCCCTTTGTGTTGGAGGGACATGACACCCGTTCCTCCACAGTGGTGACCCCGACGTGATTGGAAGCAGCCTTCAAAAGGAGCAGATCATCAGCAGCACCATCGTGTACACTCCCACAGCGATGAGCACTAATCAAGTCTCAGCCAGCCAGCAACCTCGGCCTCTACAGGGATACCACACGCAGGTAGCGACCGCTCCAGCCTGGTTACCTCTACGGCCTCATCAGCGTCTAGGCACAGCACACTGCACCTACGGTCCACGTAAGAAGAGCATTTTCTCTCCCGTCTACGCAGCAGCCAGCCACTACGCAGCAACCGCCCCGACTCACTAGGGACTTCACCGCAGCACCGCCCACCGCACGCCATCCCAACTCACTGGGATCAGCGGACTTAAGCCCCGACTCACTGGGGCTAGCGGCACTCAGTTCCGACTCACTGGAACTAGCGGCACTCAGTTCCGACTCACTGGAACTACTCACTACTGGCACTGGCACGCTCCACAACATAGATAGACAGCTGACTCATCATATATCGACCTCCGGTCTTGGAGGGGAGTGATGTGGCGACTCCCACATACAAAGAAACAGAAACATACTACAGCGCCATCTAATGAAGACACACCGAACTACGGAGTAACTACTAAAAATAAGAATTGCTAATCCTGTATCGCGATATAAAGAATTCCCTCGCCGATTAGCATATATACAACTTCCCAACATCAACCGTGGGGCCGCGGCCCGCCAGGCATGATCACCTCGCCTGGTCGGAGGATCCTCCCTTTGTGTTGGAGGGACATGACACCCGTTCCTCCACATAACAATATAAAGTATGTCTCTATAAATATATATAAATACCAACGTTTTATTAATTAAACATAATTATTTTCAGAAAATAGAACCTTGCAGTGACATCTATCGCATGAAGGAAGAAACTAACTCCTGCCATCTAGTGAGTAACACGCGAACTACGTCATTTGCTACCTAACGTGGGTACAAACAATGATGTTTTCCAACCTCTCTACTATTTCATATTTCACTCATTTCTGTCAAGAAAATGCACGAAACTATTTTATGAGTTTTTGTGTTAAATCCATAATAATCGTAAATACCTAGAACCATTGGTATTGCTTATTAATAAAGCTGTAACAGTAAAAGTATAATAAAAACAATTCAAGCATTTTTTTCAATTTGTGTATATTTTGCGTCTTTGTAAATCCGTGTGGTGGATTAAGTATATCCATCCCGTGGTTGTCGTAAGAGCCGACTAGGGCAGCTAACTACGCAGGACAACAGCACTGCAAAGAGAAGAAAAACTTGAAACAAACCCTACACCAACCCGTTTGGCCAGCGTGGTATAGTAAAACATAACCTACTTTCTGAGGAGAGGCCTATGTCCAGCAGTGGACTATTAAAGGTTGTTGATGATGGTGATGAGGATTAATAGTCGAAGAAACGAAGCATTGATAAAGCTCAAATTGGCGCAGTAAGATACATTTCGATCTGGTTTTAAGCAGAGATAATAAGTAACAATTTTACAACTCTGTCAATTAGGATATAAATAAGTCAAATTTTGTTGCACGGGGGTTTTGAGGGTAGCTGAACACAAATATGCAGTCGGCGGCATCCGAGGTATCTGGGGCCCAGAGTGGCCGTTAAACACGTCGTCTCCTGGAGTTTTGCTTTTAATGTATAAAACACAAACAAAATGCATTGAATAAGTATCTTTACAAAGTTTCTGGACGGTCTTACGAATCGAATGCAGCGCTAATTTAAGCTTGCTCAATGCTTTATTTCTTCGACTATAATTTTACCGCGGCTTAGCAGCCTGGACAACTAACCGTCCAACAGGCCCGTCGAAGACAAGGATATCAATAACACAGTATTCAATTTAAACTGTAAAACTCATAAATAGAGAACTGGAGCAAAACTTGTACTATTGTACCTTTGGTGCAGTCTAAATGAAAGGTACACAGAATGTCTTAAGTAAACGCGGAACTGACCATCGCTGACGACGCGATAACGGATTATCTACACACTTGAACGGTGGCTGTGGAGTTAACTCCAAAACAAGTTTATCTACATTTGAACTTATCTTACAATAATGTAACTTTAAGTCAGAAGTTCAAGTGCGATTGGTTTTTCGAAGTGGAGAAAGAAATAAAGCGAATTATATTCTTCTTTTGATAATATTAAATAATACGTTAACCGTCTTCAAAACAACGAGGAGATTTACTATTCGTTTATTTGCGTTTGTTAACTCAGAACTTCCTTATTTGTGAACCGATTTGGAAAATTCTATTTTAATGAGTATTTGGAGGGTTTAAAAAACACCATCCTTGAGCAAAACGACATATGCAAAGTAATTTATTGTTTTATGGGCGCAGTATAAAACTGTTTCTGAGCAAGCAAGTTAAAACAACACGTCTTTGTTTCTTGGTTTCCAGATAGTAAATCTACAAAAACGTACAATTACACATTAATTGAACGGGTTTATCAGTGATGTCCATGGCCCTTTTTTTGGGTGGGGATCTAGATGGATTTTTACCGCTGGGGCGGTTTAAGGGCGTAACATACGTCGAAGATACTATAAGATAAGATATAAATATTTTGTATAAAAGTATATTTCATATCTTAAGTTGTATGTTACATACATTTTTAACGGGCCTGTTGGTCTAGTGGTTAGTGAACCTGACTGCTAAGGCGGCGGTCGATTCCCAGCCAGAACGAATATTGTGTGATGAGCACGGTCATGTCTGTCTGTCTGATTGTAATTTATCTATAATATGTATGTATTTAAAAATATAATAGGTCTTTACCTTTGAAATTGCCGTTTGGTTTGCAATAAGTGAAAGTACTTAACTTTTTCAAACTTTTTTATTTCTGTTATTCGAAGTAATCACCCATGCAATCGACGCATCTTTGCCATCGCATTGGCAGTTTATTGATGCCCTTTTTGTAAAAATCAGCTGGACGGGAGGCAACAAACTCTTCAAAGGCATTTTGTACTGCCTCTCGGGAATTGAATTTTTTACCTACTAAAAAGTTGTCTAAATTTTAATATAAGTATGTTTATCAGCAGTCTGGTTACCATAGCACAGGCTCTGCCTAGTTTGGAATCAGACGGCCGCGTGTGAGATGTGTCAAGTTATTATTTCATATCTTAATAAAAAAAACAGTATCTTAAGATTAATATCAATTATCACTTAGTGTGTTAAGATACTGAAGATAAAAATATATCTAAGCTTAGTCGTTTGTGATGGTTCATTGTATTACTCATAGCTGACCTGAGGGCCAAGTGTGAATTTATTTCACTTCTACTCGATTGTCACGGTGGCTGCGTTCGGTTCGGAAATCTTTGTTTTGTTTTGTTTTATAAAAGACAACGCCCGCACTAGGAATATATCCTGTGTCGCGGGGGACTTTACAAACATACATAAACGGACACATAGAATACCTGGATTCAGAACGACAATTTTTAGATCACACAAAGTGTCGTCCCATGCGGAGATCGAACCCACAACACTCAGCGTAGTAGGAAGCGGCGTGGCGACCGATTAAACTACTACGCCATCCGTGCAGTCAACCACCAATCACAACGCCAAACGCGCTCGCTGTCGAGAGCGAGTTAATGAGAAATAAACTTACACTATGGCATCTGTGAAACAATGTTCCCAGTTTCAACATCATTAATTCTACCTTTTAACATTGATTTACTGCAATATATCTATAATATGGTAAACAAAGCAGTACCGTTAAAAACCAGTTCAGGTTGTACTCCTGACATAGTTATGACTACTGATAGACAAATAGACAACCGGCTGTTATGTACACATTGTATCTTATCTTATAGTGTATAGAAAAAGGATTTTCATCATGATGACCTTTAATAGTCCATTGCTGGACATAGGCCTCTTTTTAGAAAGGAGCTTTTGGCCTACTGTACCACGCTTTCCAGACGTGGTATGGGGTTTGTTTCAAGTTTGCCTTCTCAATATAGTACTGTTGTTCTGCGTAGTTGGCTCCCTTATACGACACCCAAGGGATGAATAGTTGTGGTGACACTCTGTATTCTTAATCCGTGACCATACGTAGATTTTGAGAAAAAATAATAAGTATATGGGTCATACTCAGAAAAAATGTACATTTGCCATTTGTTAATAAATTGATAAGTAACGAAATGGAGAATCAATGTGACGAAACTGATATTGTAAAGCAGGGTACATACTGAACAGAACACGCATAATTAATCTAAATAAAAACATAATATCTCAGAAATCTAAATCAGGCTCATCCTACCCGACGGGAATAAGTGAATATTCCAACGATACGAATATATCATTAAGACTAAAGAACCCTAAGCCTTTTTAGTTGTTTAGTTAAGTTAGTGTGACGTAGTGCAGTGAGTGCTACTCTTGAAGAACAAGTACAAAGTGTATTTTCATTGGAGTAGGAACCATAAGAAAAGTACCAATGGACGCACTCTTTAAGTATATTATAATTTTTTAGCTAATCAATTTAAATTACTCATTACGCCTAAAGGCTTGATTGCAATTATTATGAGGGACCATCCAGCTACAAAATAATGAAAAAAAACTCAATTGTATGAATCAGTATGTACGAGTATAAT